CATTTTCCACTGCAGAGTACAGGCGTGAATCTTTGTACACAAAAGTCGCGAAGACCTCTGTGATCTTAATCTGCTGGTAATGGCAGCGAGTCCATTTTTTTTTGCTTTGCTCAGGAAGGTTTGTTGTCAGATGTTAGCATAGGGTGATATATTGTCAAGTGATTTCTGAGATTTGTAGTATTTCTGCAAAAAACGACAGCCACTTGGCCGATCTTGCCAACGACTTTGGTTTTATCCCCCTCGTTGTCTTTAGTTGTTTTAAATCCAGACATCAGATTTCAGTTAATGTCAATTTAACATCACTTATGATAGGATACAGTAAAACCAAATGATATAATGTCCTTTACATCGATTTAGCAAAAGTTTTTTGCTAAACATTTTATGGCCCAGCCCTACATATAGGACAGGACATAGAAAGGCTTCTAGGGAGGAGTGTCAGGGTTACAGGCAGTTGCAGGAGCATCAAAATAGAGAAGATTGTCTTTTGAGTTTGTGAATGGTAGATTTTTTTTGTGCATGTTTATGTGGCAATGTTTACTATCTGAATCTATTTTTCCTCTCCACTGTTGCTACAAGCATGCTTAGTGTGAGGGATTGTATTTGAGTCAATGCAATCAACTGGTTTTCCTTAGATAGAAAACTTTGTATCAATTTGACTGAATGATCTGGTTGAACTGTAAAGTGCCTTGAGATGACATGTGTTGTGAATTTGGCACTCTATAAATAAACTGAATTGAATTGAATCTAGGTGCTACATTAGTGCTTCATTGTTGTTGTCCTGATGTTTTAGAGAAGCATGGCAACTGATATTTGCAGTATGTAAATAAAGCAATTAACAATTTACTTCCTGGAAATATTCAGAAATAGTTTTTGAAAAAAGTTTAACCTTAAACATCAGCGGCCATGCATAACATTAAAACGTTTGTGTGTTAGTGTTACCGGGAAAAGATTTTTTGTGTTATTGAGTCTGATGTCATGGTCCGGCGAGACCCCTCCTTTCTGCACAAACACTTTGTCAATGTGCAGCGATGAACTGAGATAAGAACCATTCAGCGAGTGGGAAATGAGCTCAGCAACCAGCTTTTGGCAATAATCTGCAGATTATCTCTCTGTGTGTAATGAAAGACGGACCAATAAATCCGGTGACAGCTAGGATCATTTCAGGGTTGTTTTTTTCTTTTTTTCCCTGTTTTTAAATTTTTAAAACTACTGAAACGACTTCAGTAAATTAGTTAAAAATGTTTACCAACTTTTCATTTTTTCAATTGCTGGTGTTAGTCATCATGTTTATTTTCAGGCGTGACAGAAGGTTGTTTAATTTAGGATAACGTAAAGTAGAAGATATAGCTAGTCTTTTTGTCAATACTTTTTGTCAATACATTTGTATTGATGTAATTAATTGACTTTTTATCAAGCTTAAACACAAATAGAGGGAGAATAAGTCTATTAGCTTTTAGGAAAGGTGTGGGCTGTCCACTATTCAACAGTAGGTGCTTCTGCATAGATTTAATTGATTCGGTCTTGTTTTATTTGATCATTTCACTTTTTGCACACAACACTCTACATCTTTATTTATCTTCCTTTTTATTGTTAGATCTTCTGATTAGGGCTTTGCATGGCCAAGATCAAGAGCTTTTAGAGGTCTGACCAATCGACTTAGATTATTATTTGTATGCTTTTAAGAATTACAACACAAAAAGAGAAAAAAAAAAGATAATCGACTTTCTTCTAAATGGGTTCAAGTTCGAAATCAAACAATGAATAAAGTCTTCACAAAATTGTCCTTGAAATGTTCCTCTAGCCTTTGAGTGAATGTTTCCAAACATAGAAAGCAGTGCATCTAAAGGACGTCCTGCTGGTAGGCTGGTCTGTTTCCATAATTTCAGAGAATAGTCCAAAAAGTTTAGATATTTCCGTAATCGTCCTGCTGCTGAGAGAAATCTGGCTGAGCAATAGTTGTATTAAGCTGCTTCTCTAAGAATCAGTTTGAAGATGTGAGAAGAATTAAACTATGATTTAACGGAACAAAAAAAAAAATCAGTTAATATATTCACTGGTGAACAGGCTGCTGAATTAAATGAGTCATTTTCAAAAGACTTTGGAGCTTTTGGCCGTTTAAAAAAACACCCTGCACGAAAACTCTCCCTCCTCCGAACAAGTGTTAAACTTTATAACCATCACTGCTACCAACAAGCCCAATAAATGTTTAAATCCCTGCTGTTTCAGCAGTTATTGTATTGTTTTAAATTATCCTATGGTGTTTTCTCAGTGTATATATACAATATTTTGCACATTTTTCATTCCACTTCTTAATTATTTGTATGCTATTTCAGTCTTTGGTTTGTTCATTGTGTGCATCCACATGTTTCTATGTGTGTTTCACTTTGCTGCTGGTAAATGTGAGTTTCCTCAGTTTCCTGTGTTATTTTATTCCACTTAGTAGTTTTTTTTTTGTTTGTTTTTTTTTCAGAATCAGAATCAGAAATACTTTAATAATCCCAGATGGAAATTACTTTTGTTACACGCTCCAGTTACAGTTTTATATAATATATACACACATCCAACTATACAATATAATAAAGATAAAAAATAAGAATAAAAAGAGATAAAATATATACACATATAGCTCTTCTGTATATATATATATATATATATATATATATATATATATATATATATATATATATATATATATGTACGTATATCTATGCATATGTAAAAACTAAATCCAAATAAAGTAAAAATCCAAGTAAAGTGATAAATCCAAATAAAGTGATGTGTGGCGTGCAAAAATAGTGCATTTTTTTGTGGTAAAGCAGGTCTAAAAATAAGTGTTGGCACAGAACTGAGAGCAATTAGATCCTCACCCTATCTTCGCAATCTATGTGCCACTAATCCCGAGTGATTTGAGTTCACGCCTTGAGCAGAACGGAGATCTAGAATGCAGGTGTTAACCAGGTTTGTCACATTAAAACAAATGAGAGACTCTCTGATCTGGATATTGCTGCTGGTTTGGAATCTCCTTTTTTTGTAAAGTATTGCATCAAAGATTCAGTTTCCTTTTTAACAGCAATCTGAAAATTGTCCTTTATTTTAAACCATTTTTCTACTTTTAGTGTCAGAAGTTGTATTTAGGTAATTTAATTACAGTGTAGTACCAGGGAAACATGATGTTGGATTACCAGGGCAGAGATGGGTTAAAGATTTAATATTTTAATTTTACTGGCCTTTAATTGAGCGTATGCTGGCTTGAAGTAAATTGCGTTGAGAGAGAAGGAACCAACACTGGAAAAACGATCTAGAAACAAGTAAAAATGTCTTAAATTAGGTGTATTTACCTTTAATTTGAGTAGGTAAATGAGATGATTTGCCAATGGAATGAGTATTTTTACTCTTTAAATAAGATATTTGGATAAAATGCACTTGAAATAAGACAATGCAATAGTGCTTTCTTATTTTGAAAGTAAATTGTCTTGTCCCATTGGCAAAATGTCTCTTTTATCTCCTCAATTCAAGAACAAATGCACTTATTTTAGGAAAAAAATGACTTATCTAGATTTCTATTTTTTTCAGTGAAAGACAGCCGTGTTGGGGAATACAGCCTCTCCACTGCTGCACTGTGTGTCTTGAAGTATATATTTTTTATTTGTTTTAATCTGAATTTATTTTCATCAGCTTCAGTTACAATAAAATCATAAAATTAATTTTAAAAATAACCTCTATGCTTCACCTCAGTAACAACTGTCATACTGCAGAGTGTTCTAGTCTAAGAAAGTGGTGCATTCACTGACCATAAAAAGATTGGGTTTTTGAGCCGTTAACAGGATGACCTCAGGTCAGGAATGATCAAGGTGATTTATCCTTCTGTGTGTCTCTGAGATACCATTATTCAGAAATGAGCTTGATGCTTTCATCCACCTCTGAAGGACGAGTGCCAAACGTTGGCGAAGAAGGTTTGAGGGAAATCTGTTATTGTTGCATATTTAACTGCCACCTAAATACATTTCCATCTAAAAACAGATGAAAATAGATGGAGTAGTTGGTAGTCAGTGCTAAATCAGGACCTAGATTAGGGGGTATGTAGAGAATGTGTATATCTGACTCCATGGGTGTGGCGGACTTCAGCTCAGCATTGCAGTCATGAAACCAGAGACACACACCCTGGCTGCTGATATCGATTGCGTCGTATTTTCACCGTGGTTCTTGGTTTCTGTTTCGGCTTCTGCGTCCCGTCCCATACAGCGGTGCCTGACGCTATTCTGCTGCTTATACCAACCCACTCATACAAATACTCACACACAGCATCACAGATGTGTAGGCAGAGCATATTTATGCCATTGATTGTGCAAACTGGAAGCAGCAGCTAATTGAACTTGCTCTGCTGCAGACCCATTATAGACTTTCATTTGCAGAGGGTGCATCTAGAAAAGCCCTGGCTTATGAAAAACATGGTAATCAACATTTTAAAATGATTTTTGTAGCTTTTGTCAAATGATTGCAGCGATGGTTGATGTGGGCTGTCAGCGCCGACCTTAACCAGTGGGAAGGACTTGCATTGAAGGCAATAAACATTTTCATCATCACATCTCTGTCATGTGCAGGAAAACGACTCAAAGAAACCTTCATCCGAGATGCAGTAAATCTTTCATGTTGGTTGGTTATTCTTGGCTCCTTGCAGTGCAGCTTAACACAGCAGAAATCCTAAAAACAGTTTATTGTTCAATCAGTTTATAAAAAATAAAAAAAATAAAAAACCACTGATCATTTTTCCAGCTGTCATTCAGCCTGTCTGAGCTCCACACCCATACATTAACCTCACAATTTATTTATTTTTATTTTTTTTACGAGGAGCCTTCAGGGACTTGCTGAAGGCTTCAAATGTATGAGATCAGGGCTGATGAAGGTGTTACAGGGACATGAATCAGTGGGCAGATGTCTCAAACAGGAGCAAAACTAAGCTAACGAACCCTCGTCTTCCTCTGTTTTTTCTTCTCCTCCAGACGGATGTAAACGCCTGTTATCTGCGAGCAGCTCGGGCTGGAAATCTTGAGAAAGCTTTGGATTACCTGAAGAATGGGGTCGACATTAATATTTGCAATCAGGTAAGCCTGAGATTTAAAAATATCACAATTACGTTGCAGGACACTTACTGTAACCTGGAAGAATGTAATGTTTTCAAAGATGTCCAGTTAGAATGAATGCAAAATATGTTGAAATGTATTTAAAGAACAGTGTTCTAATATTTACACATGGCTGTCTGCTTGGCAGAAAAGAAGAAGCCATTTTCTTACTGTGACTAATTTCTGTAGAAACACAGTGGAAGTTTTTTAAACCTTCCACTGTATCTCAATGTAGTTTGGTATAAATAAACACCTCACTCCAAATTAGGGACAGTTTAACCACAAAAAGAACAATGGCTGTGTTGTTATTATGATCCGGGGCCATTTGTCTTCAGCTGAAGCAGGGAACAAATCCATGCACCGGAAAGTGTTTGGCAAAAAAGAAAGGTGGAGATGAATCAAAAAGGTACAGTATAGTGGAGGATATTCTTTTTCTGGGTGGATCATCAAAATAAGTGGTCCTCCTAATTGTTAATCATTCTGGTGATATGTTTATGAACAGTAAGGCCGTCCTATGTGCTCATACCCATTTTCTCTTATCGGTGGTGAGTCTGACATTGTTTAAAAGTTGCTGTTTGGCAGTGGTGTCAAAAGTACACATGTTTGTTACTTAAGTAGAAGTAAAGAGACTGCAGTTTAAAAACACTCTGGTAAAAGTTGAAGTATCAACTTGACCTCTTTACTCAAGTAAAAGTGAAAAAGTATGTGCTCCAAAAACTACTTAAAGTATGAAAGTATAAAGTAAAAAAAAAAAAAGCCAGATGCCACTATATGAATTGAAAGCACAATTTTTCGACTATTTTGAAAAATTCTTCCAAGGATGAGGGAGGTCTTGTTGGTCTCCATCTCCCGATACGCTCTCGCCTGTGTCTGACCTTTCAGACATTTCAACATCTTTTACTGAATCCGACATTGTAGCATGGCATAGACAATTCACGTTAGCAGTTTGAAGAACACCTGCTTGCTTCTGATGATTTCCTTTAGCTAACCAATGAGTGTTTGCATTATATTATTCATCCAATCACACTAGTTTTCACTAGATGTGGATGGAGTCAATGATCTGCATTGGATGGAGCACATGACGTGAAATAAATATTTATAAAAATTAAACCCAAACCAAGAGTAACGAGTAACGTTTGTTTTAAAAAAGTAAGGAATAAAATGTACAGATACTTGTGTGAAAATGTAATGAGTAGAAGTCAGAAGTAGGAACAAAAATAAGTAATGGAGTAAAGTATAGATACCTAAAAAGTGTACTTAAGTACAGTAACAAAGTATTTGTACTTTGTTACTTGAATCCTCTGCTGTTTGGATGCAAGCTTACTTTCCAAAAGATGATTTGTAATTTTTCCACTAAATGTGCGTGAGGTTAAATGGGCTCTTGCACGCGTTCAATAGGCGTTCCCTCTCGGGAGAGGGTACCAGTGGTGTCAAAAGTTCACACATTTGTTACTTAAGTAGAAGTATAGATACTGCAGTTTAAAAACACTCTGGTAAAAGTTGAAGTATCAACTTGACCTCTTTACTCAAGTAAAAGTAAAAAAGTATGTGCTCAAAAAACTACTGAAAGTATAAAAGTCTAATCTTATAAAACAGCCAGATGCCACTATAGGAATTGAAAACTCAATTTTTCGACTATTTCGAAAAATTCATTTCAGATAGGCCCAAGGATGAGGGAAGCCTCGTTGGTCTCCGTGTCCATCTTCGATACGCTCTCGCCTGTTTCCGACCTTTCAGACATTCTAACTCTATCTTTTTCTGAATCCGACATTGTAGCATGACATAGACAATTCATGTTTGCAGTTTAAAGAACACCTGGTTGCTTCTGATGATTTCCTTGAGCTAACCAATGAGTGTTTGCGTTATATGACTCATCCAATTACACTTGTTTTCACTAGATGTGGATGGAGCCAATGAGCTGCATTGGATGGCGCACATGACGTGAAATAAAAACATTAAACCGAAGCCAAGAGTAACGAGTAACATTTGTTTTAAAAGTGTAAGGAATAGAAAGTACAGAAGTAGGAAGAAAAATAAGTATTGTAGTAAAGTATAGATACCTAAAAAGTACACTTAAGTACAGTAACAAAGTATTTGTGCTTTATTACTTGACACCTCTGGTGGGTACAGAGTTGTGCATGTGCAGTTTTTTAAGTGGAGAGGGCGGGTCTTTCCAAATATTGCGAGAATCCTCCATTATACCTTTAATCATTCATCATGACAGAGACCCCAAAAATAAAACAAAATAAAAATAAGAAAAAAAAGAAAGACCTCGTCAAAAGGACACCAAACTTTTGGAATAGCAGAGCAGGAGCATGGACATTGAAGTCGTACAGATTTTTGGTTGCTCTCACACCTCGACCAGAGGTTTGTGCACCAGTGAGGTCCTTATAATCTGACAGATTTGAGGTGCTGTTGTTTAGAAGAAGAAAAAAAGAGAAGTCCTGTTTGTTTGTTTTTTATGCCAATACTATTTCATAAAATGAAAAGGTTCTCTAGCTAAATTTAAGCTGAAGCATTTTATCCGCTTTTAAGTTTTAATCTCCAGTCAGAGTTTTGACCTTTTTTAAAGGAGGTTGCATCTGCAAATACAACTATTGTATTAAAACATGTTAAGCTTTAGCGTGCCAGAACATCTGAAGTGTGAAATGGGCCCACAAGAGGGCGCTATCCAGAAACTGCGATTTTGGTTCTCATCCTTGATTAACGGAAGGGTTCTAACATTCCTTCAACTTGCTTTCCCCATGTGCTGCCACTATTCCACCTCAAGGGGTGATTAAACGAAGGTCAAGTGTTGCTACTTTTGTACCTTTTTATTTTTGTTTAAGAGAAAAAGGAGCATAAAAGTTATCTCAATGTGCCTTGTAATTTTTTCTCTCCTAAAATTGATAGAACTCAAAATAAAAGACAATTTCAGAGGTATCTGACAAAACTTTGCTTTTTAAATATTATTGATCCCATTAATGCGGAAGAAATTCCCAAATGGCTACGCTCAGATTTGAGTTTTTAATCATGACTATATATCGGCTTTATCAAACCGTTTTCTTCTTTGATTCCTCTCTCCCTAACTTCCTTTTTTTTTGTTGCACAGAACGGTCTGAACGCTCTCCATCTGGCCTCGAAGGAGGGCCATGTGGAAGTGGTGGCAGAGCTCATCAAGCAGGGTGCCAACGTGGATGCAGCCACCAAGGTGTGTAGCACCCAGTGGTCACATAAACAAGACATAATAACTCACACAGGCGCGCCATGAGGCTGCTTGAATCCACACCCACAGTCTGCTGAGTTTGCACCCTTTCCCAAAGTCACATTCCTCTAATGTCAGCTGAGGGGATGAATGGCTGTGTAGTAGTGGAGACTATGAATTCAGATTTGTTTTGAAGAGAGCTTGACACTTTTCCACTACGTGATATTTTCTTGGCCATGTAAATTATGATAAATTGCTTCCTAGAAGGAGTACCGATTTAATAGTTCTCCCATTATGTTGAAAATGATTAAAGGTCTGCAGCTTCTTGTTCAACCTACTGGTGTAAACACTATAAATTCAGGTTAAGTTCACTATAAATTCAGGTTAAGTTATATAATAAGTTCAGGACAAGTTATAGCTGGTATTACCTGAGAGAAGGAACTATTTATGTCCATTCTTGAGATTTTTACCGCTTTGTATCATTCGGTCATATAAAACACCAATGAAAATGAAAACAGCTTGTGGTTATAAAGTGTGCTTGATTGCATTTTGAGGAGGCAATGCAAGTGTTTGACTGTAGTGTGCTGAACCAGGTACATCTGTCTTCTGGATTTTCACCAGAAAACGGGTTAATTTTGGTGCCATTTGTCTCCAGGTAGCTCATTGACAGCCCAGATGTTTCTGTTAACAACAATAATTCAAAATTACACCGATTTTTAAATATGACTTTTCAATTACATGTTATTATTGTAAGATAATGTTGACAATTCTTAAACACCAATTTTAGAATCCTGAAAAGGCATACTTTTAAAATACAGATAACAACAAAAAAAATGTTTAAATACATTTTTTTGCACTTACTGTAAGTGGATTTCAAATCAGGTAAGCAGTCACTGAATCTAAAAAAAAGCAAAGTAAGGCTGGTAACATTTACAATTATGTGCCTCCATGTTAATCATTCCCTCAAAGGCTTCAGTGATTGATAGATATAGAGCATAAACTCCTTGTAGATGTTTAATTTTAGTGACTGCACTAAATTTAAGGTATTTATTGTTTGCTTTTGCATCCGAAATATTTTTGTGTCTCAAGTGCAAATGCACATACGTATCAGCTCTCTCTATAGAGCAGAGAACCAGTGCGCGTGTTTAGCTCGCACTGGACATATTGGCTCTAGTTTGTACAATGAGCTCCCAGGAACTCTGAGGATCCTAATTTCATCCGCTGTTCTAAACCCGACAAAACATACCACAACAAAAGCTACAACTATAAAACAAAGCATGTTGAATGCAAGTTTACCCTTTAAACCAAGAATAAATTAGCCTGTAACAGAGATCTTTATTAGTCAGTTTTTGCAAGTCAAATCCCAAGTCTCAAATAAAGTCCTGGTTATTTGAGTGAAAGCAGTCAAAATGCACATCCCTTTATTGTTGTAATGATCGTCATGATATTTGCCTAATGGTTTTACTTGAAATATGCAATGTAATATTTATAGAATTATCATTATCTAAACATTTATTTTGCTCCATTAAAAAAAAATAATAATTTGCTTTAATAAACTCAAAAAACATCTATACTAAATTGACCAGATATTTGAAATCAAATCTGTGGACATTTCTAGCCTGTAGATAAAAATAAATGCATCTCATCAAGATAAAATACAGGAAACTTGGACAGTAATGGCTTCTTTTTACATATTTATTTATACATAAACAACAAAAATCAAGTGTAAAAGCCAGGAATGCCTCTCCACACTGTTAGTATTTCTTACAATTAATAAAATAAGTAAATTAATAGTGTTGATAATAAAAAAATTAGAACTGTGTCTCTAGGTTGTAGGAAAGGTGTGGGGGTGGCAGTGGTGGGTGGTTAGCAGGGCTTTCCAATTATATAGGGCCTCAAGAGCTCTGCCACATCCTAAGCAGAGAGTAAAATGAAGAAAAGAAACACCAAAAAAGTAAATCCAAATATTTATCCAACATTTAACCTATGCCTGTGGTGACAGAGTTCACCCATGTCTTCAAAAAAGTGCAAAAAAATATATGGTTTACATCTAAATACCTGTGAGAAAAAAAAACGTACAAATAAGTCAAATTTTCTTAAATTAAGTGTATTTACCTTTAATTTGAGTAGGTAAATGAGATAGTATGCCACTGGAATGAGTATTTTTACTCTTAAAATAAAATAATTAGATAAAATACACTCAAAAGAAGACAATGCAATTGTGTTTTCTTATTTTAAATGTAAATTGTCTTGTTTCTTTGGCAAAATGTGTCTTTTACCTCCTCAATCCAAGATCAAATACACTTATTTTAAGAAAAGATGACTAATTTAGATTTCGATTTTTTCCAGTGTTGTTAGCATGGATCAAAAACTAGTAACGGCAAGCCTGCAGGTAAAGGATCATATATGTTTATTACCGCCAACTGACTTAATCAGGGTCCGGTGCATCTCAGAGAAGCAGATTCACTTCTTCCACTGTTCAGGAACAATGCTAGTTTTTCTACCCCCACTTTTTTGCTGCACTAAAGCCAAATAAGACAACTGTAGGTAGAAATTAACTCTGGAGTTTAACCATCCAATCAAAAACAAGCTTAGTTTGATACTCATGTAATAATCTGACGTCTGCGCTGATATAAAGCCAGGTTTGTTTGTAGAAAGGACGCTAACATCAACCTTTATTATAACTAAATGTGTATATAATACAAAACATGGTTCCCATGCTCTGTTTAGTAGAGCCGTAAGCTAAAGTCTATGGAGGATAAAAAGTGCCAAAATTAAATAAACAAATACAGCATTAAATAAATACTTAAATGTGTCAATAATTAATTAAATGTGGAAGTAAATAAATAAATGTGTCATTCATTCATTAAAACCACGTCACTAATATAAAGTGCCACAATTAAATAAGTAAATACAGCAATAAACAATTAATTAAATGTGTAATTCATTAAATAAATAAGGAATTAAATATATAAATGTGTCGCGGGGTTAAAGCGAATTGAGTCGCTACCTACTGTATCAGAGTATGTTCACAACCTGTAGATCACAGTCTCTGTAATCGATTTGCTTCGCCTTAATGTGCAGGGTGACCAATCAGGTGTTAGATAACCGCCCCCTAACTTTGATGGGTGAGTTTGACAGATTCTTTTAATGGTTTCGATGCACAGGACCATGAAATAATTAAATACACACTGAAATAATTATATATATATTTTTTTATAAAATGAAGACGTATTTTATTAAATTAATGACACATTTATATATTAATTCCTTATTAATTTAATGAATTACAAATTTAATTAATTGTTTAGCGCTGTATTTATTTATTTAATTGTGGCACTTTATATTAGTGACGTGGTTTTAATTAATGAATGACACATTTATTTATTTAATTCCACATTTGATTAATTATTGACACATTTAATTATTTATTTAATGCTATATTTATTTATTTAATTTTGGCACTTTTTATCCTCCATAAAAGTCAGGGTCAACCGACCATTTTAGTTATAGCTGCAGGTTTGATTTTTGTGGTTTGCAGAAGAATGCTTATAGCTTAACTAACATTAATGAACTCCACTCGGTGGTGGCGCACTCTGGATGGTCACCAGGTAAAATGTTGAACTCCAAATTTCCTCCAACCTTCAAAAAAGAAAAGATCTAACCCCGTCCTTGTGAAATCTTGGGTTGTTTTAAGAAATTAGTTAGGAAGAGAACAGGCAGTGGTTCTTGGGGTTGGTGGTGATCTGAAAATAAGGGGAAAAGCTATAACACGTGAAAGACAGTGGGCCCTAAAGGGGCCAAAGCACTGTGTTTGTGCTGTTGTTCTTTGCTGCAGTGAGTTTTACTGAGCTCCAACAGCAAGAATGACCGAATGGCAACAGCTGCTGCTCTTTATTGCTTTCAGACATGTAACAGGTGCATCCATATAAACAGTGAGCTCCCATTTCAACATGCGGTTCAGCTTATTCATATGATTGTTGATGTTCGTTGTTTCTTCCATCCTGCATAAAAACAATTGTTGATTTCTTTATATATTTTGTAATTCAGGTAGATTTTTGCAGTCTCAATTTATTTGAAATCACTTAATGTATGTAGCATAAATTTGCAAAATTTTGTCAAGGCACTTTACGGAGACAATTCTCCCAAATCATACTGACAGAAACCCAACTGATTGCCTTTAAGAAGTTATATGTTTAATGAAGATTAACACGATGCAGTCAGCTGGTTTTCTCTAGATAGAAACTTTCAGCTGATCTGACTGTATGATCTGGTTGAATTGTCTCTATAAAGTGCCTTGAGATAACAAGTGTTGTGAATTTGCGCTATATAAATGAACTGACTTGAATGGTCGGATCAGTAGACTGTTAAAATGTCAATTGTGAGCTGCAGTGCTTCACCGGGACTTTCCAGGCAACACTTGAAATGGCAGGTTTGGCCTGGAGCCCTGATACTTCCACAGATCGAAGCAGAGTCTGAACTCAGTTGATGGATGGGAAAGGGTCAGGAGAATCTGCCAGCATCGTCATTCAGTGTGATTGGTTTGGTGGGGGTCAGTGTTGATTTGGTCAACACATATTCATGATGGGATACAGACCTATAAAGCATAAACTATGTTACTGTACCCTGACTGTTATTAGGTATCAGGGTCAATTCTTAGAGCCATTGTTAGAAGCCCTCACAGGTGCGGTGGGTCTTGGGCCCCTAATCGTCTGTGATCATGCCATGCCTTATGCTGTAGATATGTGCAGGTCGTTCCCGCTGTCTTGTATACAAGCATGTGGAGACCCTGGGGCCAGGCTTTTGAGCACGATTTTTAGTTGCTGCAATTACATTTTCCCTTTATTGGTGACTTCAGATTAATTTCCCTGTAGGTTAGTATTTTTCTATTTTCATCAAATGATATGGCTTCCCTTTGTTCCTAACACATTACCCATTCCACATCAGTATAGATATGCAACATGTTTTAATTTTCAGTTTGAGCCTCCGTACATGGGCCTCCGACCCGGGTTCGAATCTGGCCTGTGGTCCTTTGCCGCATGTATCTCCCCCTCTCTCATACCCCCTTTTACTTTCAGCCTACAGTTAAAAAAAACAAGCCACTAGTGCAGAGGATAGGCATGGTCCTGACTGACATGCTATTCTAACAAAGGGTTTCTTGATAAGTAAAATGTTTTATTTTTTTCAGGGTTCTTGCATAACAAATTAATTAGCTCCTCATATTAACCATTTAATGCGTTTTAGATCTAATTGAAGCAGAATAGGGGGTTTTCAGTGACGTCACTGGCCAGCTTCCGGTCCGCCATCTTGGGTGGCATATTATCGTATATCATATATATCATGTCGCGAATGGATAAGTACGCCAGCACGCTAGAGCCACTAGATCATGGAACATATCTGAGGAAATGTTCCGTGATCGACCATATGGACCCCTATGCCCTCCACGGTGCCTTGTTTAGCACTAATCCAGATGATTGGCCAAATGTGGAGCACGGTGACATAGTTCATTACCTGGTGTTCAGTGAAAACCCTCTGCGCACTCTTGAGGAAATGAGAGCGTACAAGGGTCTAGAGGCTCTCAACCAGTTCGCATCTGGTTGGGTACGAGATGTCGAAGTGATGTACATGAAGGAAATCGCCATCATACGTGGACAGGTTTGTTTTAATAAGATGGTAAAAATGTAAACAATCCGACGCAGGGCTCGCTATGCTAGGTGGCTAACGGCCGGCGGTGCGCGAACAGTTCCAAAGCTACAAGTCCTTGGAGTCTCATGTGCAGTTTACGAATGGATGGGTTCAGGAGCTGCAGCTCATAAAGTCAGCAAACAGTGCTAACCGTTAGTGCTAACAACCACTCAGGCATGTAATGTACTTTTAACTAGCTGCTATGTGTTTCAAAGGTTTGGTTAGTAACGTTAACTGCCAAACCTCCCTAAACCCTCCGGGTTTCTCACATATTTGAGCCTTTTCCCGCTGGTTGAAATCAAGTTAAGGTGAAATTAATCAAATTAAAACACGGCTGAGAGAGGGAGTCCAGTACGCGGTAGTCATAGGCAGTAGTCTGAGTAGCGGCGGCGGAGGCAGTCAACATCGCGGCCACGGAAAGTAATACGTCATGACGCCCAAGCCCTATTATTAATATATTCTTACATGTTTTAAATGCTTGACAGTTAATTACCTGTGACAAAGTGAGCACTGCAGACTCTGGCGTATTCCAGCTTAAAGCTGCAGTCTGTAACATTGAGGAAAGAGCAGACTTCGACGGAAAATTTGAAGAAAAACAGGTTTCACGCCACTCCCCCACCCTCTCTGCTTCACTCATGCCCCACCTCAAAGCTCCACCCCTCTCAGAGCATCTGCGCGGCTACCGCATGCGACCAGACGGGGGGGGGGGATTCAGCGTGTGTGAGCTGTGATTGCTCCATCAGACGCTCCTCTGGCTGTGATTGGTTGTTTTGACTCGTCCCGAATTATTCTTTCCAGATTGAAATACAGACAGTATGCGGGACCAATTGAAGCAGTTTTTTTCACAGGTTACATATCACATGTACTGCTGTCTGGGCATAGGGACAGTTTTAGCCAATATGACAAAAAAGTGATTTTTAAAAACTTACAGACTTCAGCTTTAACACCGTCCAAATCGGACCTGGATATCCGTGTCAGCCATAGGTGACGTCGTTGTTCAGATAGCTGTTTTGTTTTTTCACATTGATTCACGATTACGGCTGGTATGCGATAGAAAGAGCGTTGATCTCTACCTCCACGGGCCGTGCAACCAACAATTACACACGTTTTCACCATTTTTTATTGTCAATACTGCCTAAGGCTGCCACCCAATATGGCGGACGAGCTGGGTAGTCACGTGAGCCTGACGTCACCTGAAAACCCCCTATTGCTGAGGCAGAAGCTGCTGGGTTACATTTCCTAAACAACGCATCTCACAGGCTTCAATTATTAAAGATAGGTGGATATATCATATGATTGGGAAGAAATGACTATAATTCAGTTTAAAATTGACATCAAAACATTTAAATACCCGATCAAATGTTTTTTTTTTTACTTTTATAGAGAAAGACGTAAATAACACAGTCCTTTTAAAACCCTCCTCTAACTGCAAGTAATCAGACAGTTTAAAGAAGCGGTGTTCAGGTTTAACACCAAAATGGATACAGAATCACAGATGAATGCTGTGTTGTTCTTATTTCATTGTTGCCAATCGGATTTTTTCTGCTCTTGTACTCGACAGGGATCTTGTTTAAGTTTCAAAAAAAAGAACAACAACCTCAGAACTGGGCTTGGACTCAAAAAATGAACTATTTGCTCAATGTATAAAAAAGTTTATGTAACTCACTTTGAAAAAACACATTTTCAGTCATTAAAAGTGATTTTTAGCTTATTTGTTTGCTGTTTTTTTGTGCTAGCAGAAAGGAAACACCGCGCTGCACATCGCCTCCCTTGCTGGACAGACCGACGTGGTGAAGGAGCTCGTCACAAATGGTGCAAACGTCAACGCGCAGTCTCAGGTACGACACACTCAAACACACATGCATACTGCAAAGTATGGGGGAGTGTGTGCATGCATGCATGTTTATGACAGCTGCACAAACTGTTGTACAAACAGCATCAATCTGTGTGTTTGCTGTGTCAGCAGCTTTTGCTGTGCAGCTTGGCCTATATTCAATAGTCAACACACACACATTTAAAGTGGACTCTGTGACCACAGCACCAATGATAATATCTGTGTCAGAACCTGAAGCTGAGAAGTAAAATACAGAAGTTGTTTTTGATATGCTCTGATGTTTAGTTATCTTTGAAACATTAGTGAGACTCTTCAACCGTCAAGGGTTTTATTTTGCTACAGTCAATCAGTCTGTGAAATGTGCCTTTATTAAAACATTTGGTAAATCGGCACGTTTGGACCCTAAAGCTGATAATGTTGAACTATAAAGAGCAAATTGCTTCTTAGTAAATCAACACCAGGAGATTTATCATTTTTATATCACATTATCATGTCCATTAATGTGTTTCTGATGACTAAATGTGAAGGAGAGGATTCTGTTGATCCATGGGAGGATATTTAATGTGAATGATTATCCCAATCAAGACAACGCGCGAGAAATGAAATCTCTCAGACCCAGAGATTCCTCTGCTCACTTTGCAGGAAATATTATGGTCCCTTAAGGCTTGTTTCCCTGGTTTTTCAATACTTGTTACTGCTGCAGCACAGCTGCAGACTTTCATTTCATCCATCAGGCATTATCATGCATAAGTGCTGAATTCACTTAAATTTACACCTATTTAATTAAAAAAATAACACTTCTAAAAAAAATTTGAAACTGGGGAAACATTTAAAATGAATAGTTGATTAGATTGCCTACCAATGCATGAACATCCGATATAGTAACGTCTTTCAGGTTATTTTGATTGAGGCCTGCCCGAATAAAATCTGATTAAAACTAAATGTTTACTTTTAAAAAGAGGGATTATACCTGACAAAAGTTTATTTCCAGGGGGAAAAATTGCTTTTGTTGTTGTTACTACTACTATGTCATCTAAATTTTCTAAATTTTTTTTAAACATGTTATCAGACAAAAATAACCTGATTGAATACAAAATGAAGGTTACAAATGTGGATTCATTATATTATGGAAAAGATTCTGTGCAAATATACTAGTGTTGCACCGATACTGATACCCTTATACTGGTATTGGCGAGAACCAACAAATAGGGCACCGATACCATTTTGAGAGCCAGAAGTTTATTCAGCTGTTGTCACCCATTCCAGGTAGGCAATAAAAAGTTCTACTGGATTCACTTTGTATTAGTCTTTTTCCTGCTGCACAAAGGTTGGCAGCAGCTTGACAATAGCCTCGTGAGACCATCCTGATCTCGCGAGCTTTCAAGGTTTAACTCGCAGATCAGTCTGGAGACTCTCCGTTAAAGAAAATTTGGAGCCGTTCGCCAAACGAACGTCCAATCAGCGTTGGCTTTGAGGCGGGTTGAGGTGTGACGCAACGAGAAGCGCGACAGTTCAGTCTAAAGAACATGGCGGCTTCAGCCGATGAAACTAGCGTTAGCGTGGCTATCGAGCAAGTTTTATCGGAATTACAGAGTATTTCTTCACTGAAAGAAGAGCAAAACACTGCTCTGGAGGCTTTTCTCAGAGGAAAAGATGTTTTTGCTCTTCTCCCGACTGGTTTCGGCAAGAGTTTGATCTATCAATTGGCTTGTGCCTGGCTTGTGGTTGTGTTTTCGTCGTCGCTCTGTTAGTACATCATATGCTTCGTTGATCTGATTGGTTTATTTGGCCCATCTGTCACCAACATAGGCCAATCAGATAACCAGTATTTTCGCCCCTTCCCAAAATTTCTTCAACGGAAGGTTTCCAGATCGATATGCGGAGCAAATCCATCTGGCGGAGTCAGGTTAGCTTGACAAAGCCATGATGGCAAAAGATGGTATCGGTATGAGCCAATACTGCACAGCCAAGTATCAGTATCGGGGCCAAAAAATGGCATCAGCGCAACACTAAAATGTAACTTATTCTATGTGTAAAACTGTTTTGTTAGGACATGGATTTGATTGGCAACATATTTTGGAAAACTGAGTTAAATTTCATCAGCATAAATCAGACCTATTTACTGAATCAACTGTAGAGTGAACAGATTCTTTAAATAGAAGGAGAGGAACAAACCTAAAATGTATTTCAAAAAAAAAAAAAAATAGATTAGAAACAAATGGTTTTGCAACTAGAAATGTTTTTTTTAACAGCTTTAAGGCCTTGAAACTCAATTAGACCACAGTGAGAGCTATTATTCACAAATGACAAAAACATGAGCTGTGATGCACTGAGACTCTGCAAAATGGCCTGCAGAGGAAAGTTCTGAAAGAACTGGATGAGCTAAAGGTTTTTAGAAAAAAAAAAAAAATATATTTGTACACTGACAAAACAAAGTAGGACTTGAGTGAAGGCAACTATTAAAAAGCATCTTTGAATAAAAATAAAACGTCTGGACTTCAGTTCTTTCGATTGAAGACATTTAGCTATTTATTCAAAGAACTTACTCGGTTTAGAGCTAAAAAGGGAGAAGCTTCAAGCTTTGAGCTGTCTGGAAAAACCTGCTCTATACATTACTTTTGAATACATATGCAGATCAGACTTCTCCAAACAATCAGACACCATTACAGCTGTTGTTTGCCTGAAATATTTAAAGATGTTTGTAGATATCTACAGCTACAGGAACAGAGGTAAGGTAATCTTGGTGTTTTTCAAATGAACTTTTGGAACTGCCATTACCTGGATGACCAAGAACCTTTACCAGGAAGGTGTTTAGTTCATTATACCTAACAGATTTTAAAACTTAGAATAGAAGTAGAAAAGCACTCAAAGTGCACAGAACTCCAAGCAGCAAATTTTGCCCCATATTTTGATTTACACCTAAAGCAATTTGAATGAAATGTTATTTGACATGAGGCGCACCTGTGGTAAATGTTTCCTTAATATCAATTCTTAACTTGTCAAGTAATGCTTCTAACAGGCAAACCAACAACCACAAGTGAAAACATTGCCTCCTTGGTAAAATGAACATCATACCAGGAGTTAGACATGGTGGTGGTAGTATGATGGTTGGTGGCTACTTGACTGCTTTAGAATCTGGGCAATATTAGACTGTCAGTTTTTGCCTGAACAAACTAAAAGGTTAAAACAATAAATCTGATAAGTCATAATCTAAAAGTCCACCATCTTGTTTTATTATTTTATTTTTTAGTCTGTTTTTCTTTTTTGTTCTTTAGATCAATTCAAAATTAATGATAAATATGTCTTACAAGATTTAAGAGGAAACTTTGTACATTTAGGTTTCTGAGCCAGAAGTTTTTTTTTTTTTTTTTGTAAATGACAAAATTTTCCAGAAACTGCCCACATTTCCTCCCCACACATATCCCATGATAATTGTCGACAGATTAAAGGAACAACTCTTCTGATCTGCAGCTAAAGCCACCTCAGTAGGAGTGGTGACCAGCTGCAACCAAATGGGGGCTAAGAACACAGAGGAGAGGTAAAAAAATCAGGGTGTTCAGGACCGCCATGTGCATTTTATGTTGGTTAGACACTGAGAACAGAGATGAAGGCATTAGTAGCTCCATACATTACTTCATGCAGGAGAGTGTTTGATTCTTAAATGTTTGTTATAAATGCTCATCTTCTAAAATCCTCTAAATGCTAAATGTAATATTAAAGATGTTTTTTAAAGATAATAAAGTATGTTTCTTTTGTATAAAAGTTTTTTTTATTTTTATTGAACGTCTTCTTTTTTTCTCTTGTAAAGCTTATAAAGCTAAAAGCTTCAGAATATGCTAACATGCTCATATAAAAAGACTAATGGTTTTAAACCTCTGGACATTTAGCTAAATTATACACTTAAAATAGTTGAAATCTCTAAAGAAGACAACTACTAAGCGCTGCAGTGTTCCCCTTTAAAACGTCAAGAAGGAACCTCTCGATAACAAACCCTACTCCACAGTAACCTCAGCAGCAGGTCAGCTTTTATCTCCGCTGCTATCAGGTGTGAGGTATGTGTGGAGGCGACAGAACGCACATCATGAGCGAGCTACCGCAGCTCCCTTTGCTGTAAAAACATCCAGCTTTACAGCTTCTGGGTGAGACGTGGGTGATGGACTTTAAAAAACATCATGGTTTATATAATTCATATACAAAAATCTGACATAGGATGTTTTCAAAAATGACTCAATGAATATAGCTGGTATATAAGCACAGTCACTGCCTACAGTATCTCCTGAAGTGGCTGTTATGATCCTTAAAAAGCTATTGTTTGAGTAAATGTGTTTAAAAGAAAATCCTTATGATTTAATAAACAGAAAATGACCTGACAGTTAAAGTAATATTGATTTTAATTTTTTTTTCTGTGAAAATCAACAAATTGAAGACCAAATATTGTCCAGATTCAGTTCAAATAACTCACCTAACTTATTTATTCTAAAGGAATCAGTCAAAAATTCAAATTCAGTTCACATTTTGTGGAAGTCAGGTGTCAGGAAGTGCAGGGACATGATGACTATGTATTAGGAAAGTCAAACGACTGGACAGAGAACCAGTAAACCAGCTGCATATTTTAATGGGAAACGAAAGAAAACAAAACTAAGAGAAAAACAAAACACAAACTTAATGGCAGAGATTTTCTTTATGTTGAAGAAAGTGAAACCAACTGAACTGTCTGGTTGTGTGGAGGTTTTTTATAGGACCCAAATGCAGACACGGAAGCTGAGGTGGTTTCTTGCAGATTTCTTCCAGAAATAGCTAATTAATGAAAACAGGAACCAGAACAAAGGGGAACACATTGGTTAGGAAAGGAATGAAGAGAATCCAGCAAACAATAACTGCAGAGGAGGAGTATATATGGCAAACAGAACAAAGAATGGAGTAATCAACTGATTGGGAGCAGGTGTGGACAAAAGGATCTAGAAGGGAGCTAACGGAAGGAGACTGGCACAAGGGGGCAACAGAAAGTAAACAAGAAAGAACTCAAATACCACCAGAAAAGCAACAAGAATGGCACAAGATGGAATAGAAACCAATTACCTTGAAAACACAGAATGATACAAATGAAAATGTAACTAAAAACTCAAAAAGAAAACTTAAAAAGAACCGACAATCACAGAAAGGGCAAAAGCATGACATGAACTAGCAGCACCGTCTTGTAGAAGGTAAACACCATGTTCACAGAGCAACTAATAGAAGTCCTAACTTTGCATCTGTGCAGCATTATACTAATTGTTCTATTCATAGTGGAAATTCTGCACAGAAGGTCCTATGAATTTTACCCATGATATCATGTTTTTTCATGCATATCACATTTTTCAAAAACCACACATATACATGTGCTTCTACTGTACATGTGATTCATTTGAATTTTATAAATGTGAAAAGGGTATTGCACAGAGAATAATCAAATGATATCCACATGGGGGAAACATGGTAACATGTGGTGCACACGCGATCAAAAAAATCCACACTTTATTTAAATTTGAATGGAACACTGAATGCATGGTCATATGTGGAAATGGGATCGCACATTGTGCTTCAGGTATTCCATTTTAAGGGATAAAGGAATCACATGTGAACCCATGTGAAACTAATGGGAATTGTTAAAAGGGTGAAATATCAAGATTCTGATTAGGTGGCCATGAATACTGTAAAGCATGTTGAGAGTGAGACTGCCTCAGATGTTAATGTTTAACATTATTTTCTGTTTGTTTTCTCAGAATGGCTTTACTCCACTGTACATGGCAGCGCAGGAGAATCACTTGGAGGTGGTTCAGTTCTTACTTGACAATGGCTCCAGTCAGAGCATCGCAACCGAGGTAATAAAAAAAAACACATACAAGCACTGGCAATGTAATACATGTTTACATGCACAGTCACAGCTCCTGATGCATCTTTAACAGCTAGAGACTTGTCCCAGCCCTCATTCTACCAGCCCGTAATTAAAATAAAACATTATTAACGGTCTCTCTGTGCTAAACGGTTACCGTTTAGTGGTGGCCCACTTTTGAGATGTTCGAAATGACGGTTTAGATTAATTGCTTCAGGGAGCGTAATGTGCAACGGAGAAAGAGAGAGTCTGGTGTGAGGATGACGTTTGATCAGAGTGACCTTGGCTTCATTCAGCTGCCTGCACAGGGAGAAATCAGTGACGTTATGAGGCTGTGACGTGAGCAGACAGAGCGCTGTGAGTGAGCCATCTGCAGCAGGACAAAGAACTGCCAGCTTTGCATGACTAAGACAAACATGGCATCTTATTAGGTTACAAATAATGTGTTTTACTGAAAACTTATGTTAGTAGTTTATGTGCATATTTCCCTTCCTGGAAACAACAGATTTGATATACATTTCGCAAAGATCCTTAATTCTTTCTAAAAATATATATGATTAATATAATAGAATTAGAAAAACTCAAGAATACTGCTTTCCTCTCACACTAAAGTCAAATTAATTCTTCAAAGATTTTCTCTCAGGGAAAGAATTAAAAATTAGTGATAAACTTGTGGGAGATATTTCTGGGGAAAAGAAGGTGTTTATCTAATTTAGCAGCAGATGGCTGCAGATGAACCCATTGAGCATTGGTGAGGATCAATGAAAAAGAGGAGGATGCTTGAAAACCAAAATGTTTTAGTTTTATCTGTAGTTAAAATTACATTTGGAAGAAGTAATTTCCCATCAAACAATTTAAAGTTGTTACATTTGATTAACTATTTGATGCTGCATAAATGAAGAACACTTTTTTCAACAGTTGCTTTCATCTTTGCACTTTAAAATGGAGGCCAAATTAGTCAGCGTTGTAACTGCAGGTTAATGAGCTTTATACTTTTTTTTTTTTTTTTACCTCATATTATTTCAGCAATGTGCATTTTCTTTTAATCTTTTACTCAAATCTAGCATATTTTTATATTAAGGTAAAAAGACATGGCTCATCACAACAACTGCTAAAACCAACACAAGACAAACTAGATTTGCATGTCAGATATATGAGCTTATTGCTGGGATATTAAATTAAAAGTACTTTTTTTTTTTACCATATTAGGTATCATAAACTAACACAAGTAGGCTTATCTGTATTGATCTACGCACACAACAGAAAATAATTAAAAATGACTAACGGTGATAAAAAGAGATGTTACCTTGTACTTTTCTTAGGGGCAGGAACCATATGCTGCAACTTTTTATCTCTTTAAAAATAAAACACCAAATTTGGATAAAAGTGTTTTTTGAATGTGATCAGTTTTCCTTTTAATGCTCAATTATTTTTGCTCAACATATTAGAATAGAATAGAAAATTGTCCCACAATGGGGAAATTCTGGTGTTTACATCAGCGAAAAGGTGACGTTGTTGGGAACAGTGGTGATTATAGAGTCTTAAAGCAGCTGGGAGGAAGGATCTGTGATAACGCTCCCTGGTGCATTTACTGTAGGATGCAGCAGTCGGTCACTGAAGGAGCTCTCCAGTTCTGCACCAGCTTCATGCATGAGGTGGGAAACATTATCCAACAGAGATGTTAATTTAATTAGGATCCTTTTGTTTCCTGCCTCCTGCACTGAGTCCAGAGGGCATCCAATCACAGAGCTGGCCTTCCTGAGCTTATCCAGCTGCTTTCTCTCAGCTACACATAAGCCACTGCTCCAACAGAGAGCTCCATGGATGATGGCTGATGCTACAACAGAGTCATAGAGAGTCTTTAGGAGCACCCCCTGAACTCCAAAAGTATCTCAATGTCCGTCCCCTGGATGTCCACTGTCTGTACTCTTAGTCGCCCCCACCTGTGATGAGGCCAGGAAGATTAGCTTAAGGAGGAACTATTTTAAGAGGTGTCTGATTGGTCATATGTAGCAGAAAAACGGATTTTAAAATGCTTCAATGCTAACTTTAACTTTTTTTCCTGGTATTTTAAAGAAAACATGGAGGATCTTTGCCAACAGGGGGATGTACAACACCCTCAGATTTGTACAAAAGGAAAGTTAGCAGAGCCTGCCTGATGAAAATCTACCCAGTTGTTTCCTAAATCAGTTTGAACCTGTGAATGTTCCTTTTTTGGAAATCTATGTGCGTTCAGAACTTTGTCCTTGACATTTCCACAAACTGCTCCATCACACACCTCCACATCTTACTCCCTCCTTTATTCCCTGAATATTCCCTTTTTTGTCTGCACCCGACTCCTCCTCGACCTGTTTTCCACCACATCCCATCATTCCCCCTCCTTTTACCCTCTCCTCCAGTGGGACATACATGTGAATAATTCATGCCTGCAAACATATCTATGTTGGAGGCATCTCTGTGTGGTTAATAATTCAGCTTTAAACATTTTAGCAGAGCACGAGGATGGAGAAATTGGAAAAATCCTCTTTATGTTTAGATTTTTTTTGTATATTATTTGTTTTTATAAGCGTCTCTATTGGAGGAGCTGTAGAGTTTCGCAGTGTCTCAACACCTTTGAAAACCATAAAAAAAATGCCAAATGTATGCATCTGAATATATTTGTGTTCCCTTGGGTGTGACTGTGTTTCCTTTGGATCAGATTATGTGTGTGTGTTTGCATGCTGGCGTGTGTTTGCTTGTGCGGATGCTCGCCTCTGTTCGCTTTTGTGCAGGATCTCTGGGGGCAGCGTTCAGCTTTGATGTGTGGGTGTGTAATGATGCTGAGTTGGTGTTGTCCTGCTGGTCTGTGCCCTGTGTAAACACACGTCACTTGGGTAGAAACTTCTAAGGAGAAATCTTTCCTTTTCACTGATGACCCAGAGAGACGCTGCTGCTTCCCCTCTTTTCTGATTTATTTCATAATGTAGGAGATTTATTGCATTCAAGCTTTGTTAGCTTCTTCAATGAATGTCCATTAGCAGCTGCATGTTTTTAAAAATTTTACGACACTGCTAGATCCTGCGTAAGATGCTAAGTGGTCATTAGAATGCTTTGCACTTTTAGATACATGTCTTCTAATGGAAGGTTAGCATCCTGTAAAGAATATAAGCATCAGAGTATTTTGTAGAGAGAAATTTAAGACATTTTAGCTAAAGCAATAAACCTCAGCTTACTTTCTGAATATTATGAATCCTTCATTTATTGACCCTTTTCTGATAGATACGGTGGCCCAGGGGTTCAAACCACACGTAACTAAATCATTTCACAACCTATTTAAAAGGGGCTAAAACTTCAAACACATGAAAAATGAGATTAGATTGGGTTAGATGATTAGTTGAGGCATAAACTTGATGCTAAGAGAGATTAATGTTTAAAAAGTTAAATATTTTCTTCATTCCTTCAGATGTCCTGTGGATGGCATTCTTTTTCTGGTTTAACTATAATGATTTGGTGAACAGTACTCCATAATAATATCTACTAGGGGTGTGGGGAAAAAAATGATTTAGCAATATATTGTGATTATTCAGCTGCCCAATAGAAAATTAATCTTTCAGTTCCTAATATCAATTTAAAAAGACAAAACATTTGAGCCAAAACAATGAGGGAAAATGGGCTACCTCTGCATCCCCACTCTGGTAGATAGAGCTGTGGAGCACTTTTGCTGATTGGCGCAGCAGCATATCTGTAGATGAGGTACCATATAAACAGTGTGGGAGAAACAACATGGTGCAAAAAAGCATGTTGTGTCTCCCACACTGTTTATATTTGATCACTGCTGCACTTTTTGAAATGGAAATTTCAATGAAATCTGTACTAAACAACATTTTTTTTGTATTCACTCTGTGTGAAATGACAATAAAGTTGTCTAAGTCTAATATTGTGATGATATCATATTGTGACCCAAGCATTGTGACACATATTCTATAGTAAAACCCATGAGAATACTCACCCCTAATGTCTACAATCCCATATGATTTGATGATGATTTCTCCCTGTGGGCTGAAGCATTTCAATTATGCAGTGCTTATGCAGAGCTTTTCTTACAGTTGATTTTACTGCTTTCAGAGTTTTTTTTCCCTTTTGAATGTGTTTTCTAATGTTGCATTTTTCATTACCACATAACATAATTTACAGTGAAGTCCTGTATTTATATGACATTTTCACCCCTTGGCAACAGTAGTAATAAGCACCTTTAAACTTGCCCAGTGTTTTGTAGTTAGTTAGAGCTTAGATTGTGTAATATCCAACCAATTGGCCGTGTTGTTCTTCCACAGCTGTTTTGACTCACACGGTCCTTCAAGGACCTGTTTTAGTTCAGGTAATTTTTAATCTCTATATTCAGGTTACATTTTTAAAAAACATAATATCCCCTTCCATTGTTTTGCTGATGATGTTCAGATTTATCAGCCAATTATGCAAGACATTGCCAAACCTCTTAAACCACTCTTGAACTGTCTGACTGATATTAAAATCTGGTTGAAATCAGCCCTTGTCTTTTTACAAATTCTCTGAAATCTTGAACTAGCTCTGTTGTTTTTACAGGACGGTTTTACTCCTCTGGCAGTGGCGCTGCAGCAGGGCCATGACCAGGTGGTTTCCCTCCTACTGGAAAACGATACCAAAGGGAAGGTCCGACTCCCAGCTTTGCACATAGCTGCCCGGAAAGACGACACCAAGGCTGCAGCCCTCCTCCTCCAAAATGACCACAATGCAGATGTGGAGTCGAAGGTACAGTCTGTTAGCTCTCGAAAGCAATGCAGCTTCTGTACTGATGCCATGTCAGTGAGCGGCTTTGAGATACAGAACATGACCTTTCTTTTATCCAAGCTTTTACTTTCTCTTTTACTATCCTCTTTCAAACAGCCTGAACCTACTTCCCTGTAACCCAATTTAAGGCTTTTCCTTTAATTCATAACTAGGAGTTGCTGCAGCTGTAGATTACAGAGCAATAAATTATGTTTCAATGTTCAGTTCAATTCAGTTCAGTTTATTTATATAGCGCCAATTCACAACACATGTCATCTTAAGGCACTTTACAGTTAACCAGATCATACAGTCAAATCGATTCAAAGTTTTCCATCTAAGGAAAACCAGTTGATTGCATCTACTCATTGAATCGGAGGCAATCCCTCACACTAAGCATGCTTGTAGCGACAGTGGAGAGGAAAAACTCCATTTGAACAGGAAGAAACCTCCAGCAGAACCAGGCTCAGTGTGAGCGGCCATCTGCTGAGGCCAACTGGGGTTCAAGGAGACAGAAGCAGAGATACAAAGATGTTCAGAAGTGTTTATATATATATATATATATATATATATATATATATATATATATATATATATATATATATATATATATATATATATAGTATAGGTTTAGCTTAGATTATGGTAACTTATATGATAACCTCCATCTTTAGTTTGCTGACATCATAGTTTTCAGAATAATAAACATATTTGTACAATCCAGGCATTATACCTGTAAGATTTGTGGTTTGATTTAGACATAGAGTACTTGTAGTAAACAAGACTTACCCGAATATTTCCTCCATAAAAAAATCCACATTGAAACCCATTTAAATGGATGGATATTTTTTTTAGTGACTTATTGAACGTTTCAGACTGGTTGTATCAATCAAGCTCATTTAAATAAACTGATAAAAATCAACTCAATTTAGTAAAACTGTCAAAGTAGAGATGTTGAGGTTTACAGCAGACAGCACAGGACACAGTTTCAGTCCATTTTCTTTTTGTGTGTGCTGCTGTGATTCCCCTTTAGTTCTTTTCATTATTTACAACTGCATTGTCCCATATCCATCTGAGAGCTTGGTGCAACCATGTCGGTGTTTCTGTTGTATTTGTTGTGGTGCACTAACCGCCCCATTCTCTCTTCCTCTGCAACCTTTCCTCCTTTGATACGTTCCTGTTTTTCCTACCCCTCCGTTCCCTGCCTCTTCCTTTTTCCCCCCTTCTAGATGATGGTGAATAGAACAACAGAGGTACATCTTCTTTTCTTCTACTTCTTTATACTCTTCTCTTTCTTCATCCATGCTCTCCCCTGCAAAGCCTTCTGTCTGCTAGCATGAATGCATAATGCTGGCGTGAATGCTTTTGCATCTCACCTCTGTGCCTGTTGATGAGCCTGCTTTACATTTAGACGTTGCTTTGTGTGTATGCAGTGACTAGCTTTCCCAGCAGTGGAGTTTAAAATCTGCATAAACACATTTTCTAGTTCTCTTATGCCCCACATGTGGCCTTGAAGTACAGATCTAGCTGAGGGTGGATGTGTAAAAAAAGAGCTATTGGTGCTGCAGATGCTCCAGTTTTACTCTAAATGTGATGCTTATGTGTGAAAGAAGAGGCCAAAGCAAAAATACTCCTTGTTAGTAGTTCTAGATTGACAAAGAGAAACATTTACAAAAACGTTGCACTGCTTACTAGTCTTTACAATGGAAAAAATCTAAATCTAGATAAGTAATTTTTTTCTTAAAATAACTGCATTTGTTCTTGGATTGAGGTTAGAGAGACATTTTGCCAATGGAACAAAACAATTTACAATTAAAATAAGAAAACACAATTGCATTGTCTTATTTCAAGTGCATATTATCTAATTATCTGTTTTTAAGAGTAAAAATGCTCATTCCATTGGCAAACTATCTCATTTACCTACTCAAATTAAGGACAAATACAGTTAATTTAAGAAATGTTTACTTATTTCTTATTACTTATAGGTTGCTTTTCCAGTCTTTGGTACAGTTAACGGTTCACATGTCTATAAACCTAGTCTTTTGTAACTATGATTCTCATTTGGATTTATCTTCATTTTAAAGAAAAAAATTAAAAGGATGTCTTTCAGTTTGTTGGGATTTCTAGGGATGTAACCATTTATTCCAATCTAAAAGCAAAGGGTTGTTCTCTTAATACATTAGTCGACTTATTCAGACATGTTTCACATTTAAGCAGACCATGAAGACATGGATAGTCTCATCCTGGTAAAAGGTTGAAATAAATTGTTAAATTATCTATTTACATTGTTTTCTTTGATTAAAGTGACATTCATTTAAATACACTGCTTGTCTTGCTCTAACAAAAATACAGTAGTTATCTAGGAGATTCTGTAGCAGTTGTCAAAAACATCAATTTTGGTTCTCTGCTGCATTTCATTTTAATCACTATTAGTCATACTTACAAAAATACGAGAACATATAGTTGCATGTTTAGTCCGAATCGTTTCTTTGGTTTTTTAGGCGTTCAGTTCAAAACATAGTCACAAGTTTAAAGTGGAGCTTATTGTCTTTTGTTCAGCAGGTTGGATGGAAACGCATGTTTGCCTGCATGAATGGTTTCTCTACTTCCTGTAAGATGGAAGCATGTCATTAAAGATCAGAGTGTTTCCCACAGCTGACCTATTTTTGATAATTCTAAGTCACATAACCTTTGGGTACTTTAGGTTAACCCTAAGAAAAAGGTCACATTTGTGTTAATATTAACACTCATTTGCCAATATTTCTTGAGCCATATCCTGGTCTTTAGTTGCTGGTCTGCCTTAAATCACGTCTGTTTATCTAATGGCCAACGAGTGTAATTTAGCCATAAAAGTAAAGCGTAGCTCTGGTTTGACAGCATGTTTGGTTTCTGCTCATGTAGGGATTTTTTTTGGTTTTTCTCCCTGCCTGTCTTTGGCCAGTTAATCCTCAAATCTCGACTCTTCATGCTTTTAGCCTTTAACTCTTATTGTGACAGGGTTTGGTTGGTCCTTGCTGCCTGTTTTAATTCAGTCTGTGCTCCTTTTCTGTCTCCTCCCTTTCAGAGCGGATTTACCCCCCTCCACATTGCGGCTCACTATGGCAACATCAATGTGGCGACACTGTTGCTCAACAGAGGGGCAGCTGTAGACTTCAAGGCCAGGGTAAGTACCTTATGAAGTGCTTGCTGCAACAAATGCTCCATCGGCGGCTTCAGTGTTTATGTGACTCTGCAGCTGCTTTGTCAGTCCATAGGAGAAAACATAGATACCTGGATCCCTTTTGATCCTGTTCTGTGTTATTAGGTCACAGAGTAAAAGATAAACGATAAATATTCATTAAATTTATTTTGCAAACAGGTGTGCAATTTTTTCTTCTGTTTTCAATATATTAGTCAATAACAAAAACATTGCAATTCTAACAGTTTTCATACTTTTTGGGTGTGTTTTACATTTTGTCACATTATTGTCCATTGTTGTCCAAGTTCCTGTCGCGCTTTCTACGTCACAGTCAGTTGCGCTCATTGGTCAGAGCGTTGGCCAATAGGCACAGACATGGATTAAAAAACAACTGGTTGTTCTCATCAACAATCTTCTGACGTCTCATTCATTAGTGCCAGACTAAATTACACATTTAATCTCACATTTAGACTGGTTTATCAGGCTAATTAGAGCTACTGTTAGGTACCAAGTAATACAAATTATTCAACAAGATGCCATAATATTTACAAATCATTGATGGGAAAACAGGAAAGGAAACTATGGCTGCAGCTTTGCTGGAACTTAAAGTTGACTGATACCAGTTTAAGTCCTCCTAGCCAGTAAGTGGCGCACTCTCATGCTCTGCTTCTGTACTTTCTTAAAGGTATAGTGGAGGATTTTCAAAATTTTTTGAAAGAACCCGTCCTCTCCACTTAAAAAAAAAAAAATGCACATGGACAACACTGTACCCATTCCAGAGAGGGAAAGCTTATTAAGCACATGCAAGAGCATGCAGGAGCCCATTTCTCCTTGTGTGCGCTCTGCTTACAAGTTGCTGTTTGCATCGCTCATACAAGCTTACTTTACAAAAGAGGATTTGTAATTTTTCCACTATGTCAGACTCACCACCGATAAGTAAAAATGAAGACGAGCACGTAGGACGGCCTTATATAAACATATCACCTGAATGATTAATAGTTAGGACGACCACTGATTTTGATGATCGACCTGGAAAGAACATCCTCCACTATACCTTTAAGTCAGCTCACCCTCTTTTTGTTTCGTTTTGAATAGGCGATATCCCAGCTCTTTCACAGAGCTTTCAGGATCTGGAAACGCGTGATCTCTGTCTGCGACTTTGAACTATAGCAAGGGCGTAGGTTTGATTTCCACTTTGGTAGGGACACTATTGGTTCAAAGTTTCATTAATATCATTTGACCTATGCAAAAATATGCATGCTTTTTTATGCTCTACGTGAGCATCAGGGTGCATTTCGTTTAAAGAGAAAAGCAGCATTTCCTGCTACATATATACTAATTTTATAAGCACTACACACACTAGATGTTGTTTATCAATGTTTGAAGCATCACCGGCTCTGATGAATGTGGAATTAGGACTTTTTCTCCAATTTGAAAAGGTTTGCATTTAAACTTACCAGTGACTAAGACAGAAAAAGAATAGGCTGTGATGTGTGATCCACCACGCTGAATTGTAAATTATAAACATTTTATATAAACATGTTATTTAAATCAAATTAGTGGTAGGGACAAATAGTTTGGTCCAAAATTTTGGTAGGGACATGTCCCTATGGTCCCTATGCAAAGCTATTTGTTTATTCCAGTTAAAGATTAAAAGGGAAAATATGATTCATTTTCCTTTAGGGCTGTCTGGTCATGTTACTTTCTAACAGAGAATAATGTGTGATGAGAAATGTGGCATTTACTAAATACACAAAGTCTTTTTGCTATCAGTTACCTGTAGAAATATAGCCAAAATTACTCATTTTCTGATCTACTTTCATATTTTAGCGCTTAAATAAAAGGACTGTTTAGACACTGTATGAGTGAGTATTTCCTTATTCTTTATTACAGAATGATATAACACCTCTGCATGTAGCATCCAAACGAGGAAACACCAACATGGTGCGGCTGCTACTGGAGAGAGGGGCGAAGATCGATGCAAGGACAAAGGTACCGACAGGTTTCAGACCTTCTGAGATGTTATCAAAGAGGAAAACTGATCTTTTTAGTTCTGGTTTAACTGCAAAAAAATCCAAAACAAAATTTTTGCAAATGTGAGAAAGCACAAAAGTTCTTATTATTAAAGGTTGACATGCACTCATTAAAGGTATGTATGTTAAATAAGGGTCTAAATAATTTTACCAGGATTGATTGATGGTATAACACACAACTTCAGATAATTAAAATTAAATGTTGGCTCACAAATAAAAATGTATTTTGTATTTACTTTAAACGGGTTAAATTTAATAAAAACTTAAACATATCAATCCATGTGCAGGTAAACAATGAGATCATGGAACCTCTACTGCACATTTCTGTAATACCACTAAACTTCTGATATAATTCTCACCAGATATTTAAACTTCTTCTTACCAGCAGTTAATTAAAAAGGCTGGTTTCCTAGAGTTTAATTGATGTTGGAGCCAATTAAAGAATTTAATTAAAGCCTGATTAATCTATTAAATTAATATTTATATCTGTTGGAGATTGTTTTCAGGTTGAAACACCCAGTTCCCTCCAGGTATCATTGATTATTTTTTGATTGAAGATGAAGTTCAAGAATTTTTTAGAATTTTTACCATCCATTCTTTGCTAAAATTAGAATAACACCACGCCATTATGCTGCCACCACCATGCATGGCAGTTATTACCTCTGCCAGGGAGGTAATAACTGCCATGTTTTGGGTCATGTTTGTTGGTTTTCTTAGCAGGAGTAGTTGAAAAGTTATGAACTGAACTTAATACATTTGTATTGGAGGTTCCCCTCATGCTGAGGAACAATGAAATAAAATTAGGTAATGATCTAGATCATGTGCGTCTTTTAGCTATAGGCATATGTCACAATATGAAACAAAATGTGCTGCTGGCAGAGTTTTGCGCCGTCATTGCTTTTTAAGTTTCCATTGATTTAGTAGCTTTATTGTGCCTCATAATGTAGAAAAACTATCCCTGTTAAAGTTGTTACGTCCCCTGGCCGGGTGTAGGAGGTATAAGGGACCAACATAGGTTTAGACAGGAAATCAAGGAGTCAAAAATGCATTTAAAGAGGTTAATTCCGACATTTTTTTAAACTAAGTTATATGTAGAGTGGTAATAGGTTCAGGCAGAGCTCATGCAAAAATAACAAACAAAACAAGAAAAAGAAAAGTAGACTTACCTAACTCAAACTAAAACCAAAATATACAAGCCTACAAAATAACCTACCCAACAAGCACATAAACAGGAGAAAACTGGGGTTAAACTAAAGGCAGCTCTCCTCTACAAAAAAAAAACAAACGAACATCTGAACAGGTTTCTATTGCAGGAAATTACAGCCCATTATATGCTACAAACAACCCCAGAGGTGTATGACAGACAAACGGCCCAGAGGCCCTGAAGTATAGCTTCACAGACCCTAAATAGTGTGCAGGCGATAGCTGATTGGGCTTAGACTCCAGAAAACTGATCTCTACTTATTCACTGGAATGCTGATAGCCAATAGTGAAGCCACTGACCGCCATATTGGTACTCCCACGGAGATGTGGCATAAAAATCTACTTGTTTAGCATTTGGCTGCAAAAACAAGCAGTTTGCCAGCTGTAGGAAGACCTTTCACTGGTAATTTCACATACTGGATGTACTAACCAATAAACTCCATATATACAGTACGCCGATGTATCCTGTATTATAGTTTCTAGGGTAACATTAGTCTGGCTATCTTGGACTGACTCAAGTACAGTATATTGACTGAGTTAGCCATATACACACTGTCTCACTTTAGAAAATAGAAAGTAGAGTAAATAGATAGTAATTCACTGTGAAATGTCAATGTAGTAATTCTTTACTAAGTGGATAACTGGTGAAGGTTCTTAGTCATCCAGGTCATAGTCAGCAAGCAACTCAAACATTTTCAAAGTCTAATGCACAGACACAACATAGAAGTTTATGGAATCATTCATGCACAATTTGCAAATAGGAAAATACTATAACATTAATTGACACGTAATTCAGTCTTGATTTGAAATGTTGAAAATATATGTAATATGTAATTACCGCAACAATGTACTCAATACATGTATATTACATGTACATCATCAATTTAGATTTTGCTGTGATGGATTTTTGTCATATGTCATATTACATGATTTATACACTTCATTGACTTCATACTGACTATGCAATGTGATATCCCTATTTTATGTATCATAAGTTACAGTAATCTACTTATGTTATAAATCAATAAGTGTGTATCAAAGTGATGAATTTATCTTTATTTTAAAAGTGTTAAGCCCCCCTGAAAATGAGAAGATCATCGTTGTTCGATGCTGTAGGCAAAGTATTGTTTACATTGCAACAGGTTTAACTAGGGAGTACCAATATGGCGGCCAGTGACTTCACTCCACCTCGTACTATCAGCGGCCTATCAGCAATTCCGTGAATAAATAGAGATAAGTGCTCAGGAAACAGCACCCAATCTTAGAGGTGGAGCCTAAAACACAACAAGGTGTTACTTGGGTGCAAAAAACAAAATGGCATCCATCTTTGGATGTGGCCAAAAAGTGGACAAAATGTTTTTTGTTTTTTTTTTGTCTATGCATCAGAGTTTTTTTTTTTTTTTTTATGTAGCACTTTGAGATTTGAAGTCAAATGTAAAGTGCGTTACAAATAAAATTCATTATTATTATTATTATTATTAGAGCTGAATGCCTGGTCACTGAAGTGAGATCAGATTTAACTGGTTGCTCTTTTTTGCAGGATGGTTTGACTCCTCTCCACTGTGGTGCCAGAAGTGGCCATGAGCAGGTGGTGGAGATGCTGCTGAACAGAGGAGCTCCAATACTGTCCAAGACCAAGGTGCAACTTCAGCTTTTCCATCTTTGTTACCCTGACACTCTTACGTTCCATTAATTACTCCATTAATTTCTAACTCCATAAAAACTGTCACTATCTTGTCTCCCCAGAATGGTTTATCTCCTCTTCACATGGCGACGCAGGGTGACCACCTGAACTGTGTCCAGCTGCTGCTGCACCACGAGGTGCCTGTAGACGATGTGACGAATGACTACCTGACGGCTCTTCACGTGGCCGCACACTGCGGTCACTACAAGGTGGCCAAGGTCATTTTGGACAAGAAGGCTAATCCCAACGCTAAGGCACTGGTGAGGAGCAATACTTGAATCAAAGATTGAAAGAAATTTATTTACAATTACTTATACTGATAGAAACTCAGATAGGAAACAGAAGTCCCAATTTGACTTGGTTCTGCAAAAAAATCTTACAGAAAAATAAAAACTGGGGAGATCAGCCATACAACAGGACAAAGAGCATGATGGAAAACATATCACTAGCTTCTTTTCTGACGTAAGAGTGGGATTTGGGCTCAGTAATGGGAAAGGTCTGGGTGTGGTTAGAGCTCTGGGACTTTATGACCGGAGAGAATGAGGAGAGAAAAAAAAGAACACGGGTTGGAAATGAAGTCATACGACTGAGCCAAAAACCTAAAAGAAACAGAAAGAGGGGGGGAGACTACAGTTGGAGAGAAAAAAGTGAGCTGTAGGGAAAATTATCTATTTTGGGTGCCGAGCAGACTCGATCTTTCTCAATATGTTTGTCAGGTTTCTAAAGGAGAAGCTTTCAGGGGAAAAAGTTTTCTCTTTGTTTTAAACTTTCCATTTGGTGTTTGAGAGTTTTCCTCCTTTTCACTCTGCGGGACTTCAAACGAGAAACACAAAGACTTTCTTTGGACTATCTTTACTTTTTGAAATTTACATTTCTTTTTGTTTTTTCTTTTTTTTAATCTTAGAATGGTTTTACCCCTCTGCACATTGCCTGTAAGAAAAACAGACTGAAAGTGATGGAACTGCTTCTGAAGCATGGGGCGTCTATACAGGCCGTCACAGAGGTAGGGAATTTGTGTTTTTGTTCATGTGTGGAATATGTGTGTTATTAAAGCAACATATCAGCTTTGGTTTACAGAGCAGTTATTATGTGTCTGTACCATGTGCCAGCACTGACAATGAATTATTTAGTTCTAAAAGCTTGTTTTACGGAGGCTTTTCTTGTGCACATTTCATGCATCGTATTTTTGCACATCTTTAAACTGCAAAAAATTGCTTAAAAGGCTCTGAGTGGTGAACTATTAACCACCTAAAAATTCAATTAACAAAAATCAAAATTTACATTTTAAACCATGTCAAAATGGCAATTAAGACACCAAAAAAATAATTTTATTTAAAAAAAAAATTCACTATTCTGAACATTAGGCTGTCGCTTTTTTTTTACGTATTTTGGGTGCACACTGTCTGCTACAATTCTGCACTGCCTTCTTTATTGTCTTTCTTTAGATCATTTGTAAAAGTTTACTTCCTAAGATTTTTAGCACAATCTTAACTAGTTTTTCACAAATTTTGACAGACACTGGTAAAAAAAAAAAATTTGATTTATCTCACAATCATCTTTCTCTTCACCACAAGGATTCATTCTTGGTTAAAAATTCAAAGATTTTTTATCGTTCACCTTTTTCGAGCAAATTGTGTAATCATTTTTTTTTTGTACTTATTGTTTAAAAAAAATAAATAAATAAATGAAAAAGGTTTTGTGCTATTTGATAAATTAAAATTGTAATTTATTTTTTTGTCACAAAGCCAGTGGTGGAGCTTGTAACTCTGCTACTGTCTCTTTAAAAAAAAAGCTTAAAAGAGTTGCATCATGTAATCGTGATAAATCTGCGTAATCGGTACATCTTCATACAATGTTACGGTTTTTTCATTGTAAGCTTAGCTTTACTGTTTAGATATTTTCATGCTTATGAAAAAAAATCACCTTTCCACTTATTTCTTTAGACATGAATTAGGGCTGAGACAATTTATTGGATTAATTGTGATTAATCAATTATTGAAATAATCGTCAACTCAATTATTAATCAATTATCTGTTAACTGGAGTGTAGAGACTCTAAAGCAGACGACAGATCCACCTACCTTGAGCAGCAATTATACCAAATTGTAATAAAAACATGTGAACATTTTTCATTTAAGATAGAATTCTTTTTCATCAGTCATTATGCTCTATACAGAAATCAGTTTTAGTTTCACTTGGTTTAATTTAGCAAAACGTCTTCTTTAAGGAACCTTTGGCTATCCAATTATTAATTGAAAGAAAAAATATGAGGAAAAAAATAAAAAAATAATCGACAGATTAATTAATTTGCAAAATAATCGTTAGTTTCAGCCCTAATATAAATGAAGCACATCATGTAGTCGGGACGTTTATCTAAAAGTCATAACATTATTTTTGGTATATAAAAAAGCTAAATATTAGTAGTATTTGTTTTTCTTTGCTGAGGGTAATTGTTTCAGATAAGAACATATTTTCAGATATTCAGAGTTCATCAACAGATTTGTTTGTCCTCAGAATTCAGAGAAAATGGGAAGAATATAAGTCAGTACATATTTACAGGTGCTGGTCATAAAATTAGAATATCATGAAAAAGTAGATTGATTTCAGTAATTCCATTTAAAAAGTGAAACTTGTATATTATATTCATACATTACATACAAACTCATATATTTCAGATGTTTATTTTGTTTAATTTTGATGATTACAAATGACAACAAATGAAAATCTCAAATTCATCATATCAGAAAATTAGAATATTACTGAAGACCAATAAAAACAAAGGATTTATAGAAATGTTGGCCAACTGAAAAGTATGAACATGAAAAGTATGAGCATGTACAGCACTCAGTATTTAGTTGGGCCTCCTTTGGCCTGTATTACTGCAGCAATGCGGCGTGGCATGGAGTCGATCAGTCTGTGGCACTGCTCAGGTGTTATGATAGCCCAGGTTGCTCTAATAGTGGCTTTTAGCTCTTCTGAATTGTTGGGTCTGGTGTATTGCATCTTCTTCTTCACAATACCCCATAGATTTTCTATGGGGTTAAGGTCAGGAGAGTTTGCTGGCCAATTAAGAACAGGGATACCATGGTCCTTCAACCAGGTACTGGTAGCTTTGGCACTGTGTGCAGGTGCCAAGTCCTGTTGGAAAATGAAATCTGCATCTCCAAAAAGTTGGTCAGCTGCAGGAAGCATGAAGTGCTCTAAAACTTCCTGGTATGTGGCTGCGTTGACCCTGGACCTCAGAAAACACAATGGACCAACACCAGCAGATGACATGGCACCCCAAACCATCACTGACTGTGGAAACTTTACACTGGACTTCAAGCAACGTGGATGAAGTGCCTCTCTTCTTTTCCTCCAGACTCTGGGACCTTGATTTCCAAAGGAAATACAAAATTTACTTTCATCAGAGAACATGACTTTGGACCACTCACCAGCAGTCCAGTCCTGTTTCTCTTTAGCCCAGGCAAGACGCTTCTGACGCTGTCTGTGGTTCAAGAGTGGCTTGACACAAGGAATGCGACAGCAGAAACCCATGTCTTTCATACGTCTGTGTGTGGTGGTTCTTGAAGCACTCACTCCAGCTGCAGTCCACTCTTTGTGAATCTCCCCCACATTTTTGAAAGGGTTTTGTTTCACAATCCTCTCCAGGGTGCGGTTATCTCTCTTGCTTGTACACTTTTTTCGACCACATCTTTTCCTTCCCTTCGCCTCTCTATTAATGTGCTTGGACACTGAGCTCTGTGAACAGCCAGCCTCTTTAGCGATGACCTTTTGTGTCTTGCCCTCCTTGTGCAAGGTGTCGATGGTCGTCTTTTGGACAACTGTCAAGTCAGCAGTCTTCCCCATGATTGTGTAGCCTATAGAACTAGACTGAAAGACCATTTAAAGGCTTTTGCAGGTGGTTTGAGTTAATTAGCTGATTAGAGTGTGGCACCAGGGGCCATCAATTTTGAACCTTTTCACAATATTCTAATTTTCTGATATGATGAATTTGAGATTTTCATTTGTTGTCATTTGTAATCATCAAAATTAAACAAAATAAACATCTGAAATATATGAGTTTGTATGTAATGTATGAATATAATATACAAGTTTCACTTTTTAAATGGAATTACTGAAATCAATCTACTTTTTCATGATATTCTAATTTTATGACCAGCACCTGTACTTGTTCATCAGGTTAATTCAAATTATGTGTTTATCTTTGCCACTAAATCCCCAATAATAATTGATATGCTTCTCCTGAATTTGTGACTTTTAATCTGGAAGTGGTGTCTTTTGTTTTTGTTTTTTTATTCTGCCTCCATCTACAGTCTGGTCTGACGCCGATCCATGTTGCTGCGTTTATGGGACATGAAAACATCGTCCACCAGCTGATCAACCACGGGGCTTCCCCCAACTCGAGCAATGTGGTGAGATCAGAAAGTTCCTGAATGGTTTCTTTTCCTTGTCACTATGCCTGGTGTCAAATATTCACTCTAAACTTTAATTGCTCCAATGGAAAACATTGTTGGAAGGATTATTAACCACATTAGAATAATAACACCATTAAACCTAAAAAGTTAGCCCAAATCTTCTACAGTGATGATATTTTTTTGAAGTTTAACTCATTCTTTATTAGTTTAGTATGTTGTGTTTGTTGTAAGGTTACCATAGGAACAGAAAGTAACAAGACATTAGTTATTTTAATAGAAATTAAAGATGCCTTGGCTTTTTCAAACTATTTAAAATACTTCCTCTAATGTTTTCTCAAATCTGCTTTTGCATAGCTTTTATTTTTTGGGCGGTCTGGGGTGTTTATGTATTTCAGAGAGGTGAGACAGCGCTGCACATGGCAGCGAGGGCTGGACAGTCTGATGTGGTCCGATATTTGATTCAGAACGGAGCCCAGGTTGATGCCAAGGCAAAGGTACGTCATCTATTCATCATTTTGAACATGCTTGTATGCAAGACCTCTGGAGTTGGTGTGTGTGTTCAGCTTTACTGTTAGAACAAGACTTTAATACCCTCTATAATCATAAAATGATTATATTTCATGCTGGTCCTTAAGGTCTCTGAATAGGGTGTGTAGCATTGGTTAAGCTAAAAATGCCATATTTGCTGTTCTATGAGCCCTAATGCAAGCCTGGTTAAAAGCCCTAGAATGAAACGACAGGTTTTCTTCCTTTTATAGTATGCTGATGAATATTAGATGAGCCGTGGGCTGATTGGTTGGTTTATAATGAGGGAAGCTGCTGAGCAAAGACGTATCATAGCAACAAGCTCTCACTCACTAAAACATAGAAATTGTTGATATGGTAGGGTGACCAGACGCCATCTATTTATACCTAAAAAAATGTCCGGGGGGAATTTCTAAATCGTCCGGGATTTTGGTCGACTACAGTGCAGCACTGGAGCCTTCAGCTCCAGGACTGGTCCGGGAACCCTGGGGGGGCATGGAGCCAGCAGGGGACGGAGCAACCGACCTGGTGACAGTAGCCTGCCCCGTGCTTCCCCCCGCCTGAGTTACCGGCCCCCATTCCCCCTCCTCCGGCTGCGAACGGGCGGCACATGGCTCTCTGCTGAGGTCCGGTAGAATCAGCGGCCCAGCAGTCGACACTTCATACCCCCTAGATATGCTAGCATTACTATCAACAGCTTAGCAAAAAAATTATGCATACAGCTTGCGGTTGTGATGACCTTACGGTCGGAACAGCCCCTCGTTTCAGTAAAAGAAGTTTAGCAGATCCTCCTTTGAACTGTCACCGATTTTGAAAGCTGTCTTTGATAAAATGCTTAGAAGAAATGAACAGCTGAGCATCAAACTTTGCAGGGATCTTCTGAAAAACAAAAAAAAATCCATGCTTGTCGAGTCTTTGGATCCTTGGGAAGACTGTGGAAAATGTCCCCTTTCTCCGTGCAGCCTGGAACACTGTATTTACGCCCGTGGTTCTGGCTCATTTACAATAGAGAAACTGCCTGCTTTGTAATTCTTGTAGAAGTTAACCCAACTGTAGGCTAAACAGCTAAACTGGTGTCTTACATCTTCGCGACCTCTGTTCAGGTTTTTGGGCCAGTGAACCAGTGGGTGTCGATTTCATGGCATAAACCCCCGGTTTACATCAACTCTGTTCTTTCTTTGGATTCGCCCATTTTATGGTGGAAGTTGAGATTTGTGAGATTTGAGAAAGGTGTTGATGGGGTTTGAACTTCTCTGTACGTCCATTTTACCCACTGAACTATCGTTATTCATCTATGACAATGTAAAGTCAGTTTTGCATTCTATGGTCCCTTTAAGTAAATAAAGTCATTCATCTCTTTTTTTATTTCGTTTCCTTCCTGTGTGCACCATAAAGCACACATTTCTAAAAAGAAATAAATCACCATTTGACGAATCACTACAGACATAATTATGAAGGGAAAAAAGCATGGCCATTTTCAGCATAAGTCCAAATTAATTTGAAGTTTCAGCATTTTCAATCCTATACTGCTACACCCTAGCCTTGTGAGACCATCCTGATCTCGCGAGCTTTCAAGGTTTCACTCGCAAATCAGTCTGGAGACTCTCCATTAAAGAAAATTTGGAGCCGTTCACCAAACGAACGTCCAATCAGCGTTGGCTTTGAGGCGGGTTGAGGTGTGACGCAACGAGAAGTGCGACAGTTCAGTCTAAAGAACATGGCGACTTCAGCCGATGAAACTAGCGTTAGCCTGGCTATCGAGCAAGTTTTATCGGAATTACAGAGTATTTCTTCGCTGAAAGAAGAGCAAAACACTGCTCTGGAGGCTTTTCTCAGAGGACTAGATGTTTTTGCTCTTCTCCCGGCTGGTTTCGGCAAGAATAGCCTGGCTTGTGGTTGTGTTTTCGTCATCGCTCTGTTAGTACGTCATATGCTTCGTTGATCTGATTGGTTTATTTGGCCCGTCTATCACCAACATAGGCCAATCAGCTAACCAGTATTTTCGCTTCTTCCCAAAATTACTTCAACGGAAGGTTTCCAGATGGATATGTGGAGCAAATCCATCTGGCGGAGTCAGGTTAGCTACACGCCTAATTACACATCATATTGAAGAGCATGTAAAGAGAGTTCCCTAGTTTTCTTCTAAACACATCATAAATTTCAGAAATGTTTTGTTCTACATTCAATTTCTATTCAGTTATTTCTATAGTGCCAATTCACAACACAAGTCATCCGAAGGCACTTTACAGTGACAATTCAACCAGACCATACTGTCGGGTTCTTTCATAGTTTTCTATCTAAGAAAAACCAGCTGATTGCACAGACCCATTGACACTTTAACAATCCCTCACACCGAGCATGCTTGTAGTGACAGTGGAGAGGAAAACTCCTTTTTAACAGGAAGAAACCCCCAGCCGAACCAGACTCGGTGTGAGATGTATTAAAAGCCTCCCAACCTTTTATCATTGCTGTGTAGTACTAGAATTAAATTCCAGTTTCAATATCCCCATGCTTCAATATTTATTGGAGGTGTCTAAAAGTGCAGCCTCACATTGTCATAAGGCTGCCTTCAGCATAGGCTCCGCCCACTTATTTTACAGCAATATGAAAACAAACAGCAATGTGACTTTTCAGAACCTATATTTAGAGCCTGTTCAGACCCCTCTAGCATCTTTCACTGATCCCTCTGAATTAAAAATCAGAATATATATAATATGTAGCCTATTTTATTTCTTTAAAATTGTTGCATTGAAATAGATCACTGCATGGTCCTAGTGGTCACGCCCCAGCATCTCAGGGCAGACAGAAGTGACTTTATATGTTTGGTCCTGTTTTTAATTACACATTTATTTGGATCTAAACTTTCAATCTTATAAACTGTAAATGCAGCTGCTGTTTTCGACTCAAAACAATCAGGATAGAATTTATAAAATATGTTTGCAAATTGCAACACAACACTCAAGACATATAAAGTGATAAGTTGTCAGCTATGATTCATTCTAAAAATTGTTGATTTTTTAAGATTATTTTTAGCCTCTAGGGGCCTTAATTGTTAGAGAGGGGAGAAACATTTGGCCAAGGTCAGCAAGGCCTGTACTCTAAGCTGTGTATGGGTCTATGCACTCTACCTCTATGCCACAGCAGCACCCCAAATTCTAACCATTGTTAATAGAGAACTTTAGTCCCTGACTTTTCAGAGCATTCATCAAAAATTGAGTTTCTAATCAGTATGTTGCTGTTTTCTGGTGTACAAAGTTTAATTAGATTTTTATTGCTCTCTTCTGTGTGACACAAATAGCTATTTACTTTAAAAATGCATTTTTCTTTGCTCTGTCTACGTGGAAACAAGCAGTTTTACCCAAATGCATCACTTATATCTTGATTAAAGGTGAGCAAACTATTTCAGTTCAAAATAAACTGCATCTCACCAGTAGAGCTATTTAAGGAGCAGCTCTGCTTTAATGTCTATTTTGAGAATTAGAAGGTCTTCTGTAAAGATCCTTAAGAACTGAATCATCTGATGGTTTAAATAGCTTTTACTGACTGAATAGGAACTTTTTAAAATGTTGGAAATTATACAAATCTGTTCCACACTTTTGTAGATGGATAATAAGAGAACAGAAAAGGAAATCTGAACATAGCTGAGCAATTTGCCTGACGGAACAAAGAGTTTGCTTTATCTTTGTGTGAGTTTGCAGGTCCTGTTATTTACCATGATCTGGTCTCCATCAGAAAATGCTTGCTTTGTTCTCACAAACAGCAGCTTAAACAAGCATATGAAATATGCTTTATTACTAAGACATTTTTAAACTGAGTTTATTGTTGCCAAAAATGTATGGTTAAATACTCTTTAAATGTAAGTTCAATCCCTTTCCTCAGAAAGAGGAAAACCGCCAGTTCAGCTGCTATACGCACTAGGAAGAAAGAACGGATTAATATGTTTTTGTATTAATGGATTTGTGTTGTTTTCTCTTTTTTTTTACTTCAGGATGACCAGACTCCGCTGCACATCTCAAGTCGTCTCGGTAAACCCGACATCGTGCAGCAGCTGCTGACAAAAGGAGCATGTCCAGATGCCACCACCAACTCTGGATACACACCTCTGCACCTGGCTGCCAGGGAGGGACACCGAGACGTGGCTGCATCTCTGCTCGATCAAGGCGCTAATCTGAGCATTACTACAAAGGTACCGAGCAAACAAGTCATAAATGACATGTTTTACAGGTTTTTGCGGGGTCTTACAGCCTTTTCTGGGTTAATATAGTTTGGAGAGTCTTAATTCTCTATTATCATGAGCTCAACAGGGATATTTGTGCAATATTTTTTGCTACTGCAGAGTAGCATTAATTAAAATCTCCCCATTTTATATTTTGAAGCTGAATCATCTAAAAGCCATTTTCCTAGATCAGCTGTTTGCTTTGGTTTGACATAGTTTTCTTAGCAGTACCTATAGTGGCAGTTTTTTTATTTTATGGATTGTTTGATAACCCAATAAGATAACACTTCAGGCTTTGTTACTGTATAAAACAGGTTTGCAGTTTGGGGGGAAAAAATCTGTAATAATCAGTGACTTGTTTATATTTAACCTTAAAATTATTCATAAAGTCTGTTATGCAGCATTGATTGAATCTCTTTTTGTTGTCTTTTGTTTTCCTACAGAAGGGTTTCACTCCTTTACATGTTGCTGCAAAGTATGGAAAGATAGAGGTAGCCAACCTGCTGCTTCAGAAGAACGCTCCAGTTGATGCTTCTGGAAAGGTGACACAAGTTAAAGCATCGCTAAGATAATTTAGGAGTACAGATTTCAATACCGTTATTTATGCATATAGAGTGCCAAGAAAAAGTATGGAAGGGGATTAGGGACACTGAACAAAAAAAAACAACAACGTCTGCTTAATGAAACAAAATAGCCTATTGATTTCTGACTTCAGTCTCAAAATTCGGACTAATTCTGATTTTATTCTCAGAATTCTGTCCTTAATCTCAAACTAGTTCTCGTAGAATTATGACTTGTTTATTCCTTCTTTATTTAAGTGATAATCCCAGACTTTGGTGATAGAATCCTAATAAATTAGGCTTTTAATTCAGAGAGAAAAAAGTCAGAATTCAGTAGTCTTTTGTTTTGAGTGGTTGTCTTTTTTTTTCTTTAATGCCCTCATCCTCTTGTGTAGAAAAGTAATAACATCCCTTGATGTTTTTTTAATCCTTTGTCTCCTTAAAACCACAAACCTGTGGTTTACTTGTTAAATGTTATTTTGCGGGATGTCAGGTCGTAGACCAACACAAAGCTGTTTATAATTGTGAAGTGGAAGGAAAATAATAGGTCGTCTTAGGGAAGTTCGACTTAGGGGAAGAGTGTAGATTAGGATACCATAGATTAAATGAAAGCCCTAAAAGATGTCGGTTAGGTTTGATTGAATGATGTGGGGTCAAAGTAAACATGTGAGAGATTGTTCTATGGTCAGAAGAGACCAAAATATAATCTTTAGTAACTTTCAAAGCCTCGTATTTATGGCAGAAAACAAATGAGACCAATAAAACCTTATACTGCATTTTCAAACATGGTAGTGGCTGCATTATGCTGAGGATGTGCTTCAGCAGTGATTGGGAAAGCTTTCTAAGTTGAAAGGGAGGATAAAGTTTAGCACAGGACGATGCTGGAAGACGGATTCTTAGAAACTATTAAGTGGATAATTGTAAAGATGAAGCCAGAGCTGCAAAGAAAAGCTTCGACTAAACCGTATTAAGAATGGTCCAGTCAAAGTCCAGACCTAAATTTGATCACCTGTAGTAAGACTTCTAAAAATATTAGTGAGAGATGATGTTCATGCAACCTGACTGAGCTTGAATAATTTTCCAAAAGCAATTATGCAAAACATTTAGAAATTCATCATCCAAATGAAAAAACATTCTGAGAGCTTCCCAAACTGGGAAGTTTTTCATTTTTTTTTTTTCACCATCTAACCTTTGCTCATGTTTGTGTGTGTTCAGAGTGGACTAACTCCACTGCATGTGGCAGCACACTATGATAACCAGAAGGTGGCACTGCTCTTGCTCAAACAGGGAGCTTCACCCCACGCTGCTGCCAAGGTAAGAGATGGCAGGGAGGGGGTTGGTTCAAATCGAATGTTCCTAAAAGCATCTCTGTCGCTCTGTGCGCCAAAGCAGCCTGACCCAGTTAGAGACGTCCAGTCATTCTGCTCTGCACGGCCTCATTCCACACCCTTTCCACTTTGGCAGCATCTGCTCAGTAAAGAATCTGCCCCAGAAATCAGACAGGCTGCACACCCTAACAGAATTAATTATTGGATGAACTAAAGCTTCAGGAAATTGTTTTGAGTTAAGTTACATTCAATTTTCCATATCAGTTTCCTGTGAAACACAGTTATGAAAACACTCACACATATGTTAAAGCAGCCTATATTTATCCCTTAGTGTATATTAGTTACTTCCAAATGTCATGCTGGGTTTGTCAGATATAATATCATTGTGTATAAATAAAAAACTTTTTTTTTTCATTTTTACTGTCTTCATTAGGGGGAATTTAGTTTTAAAGCTTGTTCATAAGTGTTTTTTTTTCTCCTCTCTCCTTTATTTTCCTAAACTTTTCCCCTCTCCCTTTCTTACGTCCCTTTCTGCCTCCAAGTCCGTTCCATACGATTTTAGGCCCTTAATCATTTTCAGTAAAGTTTCACATCTAATTACCAAGTGGAAACTTATGGCACCAACTATAAAGGTCTGCTTGTGGAAGTAAATCTGTTGGGCAATTATTCAGCTCTGGCACATCGATCCTCAGAGCTATACTTGCAAAACAGGACACAGAGGGGGAAAAAAAGAAAGAAAAGAAAAAAGATAGTCAATTATTCAGGCAAATTCGTCACTGTGAATAAAGGGGCCAAATATTTTACCCAAGTAAGAGTAGGGACAATTTATAAAGTTATTTCACAAATAAAAATAAAAGCTACAGTCCAAGAATTGCTAAAAGTAATTTGTTGTCAAAACATTACATTGACGGTTTGATAAATACATTATTTCCTTGTCTGGACTTTTCCAGGGAGACGGGGAAGAAAACAAAAAAACTGGAATATATAACTACTAATAGCAAAGGTTCAGTCTTAAAATTAGTGTATTTACCCTTTATTTGAGTAGGTAAATAAGATGATCTGCCAATAAAATTTGTATTTTAAAAAAATTTTGATATTATGCACTTGAAATAAGAGGCTGCAGTTGTTTAAAATGTAAATTGTCTTCTTCCACAGGCAGGTGACTCACTAACCTGCTCAATTCAATAAAAAATGCTCCTATTTTAAGAGAAATTGACTTAGTTAGAGTTAAATTTTTTGCAGTTTGATGAATGTGAGGGACCGAGCCAGCCAAGCATGAGGACACAGTGGTGATTGTCAAGAAAACTGGGTTTTATTTACCCAAAGTAGCAGTAATCCAAACAAAAATTTCAGGGCCCTTAAAAGAGGTCAAATGAAGAGACTAACTAAGGGCAAAAAATATCAAGTTCAAACATATCAAACCTCAAACTAACTGAACAAACAAAAACTGACCTGACACACAGCAAACAAAGGGGACTTAAATACTGGCTGATCAGACCAGACTGACACACTGAGGAAGAGGTAGGGAGAACATCTACACCAATTTAACAAAAAATTACTAAACAGTTAGCTTAAGGATTAAACTTAAATGACAATCATTAAACAAATTAACAAAATGAGCAAATCACAAAAGTAAGAAGAAGAAATTATGCAACATATTTAAAATGTGGAGTCCATGGTCTTCCTCCATAGTGGAACTCCAGATGGTATCACCCAATCAGTCCATGATCATGTCAGCCACATTCTCCCAGTTGATGGCACTCCCACAACACCAGAAAAGAAAGCACAAAATATATTAAGCATTTGACAAAATTAAATATACAAAAGTTGACCAAATGTGCGCGCTACAATTGGAACTAATGTCTTCAATATTGTCAAAATAAACAAACCAATATATTTATGCTAGTGTGCATTAAAACTTATGAAAAAGTGGTTGTGTGTGGGGTTACTGACTATGTGACCACAATGAACGAAATGTGATCGAGGGTTTCTGTCCATCCGTGGCTGCTGCAATGATTGCAAAGACAGAGAAAAGACTCAGAAGGTCCCACTGAGAAATAAAATATAGTTTGCCAAAGAACAGATTGAGCCACCATAAAAGGAAATGAAGCTACATTTTCTGAATTACAACAAAATATTAGCTGTGTGAGGAAAAAATGAATCTGCATGTAATCCGATTATTTATTATTCCAACACTAAAAACCAAACTTGACCCTTTTTTCCTGTGAAGAGCTTAACTGAAGTTTTTCATTAAAGATAAACATTTCTGCAGGTATCCTAGTGGTCGTCTGCTTTAATCCGTTGTTTTGTTTTTGTTTTTTTACAGAACGGTTACACTCCGCTTCACATCACGGCCAAGAAGAATCAGATGGAGATCGCCACCACCTTGCTGGAGTACGGCGCCTCCACCAGCACGGTGACGCGTCAGGGCATCACTCCTCTGCACCTGGCAGCACAAGAAGGAAACGTGGACATAGTGACTCTGCTGCTGGCTCGAGACGCTCCTGTTGGCTCCAGCAACAAGGTGCCACACACACCCAGACACGCCGGCCTGAAAGCTTCTTTTTTGTTCTTTATTTGAGGGCAAATGGGACGTTAGAGGAGTCACATTTAACTAAGGGTCTGTGTTAGGAGCGTAAATATATATTCATAACCTTGGGGTGTTATTATAGTTGAGAATAACAATCTTTACCCGAGACTCTGTTATTTCTTCTCTGATTCTTTTTTGATGCCCCCTAAACTCTCTTCCTCCTGAGGTCCAAACCTGCCATCAAGCCTAAAACCAGCTGTGTTTCCCTTTGACTGTGACTCTATCATTGTTTGTCTCCTCAGTCTGGTCTGACTCCACTCCACCTGGCTGCCCAGGAAGATAAAGTCAACGTTGCGGAGGTGTTAGTTAACCATGGAGCCTCCATAGACCCTGAGACCAAGGTAATGAGAGAGTCCTGTTCCATTTACTCCTCAAATGTCAGGTTTTAGTTGGTTTTATTTTATGATAGGGCTCGTGAAAATGAGGCCCTGTACCTCAGTGGGACTCACCTGAATAAAGGTTACAAAATAATGCTTTTAACAGGTTTTTGGAGATAAAGGCTTCTGTAATCAGAGCAGCGAATATAAAAAACTAAAAATGTTTTACAAAAAGCAAGATATGAATACGGGATTTTTTAAATGAAAAATGAATTAGGTGAAGCATGATTCTTTGGAACTGGAGCTGGATTTTCTTTCTGGGAAAAGCTGCTCAAAGAGTGTAGGAGAGATGAGCAAAGAAGTAAATAAAAATCAGTAATTTACACGTGTTTTGATTTCTCACAAATATCAGCTATATGAAGTAAATAATGTTGGATCTCAATCTATATCCAGCCGTTCTGTGAAGGTTTGAGACAAGTTAGAGGATAATTTTACAAGCTCTCAACAATTCACAAAGACCTGTTCAATCAAGAATCTGAAAAAAGAGTTTTGCACAACAGCAAACCTACGTCACAAGCTGGGAAAAGAGATTATGAACCAGAGAGCAGGGCTTCAAGAAGGGAAAGAGTAGCTGTTTCAAAAGATCATCTGGTCCAGATGTTCCAATTATGGATCAAAATTCCAACATCTGCCACTTCACCTGAAAGATAAGATGTTAAAATATATACTCGGACAGGATGGCGCACACCCAGGGGAGGAGCTGCGAATAAGACAGCATAGTTGAGCCCCTCCAAAATCTAGGTTTTATAGAAGAGTTGCAAGAAAAATGGTGAGATTGGGGGGAAACCCCACAATAATTGCCTGGCTGTGTGTTTCCTGGACGGGTTCCAGCTTTTTCAGTTGCCTTTTGTATCTCTGCATCTGTCTGCTTATGGCCACTCACACTGAGCCTGGTTCTGCTGGAGGTTTCTTCCTGTTAAAGGGGAGTTTTTCCTCTCCACTGTTGCTACAAGCATGCTTGATGTGAGGGATTGCCTTCGAGTCAATGAGTCGATGCAATCAACTAGTTTTCCTTAGATAGAAAAATCTGAATCAATGTGGCTGTATTTTCTGGTGAATTGTAAAGTGCTTTGAGGTGACATGTGTTGTGAATTATACATTATTAATTATATTATATAAATAAATTGAAGTGAATTGAAGAAGTTTGAGAAGAGTTGTAGAAAGAGAGCTCTTCTCTGATCGGACTAAGATGTCATTTTCATTTTTGTTTCATATGAAGAAAACACTAATGTACTCTAAGCACACCATTCAACACAGTGTTGGCTGCCTCATCCTGAGGGATTCCTAACTATTAAAGGGACAGAGAAGTTTGGCGGAGTTCATGGGAAGATGAATGGAGTAAAATACAGAAGAATACTGGAAAAAACTTTTAAAAAGCTGCAACTTCATCTTTAGGGGGATGCCTTGATGTTGTCATAGACTGTTTTGGTATATTATCATGTAATTCACCTTCAGCTTGAATCATTTAGGGGAAAGCTGTCTCTGCTAACATATTAGTTAACAACAGACTTAAAGCACTGTTTGACATTCAAACCTAAAACGACCTCAAAGAGGTCAGAGAGAGAAAAATTCCTCAAACCTGAAAATTAAATAAATAAATACAATATTGTTACTAATAGGAAAAAGTAAAAAAAAAAAAAAAAAAAAAGTCTTTGTGTTTTAAAACTTTTCAACAGGCCTTTAAAGACTTCTTGTGAAATCAACATTCTAATCACGTTTTTTTACTAAATTATATAGATATAAAAATAAAATGTTTACGATCAAATTTTTTGTGTCATCAGCTGGGATACACCCCTCTCCATGTGGCCTGTCACTATGGTAACGTGAAGATGGTAAACTTTCTGCTCAAGAATCAGGCAAAGGTCAACGCAAAGACCAAGGTAAACTAGCAGCTTTGTGAAAACATGGTTTTCTGTGTTTGTTTTCTATCTGGCTGAGCTCCTCTCCTCCCTCTGCAGAACGGGTACACACCTCTGCATCAAGCCGCTCAGCAGGGACACACGCACATCATCAACCTGCTGCTGCACCACGGGGCCTCGCCCAACGAACTCACTGCCGTAAGGATGCACAGAAGGACAAGACTCACACATTTATCTTGCATAGATCTGGTTACTGACCAAAAATGGCCCTTTATCCTTATCATCATTCTCTGATTTCTTTTTTTTTTTAGAATGGGAACAGCGCCCTGTCAATCGCCAGGAGACTGGGCTACATTTCTGTAGTTGACACACTCAAAGTGGTCACAGAGGAGACTCTAACCACTCAGGTCTGTATTTGTTTTCAGATTATCATACCTTGACTTATTTATTTGCTGAATTTTTGTGGCACTGACTGAAATGAAGTAACCTTGAGCTGCAAGATGGATTGTCGTGAGATCTGAGTTTTCGGTCTCACAACAAATCCATCTTTAAAGACTCCCGCTCATACGTCCGTCTCGTAACAACCAGCGAGTTGGACCAATGACATGCCAGCAGTGCTTTCTGCAGCAGGACATGCAGGAATGACGACAGTCAGAAGGGCCTTGCCAGGGCATTACAAACATGGCTACGCTGGAGGTAGGGAGAGTAGGCGAGAGGCGGCTTCACTGGATTCATTGGCTTGTGTTGACATAATAGACCTCAGAGGTTTAGATGGAATAAACTCTCTTCAGTTTAGCAGAAGATGATGCTTCACCTGTCATCCCGTTTTCTGCCTCTCTCCATTTCTTTAAAATGACAAAGTCCGCCTGTATTCACTCCAATTTATGTCAAAAGCATAACTTGCACAATTTTTATTCATCCTCTGACAAGTTGCATCCCATGTCCATCTGTCGTCCTTGCAAAGTTTTTTCATTAGAGGGTTGACAACGTTCAAAAATCAACTTTGTGTTGCTTAAAACGCTTTTTATGCGCAGGTCTGTCTTGCATATTCTACAAAAATCATTGCACAATGACATGATGGCTCCTCCATAAGCATAAAAATTCACTGGTACGATTGGCTGAAAGCATATTATGGAAGGCGGGTACTAGCTGGCAAGTCACCCAATCAGCTTGAAGCATTATACTAAACATCCCTCCTTTTAACAGACAGACTGAACTTTGGCCTGCTGGTTAGGGCATAGGGCTTGGAATCCTGAGGTTGTGAGTTTGAAACCCACTGCCACTCTGGCTCTCTGAGCAAAAACCTTAACCCCCAATTGTTCACCGGGCGCTGCACACTGCCACTGCTCCCCAAAAGGAATCGGTTGAATACAGAAAATTAATTTCTCCATTGTGAGATCTTAAAGTTTAATCTATTTTTTTTATGATTGATAGCATAGAAACTCAACTCATTTCTACACATGTCAATCTGGCTACTGCCAGGTTAGAAATGGAACACCCTCTAGCTACTCTCTATTAATAGGACACATTTCTTAAATCAGTAACACACCATAACCTGCCTGTTCAAATCAAACCATTTAGAAAAAAAGATGTGGGAAGCGATGTTCTTCAATTTTTTATTCTGTTAAATAGTTACACTTTTTTTTTTTCATATTTTGGTTATATTGCTAGTCTGATTCCAAAATGTAGGAATGTGAGACATTTTATATTTTTTTATAATTGAAGATCAAACTTATGAGCGTCTCATATACTAACATGGCCATATATTTCTACTTACCTTTTTAAGGGTTGGCTAAGTCTAGCATAGTGTTGGTCATTTTAGTCCACAGCCCTTCATTTAGTTGATCCCACTGATTGTCATAATCAGCTTTGGTCTTCTCCTTGCATAGAGCCATTCTTCCAGATTAGGATGTAGGTCTGGACTCATTGCGATGGTAGAAAAATAAGACAGCTGATTGTTTGGGTTAAAACTGACACCGCATGATAAATAAGCCATGATGCTACCACCCGGTTTTTCTTAATGGTTATGCTGTTCTTTTGGTGATGTGTGTGGTTAGATTCGTAACGTTTACTTTTAGGTTTAAGGTAAGATTTGTAACTGTTATTATTGATCCGGGTTGGGATTAAAGGAATAGTACACCCAAAACATGATTAGCCTTCATTTTGTACTCACCCCCATGCTGAACAACACTCTGGAGTACTTTTTTGATCTCAAATGCATCTGGAGATCTGGGAGGCTTCTTGCTGTCTGCTGACATTCAAACAATGGAGGTCTATGGTGCCCAAGGCAGATAGGTCCATAAAAGTCCACAAAAAACGTGTCAATATTCCTCCATACTGCTCGTCCAATGTATTCCAAGTGTCCTGAGTGGGTAGCGTCCATAATTTACTCGAAACGAAGTCATTTAGAATGTTTTTAGAGCATAAACAGTAGAGTATAGGATTTCCTAAAAGCGCGTTCACAAGTCTACGGAAACCGCAGCAGACCAAACCAGATGAAAGTGCGCATTTTCTTAATGGATATGCTGTAGACCTCCATTATTTGAATGTCAGCAGACAGCAGGAAGCCTCCCAGATCTCCAGATGCATTTGAGATATCAAAAAAGTACTCCAGAGTGTTGTTCAGCATGGGGATGGGTAGAAAATGAAGGCTAATCATGTTTTGGGTGTACTATTCCTTTCAGACAAATTCCAATTAATCCAAAGGAAATCTGCTAACATTTATGTTGAATTATTTACGGCCATCAATGGGGAAAGGAAAGTAGCATCTTATTTAATTCTGGAAAAAAAGAGCAAACTTTTACTTTTTTTATTTTTTTATAACATAATCAACATATAAGTCAAGTGTTTTCTGTCTCCCACAGACTGTAATAGAGAAACACAAGATGAACGTCCCAGAGACCATGAACGAGGTGCTGGACATGTCTGACGATGACGGTAAGGTTTGATTTAAAAACAATTCCTCCGACATAGGCTCACATTCTCATTCGGTTTCTGGGTTTGAAGGATGCAAACTCGGTGCTAATGAATTCATCTTTATTATTTTTTTGTTAACTCATTTATAATTAGTTCTTTAATCATTGATTGTTTATTATTTATTATTTGAAACTGATTTATCAGCCATTCAAAATGTCCCATAATCACTTTTTTTTCTCTAATATGATTTTGTTATAAATATGATTTCTTCCTCATTTTTGCAACTTTTTGTTCTGTTGTTCTTTTTTTAATCCTACCCGTCTCCTTCATCTGAATACAGTCTGTAAAGCCAATGTCCCAGAAATGATCACAGACGACTATTTTTCTGATGTGGAAGAAGGTATTTCTCATCTCTTTCCATTTGCTTTCCTTCATTCTCTCTGCATGTCTGTGCTTTAAGGATTCTAATCATTTATGTGCTCCTCTACTGTTTCTTTTGTTTTGTTTTTTCTTAAAAGTGACACTTATTTCAGTAATTGAATTCAAAATGTAACGCTCTTGTTTTGTATGGATTTCTTATGCACAGCACATTGTGTCAGATAAATTTATGACTCTTTTCACACTTTAAGGATCAATTACACCTCTAGGACTTGGACTTGATTGTTCTCTGAGTTTCTCAAGTAGCCAAATAAGTGATCTCAGCTTATCTAGGAATCACATTATTTTCATATGATACTGCTTTAAATATAAAGGCGTGGTCAAAGCGGTCTTAGCCTGAAACAGTTTAACCTTATTTACCACTGAAGCTAATTGCAAACATGCAGTATTTCACAAACATTAGTGATGACTTCCTTAGAGAGGTTGTCAATGGCTGACATGTTACATGTCTTCCCCGTGATTGTATAGCCCATTACATTTGGATAAAGTTGCGGTTCTAAATTTAATCTCGGTTTAATGGGTCTAAAATTTAATAAAAAGTTTTCATTTTTTAGAAGCCATATTTCGCAACAAGTAAACACTTAAAAAGTATCACAGCGTTTGAGTCTTTGATGATTTTGAGTTACTGAAATAGCTTTCTCATGATATCATGTATTTAAAAGCACCTACAAGTCCTTGAAAGTATTTTTTTGTGTGCGAAAAATAAAAAAAGGTCCAATTCGCCCTTGATGCATTTTCATAAATTAGGCTATGCTTAATTAAAAAAATTACAAGTTATTAGTAACAAAGGGGCTAGAGCTCTAGTTTAATCTTATCCTTTGTTGAATTGTATTTAATGTGTTTTCCTTTACATTTTTGGAGCCCATATTACCTTAATGATCCATCGGTCAGTACTGAGACAGAAACTTTCTCCTGAAAATGGACAATTAGTGAAAAAGCAGTCAACATTCATATAAAAACTTTTTAAAACATGCATAAACCCAAAGAACAAGCCTGTAAATCAAAAGAACTTAACAAGATTTGAAGAAAGAAAGAGTAAGCACTAAGTTCATACTTTTAAAAACACACATTTGCTCTTATTTTAGTTTTTTTTACAGTTTAGAGTTGATAGTGCAGTTCTTTTAAAGCATATTTGCACTGTCTGTTTTGTATTAAATTTAAGGGAGAATGCTCTTCTGTTGCTATGCCAACAATGGCATTGTGGAGTGTGTAACAAATTTCTTTTCAGGCCTGTTAGCAGACGACACAGACACTCGACCCTTTGTCTTCCCTGGCCTCTCAGTGATGCTTGAATTGTAGCCAAAAGCTAACACTGAAACAGTTCCTGCTGTGTCTCTGTTTGTGCTGTACATGTTGTGTTCTCCCCTGTGATCTGCATTCTGGCCCAGAAGCAAATGAACTCGCCCATCTGTGCCACGGAAAAGTTTTCAATCAATAGTTGGTTTTGTCCCCACTTAGCTCAATTTGCCCTGGAGATGTTTGTTTTGCTTTGTTTTTGTTTTTTTTAATAGTCTTAATTCATTTAAAGACGTCACACGGAAATGATTTGTTCTGTTTATTAATTTAAAATGTCAAAAATCCACATTTATTCGGCTCACAACGGCCTTGCAGAGAATAACATACTTTTTTTTGGTTTCAGTCAGTTAGGGTGACAAGAAAATTGAGAAAAAGATAATTTTCTAGAAACTAATTTTATTACTTTGTTCAAATCCTGAAATTTACATCCGCTAAGATTACTCTGCCATTAATCAGGTGTGGGGTGCCCAGATGATGCTTTCATAGCTCTAAGCTCCTGATTCAAAACACCACCTTTGAATGAAGCCACATGTGGATGTACAGTACTTTAGAGCTACACCTCAAACACTTTTTGCATGAAAAAAAATCAAAGGAAATCTTTTAAGATATCAGATAGAAAAAAAAAATCTTCGATGCCCGAATAGTTGTTCATTAGCTAAATGATAAAAAGCTCTATATGGTCCAGCCATCTTCCCATTCAAACAATGGGTTGTTTCATGAGGAAAGGTCTTAATTTAATTAAGTATCTCTTAATCATCAATGACCTTTTTGCTGCCAAATTAGCTGTAAAGCAGCTCAGGCAGCTCAGCTTAGAGTAAGGAGGCCTCCAAAGCCACTGCAAAAACGATCTAGAAATAAGCAAAACTTTCTTAAATTAAATGTATTTAACCTTAATTTGAGAAGGTAAATGAGATGATTTTCCAATGGAATTAGTGTTTTTACTCTTAAAATAAGATGTTTAGATAATATGCACTTGAAATAAGACAATGCAATTGTGTTTTCTTATTTTAAATGTAAATCATCTTGTTCCATTGGCAGAATGACTATTTAACCTCCTCAATTAAAGAAGAAATGCACTAATTTTAAGAAAAATGTACTTATCTAGATTTAGATTTTTTCCAGTGAGCTGACAAGATCATATCAGTTCTGTCAGACGGAAATTCCTAGGAGCTATCACAAAGACGTTGTTGAAATGTTGTAGTTCAGCTCTACAAAAAAAACTTCTTATGTTCATTCACTAAAAAAGCCTCTTTATCTAATTTCATTTGAAACTTAAACCCATTTATCGAATGAATGGATGAATAGGTGTCTTTTTTAAACACATTGATTTTCACTTGTGTTTAAAGATTGTAATATGTATATATGAAGTTGGATTTAAATAGAGCCCCTCTGATGACATGGTCAAAAAAACTGTTCAATTGTGGCCACGAAGTAGTATTTCGTGCGCACGAAGTAGTATTTCGCGGCCACGCAATAAGTTTAATGTGCGCACGAAATACTTATTAATAATATCAATAAATCCGCCCCTGTTTTCAGGCTTATGTTAACTGTAATGACTTATCTTGGACAGGCTGCTATGTAAACGGCCCTTTAGTCCTTCGTTTAGCTATGCTGCGGTTGTTTACACTACGCCTTTTCCACCTAAAATAGCGTCTTAGCAACAAATGTCACGTGACTGGCGGAGACCGACTGGGTAAGCAAATCGAGCGCGCCTTCTCTAAGGTCTAAGGCGCGCTCGATTTGCTTACCCTGTTGTCCAGGAATGATATTAATATTATTAATAAGTATTTCGTGCGCACGTTAAACTTATTGCGTGGCCACGAAATAGTATTTCGTGCGCACGATAAACGTGCGCACGAAATAATAATAATAATAATAATAATAATAATAATAATAATAATAATAATAATAATAATATGTTATAGAAACGTACACAACCAGAGTGAGGGACTACTATATACATTTAATACAAAATAATGTGGCTACGTAACTTTAGTAATTGCTGTTTTTTTGTTTGTTTGTTTTTTTCTTGCCACTATTCTGTTGAGACAAGATTTATAGTTTGCATAACAGAAAATAGTTCTGGATCGATCCTCCTATTGTGCATGTAAACATGCTCATTCTTGGGTCTTTTGCATATCTTAGTGCAATGTTGCAAATTGTTAACCATTTGTCGTTGGATCCGCTTCCTTGGAACATGCTAGCTGTGAATGCAGGGCTCCCATAATCATGGTGGATCCATTTTGTTGAAGTAAAAGTACAAACTGAAAACATTGAGTTTATGGTTGTATGTTTATTGTTGTCTCATGTCCTGCAGCAAACATCTGAGGTCTTTGAGGAACAGAATGTTATGCGAATCTTAAATTTATTTGGACATCGTTTGTAACTGAACACTGAAGCTTATTGATGAAATCGATTACTTTCTACTTTATCAGGAACCGTATTCAAATTTTTGCCCCGTTTTTCAGATTTTAGTTTCTAAAAGATATTTAGAAATATTGTTTTTCATCCAGTTTACAAACTCTGACTACTTTTTGTACATATTTTCTATAAAAACTAAGTAAAATACAATAATATTTATGGCTGTAATGTGACAGAATGTAAGAGGTTGAAGAGGTGTGAATACTTTTTCAAGGTGGTCTGTAAACTATAAAGGGTGGTTAGATGTTAGACAACTGTGTGAGTCACAAAGCCCCCTACTATTTCTGTGCTGCAGGGAGCTGTAGGTGTGTGCTCGGAAACTCTCTCTTAAACACACACACACACAGATAATCCAGCAGCGGATCTGGTAGGCGGGAGAAAGACGATCTGTTTGCATGAGTGCCGGACTCTAAAACCGAGATAGACAGTTAATGCTGGAGCAAGTGAGTTTAGAAGTTGAGGAAAAGTTAGTCTGGAGTGAACGCCTGCAGTGGACTTAAGTCCGAATGAATTGCTTTAAGGCAGCAGGTTAGTCTAAGTTCTTTGCTTTGGGAACTTTGGGATCTGAGTGCAGAGCGAATGCAGGAGAATGGGTTGGAATGTGGCCAGATGGGGGTCTGTGAAGTATCCTGGTGCTGTTTGGGGTGGGGGGGGGCTTTTGGGGGGGAGGGGTCTTGCAGCAGCAGTGGGGTAGTGATGGGATGGTGATGAAGGGGAGGGGGCGTCTCTGTTGCTTTGTTGTTGCTGGAATGCCTTCCTTTTCTTTCTTCCGTCTCTCCGCTTGCATGCACTTGCCTCCTCTGGCTTCCACCGTGCAGTCAGCGATTCATCAGTAGATTCATGGTCTACTGTACCTCTGTGGGTAAAACCATGCTGCTAACAACTTTCCTCCTAAACTTTTAACTTCTGCTCTAACTCTTAACATGTATTTTCAGTGTCTGTGGTGTGTTTAGAGTGATGAAGCAAAGCTTAGTTCAGACTGTTTTAAATTTCTCTTTTTTTTCCTTTTTAGTTTTGTTTGACAGAAACCAAATTTAAATATGCTTCGACTTGTTTTAACTCTATTTGGATTCCAAAAAGAGTTAAGCGGATTTTTAATAAGACGTTGTCTGAGTGGGTTGTTAGACCAAAATTAAGCTGAAAAAACAGCCTCTGGGCAAATGATGCATTGATCGACATGCCCTAATGAGTTTGTGTTTCTGCATGAGTAAAGAAAAAAGAAAAAGAAAAGAACAAACAGGAAACAATCAACTATTTCCCTTAGGCAATATCCTAGCAAGTTCTAATTTCTACTCTCTGTGTCTTTTAATCTGACAGGTGATGATGCAATGACGGGGGACACAGACAAATATCTGGCCCCCCATGACCTGAGGGAACTGGGGGACGACTCGCTCCCACAGGAGGGCTACATGGGCTTCAGCGTTGGAGCGCGGTCACAGAGGTAAGGCTCACTATACCACAGTAATACAAAAAGTCAGTAGTCGTTTGTCTTTTTCATGAACTTTCTTGCAAAGAGCGTCTGAAAGGTTTCATACACATAAAATATATAAAAGCATTTTTTAACTGTGTGTTGTGACTAATGGAGGCTTCCTGTCAGCATATAACATCTTCTGGCATCTTTGTTGTTTTGACTGTCTATACCGCCGGTTGGTAACCTATGATTTTAGAGCTGCAAGTGGCCCCTTGGATGCTAAACAATGGCTCTTCATTGAGCAGGCTAAAGAGCAGGCTAATTTTTTTTAACAAAATATGTACAAACAAATGCCTGTCTTAGCATTTTCTACAATATCTAACTCCAAAAACAAGAATATTTTTTTATTTTATTTTATTTAACCTTTATTTTACCAGGAAGTCCCTTGAGATAAAATAATTTTTTGAGGGAGACCTGAAATATATATACCCTCTAACTATAGAGTGTAAAAAATGTAGACAGTGTAGAAAATGCTATATATATCTATTTCTCAATATAATACATATTATATTATTAAGTGGGAAAACTGTTTTGTAACATGATTTTCCTATAATATCAAATATAAATATAATAAATATAAAAAGGATATGTAATCTTTTTTTCTAAAAACAGCTTTCAGCTTAAAGCTCACAGCTCTAATTCAGTTTTATTAGCTAAGAAAATCACAAAATATATTTACCTGACTTATTATATTACAAATATATATTTTTAATATTTTTTAAAGAGCGAAATACATTGTTTTTAAAACAAAATTTCCCCAAACTATAACCAACCCATTGAACTTTGTTTATTCTGTTTTTGCAAGTTTTTTCCTTCACTCTAAAAGATGAAATTGCATATCCCCTGGGGTAGAGATTTATTAAATAGAAGTTACCTTTTTCTTTTGTTAAAAAAAAGGTCATTCAATGTATTTTGACTTTAAATAAGGTATATTAGCTGGGCTGCAGTCATAAATGGCTCCAGAACCCTGGTCTATACAGAGCCAGGTTTTGTTTTTCATAAGAAAAAAACAGGTTTGTGGCTAAAGCCTCCAAGAAAGCAGAAAACTAAAAACATTCAACTATTGCCATGAAGAATTAAGTTTTCAAGTGCATTCATCAAACAAATGCATCCAAAAACCTTTAAAGTGTACTTCATTGTAAATCATCATATGCTTTTTGGTTGTTTGTTTAAGAGGATAGCTTTGTTAAGCAGGATAGGTCTGAAACAAAAAATACTTTTTGACAAAATCAAAATAATTAGGTTTGAGTCAGTTTATTTTCAAAGCAGCAATTCACCAGAAATGAAACTTTGAAGCACGAAAAAAAATTATTCCAGTCATCATAAGGAAACTATGAAAGTAAAGCAGGAGCATCCATGCCCTGTGAAATGGTGCCTTTGAAAGCATCATCTGGAAATTTCTCACTGCAACTACAGCATAGATTGTTTTGACTCCCAAAAAATAAATCAAATGGATGGCCTCGTATTAGCAATACCGTAAGAAGGATCTAGCAAATATTTTTGCAACAAACAAAAATAAAAAATAAAAATCAATATCCCTGTTGAAAAATGTTATTTGTTAAAGATATGGATTCATGATTTTGAGATAAAGAACAATCTAAAGATTAATGACACAAGACAGTTTACAACACCTTAAACAGGGAGTAAACAGCCAGACCAGTGAATTGAATTAAGCTGTTGTTTTTCTTTAAGCATAACATTCATCAGGGGGGTACACCAATTTTTAACCTACCAATAATTATTGGTCTTTTCTGTCAATCAGCTAAATTAGTCACTATGCATTATAGTGGCTGCCAATCAAACACATGTAGATGAACTGGATTTGAGTGCGGTTATAGAAAGTGTCTTTAGAATAATGTTTTAACAGCTGCATTACTGTAATCTCCCAGGACTAAAGCTGTTTGTCGAAAAAGACATTGCACAACTAGTTTGCTGCTTTCTCATGGCTCTCTTCCATTCAGAGCAACGCAGGTTGTTTAGATACATCTTGAAACACTTTTTTAGGCTCTTCATTTAGAATAACTGCTTCAGTATGTTCCCAATTATACCCTGTTGTGGTGAAAATGTGACTGGAAAAATGGATTCATCAGTCTCACATGCATATTACGCAGCATAAATATCAAAAGAAATATTTCCTTAAACTGCTAATGCACTGTATGCTAAGCTTAATGTGTGTGCATGACCACCGTAGATGGGTAGCATTGAATGGGTTAGCTTTTTATAACAGCTCATGGCCTCCCTTTCTCTCCTGTACTTATCCAGAGTGCTTTGTCTTCTCTGCCTCTCTGTGAGTCTGACTAAAGGCTAATTTATACTCAGACACCATGTCGTCTACGTGTTTCGCAGTGAACGCAGAGAGGAGGCCTCTGATTGGTCATCCGCTCTACACTATGCGTATTTCCTGTTTCATATCTTACCGGCTTGTTTTGTTTGTATAACCATCATTTTGGTGAAGTTCGACCAGTTAGAAGAGAGAGGTGCGCAAGAACGCTGGGGCCCTTTTTCCACCTGGATCCCTGCTCTTTTTCGCCCCCATGTTCCTCCGTTGTCCCACAAACTTGCCCCCACTTATTCACCGCCACGGCCGCATCTAAACCTACAGCTAGTTTGTGTTTGTCCCTCTTGCATTGTGGCGTGGAATAACATACTGTAGCCTATTCTTTAATATTGGGCATAAATCAAAAATCACTGCGACACACTGCAGGGGGAGGATAACCAACCATTAAGGCTACAGACTAAGCAGAAGGTCTTCCTTTGTTGCCTTGTGTTTCTATCACATACAGACTGAAAAACAAGGCAAGTAGAGTTGGTACCAATAGAAAAGAACTATATAGAAGGTATTCCAGTAAATTAGAACATTGTTTCCCAACCTTTTTTGACTTTTGTCAAAGGTGTACCCCTTTGTGCATTTTTTTTTCGTATCATGAGTACCCCTCTCAGTCAAAAGTATTAATGATTTTTCAAAATTTGAACGTACAATAACTGATTATAAAGTAAAAACTATTTTGTTTAATCTTTTAACTTGAGCATTTAATTCTTAGGCATTTTATTATCTCAAATAAAAAATAAATAAATAAATATGTTCACTGGAAGTTAGTAAGGAATCAAAATAAATACAAAATAAAATCATTTTATGAACCTGTATTTATAAAACTGGAGCTCCTCTGAGTAACTTGCTTATAATCACATTTAAACTTGATTAATTAGGAACAAAAATCATCCCAGGCTGTTCCTCTGCTTGGTTTTTCTTTGAGTTCATCTTCAGCTGTCTCACACAGGAAAAACCAAGCAGAGGAGCAGATTGGGATCAGCTGTATTCCAAACTGATCCCAGGCTGTTCCTGTGCTTGGTTTTCCAGTATGAGACAGCTGAAGATGAACTAAAAAAAATACTTTTTGGTTGATAAAAGTTTGTTTATTTTTTTCAATTGGGTACTCATAAAGCAAAACACATCCCAGCCCTTTTTTAATTTACAAAAATTTAATTTAAGAAAATATTTTCATGTACTCCTTGCAATGCACTCACAGACCACTAGAGGTAAGACTACCTCCGTTTTGGAATCACTGAATTGGAAGACGAACACACTGGAAAAACGATCTAGAAATAAGTAAAAATGTCTTAAATTAAGTGTATTTCCCCTTAATTTGAGTAGGTAAATGAGATAGTTTGCCAACGGAATAAGTATTTTTACTCTGATAAATAAGATAATTAGATAATATGCACTTGAAATTAAACAATGCTATTCTGTTTTCTTACTCTAAGTGTAAATTGCCTTGTTCCATTGGCAAGATGTCTCTTTTACTACCTTAATCCAAGAGCAAATGCACTTATTTTAAGCAAAAAATGACTCGTCTAGATTTAGATTTTTTCCAGTGCAAAATTGCATGGTCTAACTTAAATGCTGTTAGGGTTGTTGATTTTTTAAATGTAGTTTTGACACCAGAGACCAAATTCCTCTATGGTGAGTTACAGGAAGACTGCATCACCAAAAGAGAGCTTTAAAACCCCTGGGAATGGTGTTGGTTTGTTAAATCTCAAAGATGCCGCTGTCAACATCTTAGTAAAAATCAATCTTTACTGTATAAACCACCCCTTATTGTATAAATAACCACATACATCTTCATAGTGTAAACGCAAATAAAAGTCTTCACTGTCACTACAGTTTATCTGGAACGAGCATAATGGTGCCTGAATAAAGCGTCCTTCACATGCAGTTCTATTCTAGAATTTAAGAGCTTTATTTTATACATGCATTTTTGATTGTATACATAAAAAGCAGTATAACTGTTTTGAGTCTGACCACAGTTAGCAAGGAGAGATTAATAGAAACATTTGAGATCTATCCTTCTTTGTGTGTATCTGAGTGGTAACTATTTATCAGCAACAAAATAAGCATAGAACTGCAACAGTTAAACTTTCCTCATACGTAGTGACGTGTTTGACAATCAGCAACAAACATCTGTCTTACAAATATAGGTCTACGTGTCTATTGGATACGCAAAACCTGATCTGATAGCAGTTTTCTCATCTCGTCTTTTAGAAATCGCAGCAGTGGGAGTTTTTGCAGCAACACTCAAAGGTTACAGTTTATTCTGTTGAACTTTATTCTCTTTAGAAAACATTGACCCTTGTGCAACTCACTGCAGAGTGAGGGAGGGATTATAACATATCTGAGGAGTGACATAAACAGACAGAGAGCCATAGGAAATTAGAAACACGTTCAATTTAGAAAGCCTCGAGCGTAGGCTGCCTGAGTGTGTTCAATCAGTTTAGTTTACAACTAGTTTACAAGATCGGGCGTCTTTGTCATCCAGCTTTGGCAGTTTTGTTCGACAATCATCTTTAAAAGGTAAAATAAATAAATTATTTAGACTAACATCTAAAAAAAATAACATATCGGACTATTGATAGTAGGTCAATAGATTTTTACTTTAAATCAACTAAAGTCCCATTGTTTAGAGAAGAAATTGTGTTTAAACTTCGAGTGATTAAAAAAAAAAGTAAACAGGCAGAATTACATGAAAGATTTACAATTTAATGTAAGCATTGAACATAAATTAAATAATACACAAAGAAAATTCACATTTAAAACGAACAAAAAGCTAAAAGGTTAAAGCTACAGTGTGTAATAATTACAGGGATATACAGTCAGAAATGTAATATATTATACATAACTATGTTATTTATCATCATCTACGAGCTCAGCCTCTTAACCTTAATATTTGCGTTGCCTTAGAATTCGTTATTTATAATTACATAGGAGCGGGTCTCGCAGCCATGGAGGCAGACATCTTTGCGCTACGGCAGCGCAGAGCCAACAAACTAGCGATTGCGAGATCGCCCATTACGCTCGAAAGTAACTACGGCAAGTTGAGAGAGATGAACTAGGACGGGAGTGAACAATAGATGGCAGTATTAAAGAGAAGATAGGTGATGCGGACGTCGTGGAAGACATTTTGTCTCTTAACGCTCGCCGTACTGTTGGGGGGGAGAAGCGGTGGGGGGGAGATGTTCATGTTGCTGCGGTCTGCAGTCTGAACGTTAGATGTCGCTGAAAATTACACACTATAGCTTTAAAGCTTAAAATGCAGTAATGTATGCAGGAAAACTTCATACACCTCTAAAAGTCACAGTTGCAGAATAGATTTTTTTTATTTATTTGTATGGCGTCACCACATTATTCTGACCTAAAGAAAGTTAAATAAACAAAAATGCAAAAGTTTTTCCTGGAATCTGTTTTTTTTTTATGATCATACACTGTATCGTACTTTCATGTTCTAATCACACATTACTAATCACACAACTGTATTTAAACATAAGATAACTCAAGTATATCGGCTAATATAAAAGCCATTTTCAAATATAGAGAAAGATTATTTAATCTGTTAAGAGAAAACCACATAGTAATCTAGACCTTTGCAAAAAAAATTTTCAAACTGCTTTCTAAACAATTAATTAATCTTTTGGATAAGCTAAGTTTAATTCCACTACTCAAACTCAGGCTTGGTGTCTGTAAAATCCAAATCAACAGAATCAAATTAAAATAATCCATCTGACAACATTAAGTAATTTATGACACGCTAATGACATTATTTAATCTCCTCCTGTGCTGTGCAGATGCCAAGTCCACATGATGATTCACTTAATTCAAGTTACCAAAGGCTGGAAGTGACTTTACTAAGTAATTCAGTACATTATCCAACCAATCGGGAAATGCCGTCTATAAATGATTGAACTTTCAACGTAAAATTGTCATTATACCCTTTGCTAAATAAAATATGAGACGGTAAAACAATAATAAAATGAACTCAATCTGTTCTTGCACTGTAGCATAATGCAGATTTTATACCCTTCATCCCAAATACTAATGCAGCTTACGCATATGCAATAAATAAACTTCATCCTATTTTCCCCAAATTTTGCTTTGATTCTTTAACATTTATACACATGTGAGATACGTTTTGAATATGCCAACATAAGTGTAAGGTTTATAAAGAGTGTACCAGCAGCTTAAGACATTGTTTTCACACAGAAAAATATTGTTGTCATTAGAAAACGTATTAAACCAGTTATGCTTATACATAATAGGATTATGGAATTTAATTTTGGGCACGTACTAAGTCACTTTTGAACCAAGAATTACATCATTTGAGATATTTAAATGGTTTTCTATCCGATACCTATACCAGTATCGGACAGGGCCCAGTTACTGCACTAAAATGGTGTTATCGGTATCGGCGAATACCTACAAATAGGGCATGATACCATTTTGAGAGCAAAAGTTTATTCAACTATTGTCACTCATTCCAGGTAGCAATAAAAAGTTGTACTGGAATCACTTTGTATTAGTCTTTTTCCTGCTTCACAAAGGTAGGCAGCAGCTGGACAAAGCCATGATGGCAATTATTTTACATTCAAGTAGTATCGGTATCGGCCAATACTGCACAGCCATGTATCGGGTATAGGTATCGTGGCAAAAAATTGCATCGGCGCAACACTAGTCAGTACACAGCACTTGGTGCATATTGATGCTCCGTGCAGGTTGCCCCTCAAAAAGCCGCCTTTGTGATTGGTAGGGTTTGGTCCATGACTGAATGAGTCATGTGAACTTGTCTTTACATGGAACGCTATTACTTTTTAATCTGCAGGTCCAGATTGATCCTCTGTCAGATTCCAGAACACAGAGGCTCAATCCCAAACCGGTCACCTAAACACTAAGCCTAAGCACTAATGCTTTGTTTGCTCATTCCTGTGGAGCGTTCGCCATATTGAGGACCATCCTCATCCATCATCCTTCGGAATGGCTGGAATTTGGCACCGGGTCTAACGGCGAACTAATTACGGAACGGACATGGGCATTCAACACCTGTTTTGCAGCATTTTTGTCGCACTGACAGATAATCATTAGTCAGGAAAAAGAAAAAACACATTGATTCAAAAAGGTAATATGCTCTTTAAAATAGCTTTATTTAAATATATACAGTTTTTTTTAAGAAAGGGGCAAATGTTTGATGTTATATCAACCTGCACCACAGAGCTACAGCCATGCAGATTAGGCATCACAGTGTTACCATAGCAACCATTGCATTCCTTTTTCCGTTGGAGGGAAGAGGCCTTCCCATTCTTGTTTACTGTATGACCCCCCACCTTCAGTAAAGGTGCCCTCCAAAGCTGCAAGTGTGACTTCATTGGGAGTGACGTTAAGGGTTAGGTCTTAGGGGGCAGTTAGGGATCTGACCAGAGGGAGACTCTTTTATTTTGTGTCAGTGGAGTGTTGCTTAACCTAGAAGTTGCAAGTGTAGCGCCCCTAGTGGCTAAAAGTTACACCTTGTTGCTTTAAATATTGGGCTTTTTTTTTTATTTAGCAGTACCAGTCTTCTAAGATTTACCAAGTCCGCTTGGTGCAAGATTAATCCAACCAAATTTTCTAATCTATATGTTTAAGGTTTTATTAGATAAAATGCCTAAATTCCCACAAAATTACTATTTTAATGTTTATATTCACTTTGTGTTGTATTGGTTGTTTAATTCGTTTTTTTTCTTATATACCCTGAAAATAACAATAAATAAATCACTCTAAGTGTCATAGTCTGACATTAAATCATAGTTTATGGTTGAGAGTTTTATAAAGTAAGCACATTCTCCCACATTCAGTTAACATCCTTCTGCATCTCTGCTCCTGCTGCTCTTTGCATCTATTCTTTCACTCCTCTGCTTTCTTCATGATGTTTTATTCTCTCCTCATGTCCGTTCCTATCCTTAGTACCAAAGTCAGGTAAGGCTCACAGCATGACCAGGCCCCCCCACCAACACCCTGTCTCACCCTTTTCCCTCCCCTAGACCCCGGTCTCTGTTAGTATAATGGCCACATGTGCTGAAATATTAAAGTGTTCCTGCACACCTTACCTCTAATCCAATGATTTTTGTATTGGTTGTTTTGGTGTCTAACATTGTGGGATGTACTTGTTTGGTCTGGTGTCTTAATTTTTTCCTTGCAGCTGGTTCTAACAGCATCTTTTGTTTGCTTTTGTGTTTGACTGTGGTTATTGGTCTTGCCTGGGTCTCTGTGAGGTTTGCACAAAGTTGGAGCCTTGCATCATTTTGGTTTGTTGTGGAGATTTCCTTTATTCTGCTTCCAGGGACTTGAGTTAAAACAGCCCTCCACCAGATTTAAGGATGCATTTCTCTATATGTGGTTAAGTCATTTCAGAAAAGCACATTTTAATCAGAGAAGATTTTACGGTGGAAAAATGCATCATTACCAAAGTCAAAAAGCAAACTAGGGTCCCAAAGCTGACATATTTAAGCATATTATTAGTGCATAAACATGCATGCAGTCTTCTATTGACTTTTTATGTGTGATCATTGTCAGATAGAAATTAACTAAGAGCACAATCAGAAATATTTCACTAAAATCTTAAGGTTTATGTAAGTCTGTTACATAACAGATTTCCATTTACTTTTTTTAGATAGTATAGAAAGCTACTGACTAAACCTCACATGAAAGGCATTAATTTGCATAATAAGCTAATTTATTTCAAATACATAAAAGTTATAGATTGAATTGCGTAACCTAGATCCATTTCAAACAATAAGATTTGTTTTTTGAAGTATACTTTATTAATTCTAAATATATAAACCTTACAGTTTAAATGAATAAGCTGTATTACATGACTAAATGTGCATCATTTAAGGTTTATTTAGTAGGTTTGCCTTTAAAATTATCTGGAAAAAAAGTAAATTAGAATTTGTAATGCAATAAAATTACATAAAACTTCAGAAATGTGTGTGAAATTTTTTTGCGGGGGCATTTTATTAAGATAAGCAGTTTAACATTGTTACAAATATTTGCTTAGCAACACAATATTGACTCCAGTGTTACATGTTCTGAAAATATAACACATACAAAAACACGTTACATAAGTCCAATAAATGTTTTAGACCCTAAAGAATCACTAACGCATTTTTTTAAAAGCTGATCCTCGTGCAGTTTTCCAAAGTCTGGCCCAGATGATTTCCTCTCTCTATCTGGTTTTCCACTCTCTAATTACTAATTAGTGTAATCGCTCCTGGGATGTTGCAGACAAACTCTCCTCACGTCATTTCTCAGGAATGCTGTTAGTTTGTCTCGTAAAGTTCCATCGCACGGCATAATCACAGCATCACAACTTACCGCACTCTGACAGAATTAAGAAGACGCAAGAGGTAAATCTGTCAGAGAGGTAATAGGATCTGAAATCAGCTTATTTTTTTATCATAATGGAAATTATATAGAAAAGCTTTTGTCTCCTGTGTGGTACCACTGTTACTTAATAATAATAGGTTAAAAGAGTTTTGTTGCTGCAAACAAATGAGTATATTTTCTTTATCTTCCTCTTAAGTTTTCAGTTTTATTGTTTGTGGACAGTCAGGTTCCTGGAAGCTGCATGCATTTAATGTATTTTTTTTTTTCTGTTTACTTTCATATCCCTTTACCCTCCACCCCTCGCCAACTCTCCCTCCCTTCCCTTCATCCCTGTGACTGTTGTCTTGGTAATCCGTGACTCCTGTCCCAACCACACCAAGCCTCCGTTCCTTCAGTTCTGATAGGTCCAACACGTTGAACCGGAGCTCGTTCACGCGGGACAGCATGATGATCGAGGAGATCCTGGCCCCCACCAAGGACCCGGTATGTATTTTTCAACCTTTACCTTGATACACTCCTGTCTCCAAATGTTGCAAAGCTGGCTTGGTGCTGAGCCAAAAGAAAGGCAGTTCAGCAATCCTCTTACACCCGAGGGGGTGCTGTGACACAAAGACGACCAAATCCTGTTATATTTCACCTGAAAGAGGCCATGGCATTCTTAAGGCTTCTATATAGGAGAGATTATGGTGATGCCCTACTTTACTCCTATTACAGATGGAATAACTATTGTCTATGATCTTAGAGGCTTCCGGTTTAATGCTCAAGTACCAGACTTGTCTTCCACAATTATGAATGAAAATGAACCTGTGCAAAAGCTCTAATCGACACTCTTGTTATCTTGTATGTTCTGGCTTTCTGGAAAAGGTATTTTAGAATAGAATAGAAGAGAAAATCCCTTAAGTGTCCCACAATTGGTAAATTATGGTGTTTACAGCAGCAAAAAGATTATAGAAAAAATTGTCAAACAAATATGGACCTTAGAAAAATGTATAAGAATAACATAATGGTGAAGAGTTAAAAGATAAACACTAAAATTCTGTACTGTAAAGTGATTTACCGATATAAATACTGTGCACCTGAGGAATATACTGTAGATAACCAATATACAGCTATGGATATTTTTACAATAATGGATATTTGAAAATAGCAGCAACATCAGAGATGTGCAAAAATGACTGCAGCATGTTATTTAACTGACTAAGGTAGAAACTGTGCAAAATCAGTATGAATGTAACAACTAATTGAGGTTGTTGGGAACAGTGGTGGTTATAAAGTCTTCCAGCTGCTGGGAGGAAGGATCTGTGATAACGCTCCCTGGTGCATTTAGGGTGCAGCAGTCTGTCACTGAAGGAGCTCTCTAGTTCAGCAATAGCTTTTTGCATGGGGTGGGAAACATTATCCAACAGAGATGTTAATTTAGAGTGGGTCTTTTGTTTCCCACCTCCAGCACTTAGTCCAGAGGGCGTCCAATCACAGAGCTGCCCTCCAAAATCAGCTGATCCATTTTTAAAGTCTTTCTTTGTATTTATGTTTAATAAAAACATAAAACACATTTATCATTTGCTGTAACTAGAAACGCATCATAATTAGCAGATAAAGGATGAAACACATAATTATGTGTATAATTTATCTAAGTAATGTTAAATTTGTTAACTGAGTTACTGAAACAAAGGATTTTTTAAAAGTTGTTCTAATTTATTAAATAGGATAGTCCTATCCTAGCTGAAAAACAACCACCCTAATTAATCCCCAATAGTTTAAGAGGCTGAATAACTGTTAAAGTTAAGTCAAACTTGCAAAAATAGTCAGTCAAACCTCAAAGGAAAACTTTCAGAAAGAAATGATATACTGTTGGAGACGGTGGAAGATTACAGGACTATCAAAACAGATGAAAACAAACGTGCAGTCCAGCATTTACACACCTCAGCCCAGAGTTCATATTGACAGTTATCTCTTCCATTCACAGTAGTATTATAGTATGACGGAGTATTAGGGCCAGGCTAGAGATATTTTTTCCTTCTATTTCGAGAATAAATTCATAACATTACGAGAATAAAGTCATAAAATTACGAGAATAAAGTCATAAAAAATTCCGAGAAACAAGTTGTATTTTATGACAACTCTTACAAGAAGCACTTTCTTCACTAAAATGAGGAATGTAGAGCATCATGGGAAGTTATACTTTGGCTCTGGTTTGACAAATAAGGAAATCTTTCAGCACAGCAACATCAAAATGGGCAGGATGTCAAAGTGGACTCAGGTTTCTGTTTGGTGGAGCTGGTCGGCCATCATATGCTGGTCAGAGCTTGAAGCTTTCTTTCTGAAACGGGTTTGTGTATGATGCCTTAATTCTCGTAATATTACGACTTTATTCTCATAATGTTATGACCTTATTCTCGAAAATGAAAAAAATAAATCTCTAGCCTGACCCTCATACTCCGTCGTAGTTATTGCAAGTATGTTTCCAAGTTTTTAAAAGCTTGAATTTCTGTTATTTTGTCTGTTTCTGTGTACCTTCTGCTGATTAACAGCATGTTGTTTTTCTCTCACGCTGGCCCAGATGCTCTGTAAGGAACGATCTTTCATTGTAGAGCATCGCAATAAGGTAGACTTCAATCTGATCATGCATGTCACAGAAAAAACTCATGCCTGCTTTCTCCTTATTTTTCCACAGCTCTATATTAGAGATATTACATGTCAACTGCAATCTAAGAAGTGCTTTTATGTTCTGCAAGTAACATAAAATAGTTTTATTTACAAGGGAAAAATGAAGATCACATAAAAAATGCTTGGAGTTGTAAATGTTCCTCTATTCATGTGTTCATACTGTTTTGGATTGGCTGAATACAGCTTGATCAATGTGTCACTGGGATCAAATAGTATCTCATCAAACTCTCAACATTATGAAAGTTTTACTTTCTACTGAGAAATCAGAATTATTATAATTTATCACAGGAAGGACAGTATTTTCATTACACAATTTCACAATTTTTCTTTATATCATACACTTGCCAGAAAATTTCTGTTTTGAGAGAAAGTAACAACAAGAAATCAGGAAACGTTTTACAGGCATTGCAATGGGTTATTAAGAAAAGTCACAAAATAGGCCTTGGAAAAATGATAATTGTGGTTTTTGGCATTTTGTCACATTGCATCTTAAAATGTTAAAGCTACAGTGTGTAATAATTACAGAGATATACAGTCAGAAATGTAATATATTATACATAACTATGTTATTTATCATCATCTACGAGCTCAGCCTCTTAACCTTAATATTTGCGTTGCCTTAGAATTCGTTATTTATAATTACATAGGAGCGGGTCTCGCAGCCATGGAGGCAGACATCTTTGCACTACGGCAGCGCAGAGCCAACAAACTAGCGATTGCGAGATCGCCCATTACGCTCGAAAGTAACTACGGCAAGTTGAGAGAGATGAACTGAGACGGTACTGAACAATAGATGGCAGTTTTAAAATTATCTATGTAAACAAACCTCATCACTTGAGAAGATAGGTGATGCGGACGTCGTGGAAGACATTTTGTCCCGTAACGCTCGCCGTACTGTTGGGGGGGAGAAGCGGTGGGGGGGAGATGTCCATGTTGCTGCGGTCTGCAGTCTGAACGTTAGATGTCGCTGAAAATTACACACTGTAGCTTTAAAGGTATTGTGGGTTAAAAGACCCACCCTCTTCACTTAAAAAAGAAAAAAAAAAGCGAATATAAGAGCATGCACGAGCCCATTTCTACTCGTGCACACCCTGTTTAAAATTTGCAGTTTTAATAGCTCATACAACCTTACTGTGTCCACATACACCTTATATAGTGGACTTTATAGATAACTAAGTTAACTGACCGTTCGGACAGATGATCAGTGATTTTCTTCCTCCACTGCGCGGTGCCTGCACTATCTTTGTTATTAGACACTACTGTCGGGTAGTGACAGCCTATGGCGACAGCGGTTCGCTGTGACAGCAAATCCCATAATGCTTTGTGCGGAGAGCTCTCTGGAATATATCTGCCTCTTCTGAGGCATTTCTTTTCTTCTCCTACACTTTGTAGACAGTTTTTCTCTAACGACCCTCGGCCATTTTCAAAGAAACGAGGTGAGAAAGGTGAGCTTCAATGACTGTCTGAAACCGTGGCTCACCACACATATGTGGCTGAAAGTGTGCATGCGCAGAAAAAGATAGCTAACGGGACTTCCAAAAAAAGAAAATTAAACAATCCACTGGACTTTGTTTCAAAGTTAGAAGATGTTTTGCTTCCCATTCAGGAAGCTTTTTTAATTTGAGTTTGTATTGAGTTCGAGGTTTTAAGGGGACGAGCATGTAGGACGGCCTTACATAAACATATCACCAGAATGATTGACAGTTAGGAGGACCACTTATTTAGATGATCCACCCGGAATTAAAAGATTGTCCCCTGTACCTTTAATGTATTTAAGTTGAATTTTATATTTAAGGACCACAGAAAGTGGAGAATTATTGGGACTTAGAAGGAAAGTGATCCAAGTTTTCACACAAATATTCCCTTATTAAATTGGTTAAAAAAACAGTAGAAAAAAATAAAATGCAACAGAATCAAATAGAACAGGACAATAAAGAGTCAGATCAGGGAGAAATTTGTGGAGAAGGGTTGGGTTTTAAAACAGTTTTCGATTTTATTTTAATACGTCTGCATAATGTCATCATCTAAAACTAAAAGGTAAAAGCACAACATCAAACCCACCAACATTTGACAGTCCACCTAAACTGACAGGATTGGCAAGAATTCATTTCTTACTTAAACCTAAACCTATATTTAGAGCTGCAAAAGATTAGTTTAAATCCATTTAAAACAGTTTTTATCCAATCTGATGGAGCTTGATCTATTCTGCACAATTTTTACTCTGCAGAAACTTGTCATTCAATGTTTTGCACAAAATTGCTTTGTGTTTGTTTATCCCAGTATAACACATTGTTTTTGCTCGTTGTAAGTTGGTTGTTGCGAACTGAGAAAATGTAAAAAAAATTATTTTCATCCTTTTTCGAAAGCATTTTATTTCCTCTGCATTAAAAAAAAGTGACGCTCTTCACATGATAATGGAATGAGTTGCTGGTAAATAATAAAGACCTCCTTCTATTGGATACTAAAGGAAATGTCTCACCATGTTTTCTGCCCCCCAGCATCTGCTGACTGCCAGGGATGCAGACAACGACTCCCTGAGGAGGTACAGCTGGACCGCAGACCCACTAGATAACGTCAACCTCGTCTCCTCGCCGGTCCACTCTGGGTAAGCATGTTTGGAAGGAAGAATTTATAAAGACAGGAGAACAAATGAGGGAGAAAATATCTGTTTTCTCAGTTTAACCATGAAAATGAGACAAATCTGAAAAGGTTGTTGAATAAGGGATAAGGTGGGAGGCTGGTTTCTTCCTGCCTGTGTTACAGTGTTTTTAAGATCTCTTTATAATTTCCATCTCTTTAACCTTTAGCCTGTCTGAACCGCAGCCATGATGTAGCTGCAGCTGAAATAATGTTTGGTTTTTTGGGAAATGGTTTGAATTTACTGAATAATACACATTTAATTTAGACTGATTCCAACTTTTTTGTTGTTTAGAAACCTGGAAACACCATTATTGGTCAATTATAAAGCATTTCCCAGAGTTTCAGATTTCTTATTTTTAATTTTTTTCTGTCAGAGTGACAAATCTGTTGACCTGTTCCTCCTTGCGTTACTTTGTCGTTCATTCTGCAGTCTTTCCTCTCCGCTCCCGCAGTACGACAGCAGGTGATTTGACTGTGATTGGTTGCCCTCTATCACACCTTCCCCTCTCAGTTCACTCATAACATCTGTGTTTGCTTTCCTCACTCATGAACTGATGTTACACACGTGACACAAAGCAGGAGCATTTGTTGGTTGTGTTTTTTTGTCCTTTTGTTTTTATTTTCTAACTAAACTGAGTGACTATATGCCAAAAATATATCAATGGGATTATATATATATATATATATATATATATATATATATATATATATATATATTTCTTTTTTTTTTTTGATTCTTTAATAATCTTATACTTCTTTTCCATGGTTTTTTGTAATCGGAACTATCTAGAAATTGATGTTTTAGCTAAAAGGTACCAGCATATGTTACACCAATTACCCATTTCTGCTGGAAGACCTGTAAAGGTGAGAAGCAGGAGGCGTTCTTATTTGTCTGGCTATGTCAGTTTTTCAAAGTTTCTCAAAAGTTTGGCGTATTTTTCTTACTTTTGCTTCAGTTTCATGATGTTTAAAGGCCTTTTTTATGTAAAGTCTTACTACAAGATAAGGAAATTAGTGAGTTTCTGTATGACCTTGATAGTTGCTTAAACAATATTTAAAGTTTTTTTTTTCTCAAAGAGAAAATACTTTTACTTTGATAACACTTCATAAGAAATCCTTCACTAAATTTATTTAAAATTATTAATTTATTGACTTTACCTTTTCTATTGCAAATTTAATCCTGTAAAATCTTACATTTGTTTTTGTTTTTTAAATCTGCCGGAGTCAGTTTGCTAGAATGTCGACTCAGATGAGAATATTGGGAAATGTTTTTTATGTTTTCCAATTTTCCGTAATGATTTTTAAGACTGACCAACTTCTAAAAACGTTACCTTTATCCTTTTCTTTTTTTCCAGCTTTTATTATGATGTTCCAGCTTTTTGGTGATGGTCACACTTGCATTTAATTAATGCTGCTGTTTTGAAGCTTCTGGTTATTTTATTTATCTTCTTTTTTTTTTTATCAATACTTTTGAGATCCATGAATGTATTCTGCATCAGCGTATATATAAACTCTATCTTATTTCCCTTTATGTATTTATATTACATAGGAGCTTAGAATATAGATGCGTTCTTTTTCACCCTAGCTCCACAACAATTTCTGGTTGGAATACGTTTCGCTAAGATAACTGGCTTGTTAGTGTTTGACCTGCTGATTAGAGCCGATCAAAGGAAAACTGGTCAATTCCTGTTTTTGGACAATTAATTTGTGCATCTATGACTCTTTGTTTTTATTAATAACACCATAGAGTTCAAACTAACATGACATTTTAAACACCATGTTGCATGGTTTGGGTCTGTGTGAGTGTAAACTATTATTATTTTTTGTGAGTTAGGGACAGAAATTATTTAATGCTTAACTTCCTTTTATGTAAAAAAAAAAAAATACAAAAAAGAGACTCCTTTGTTGGCAGCTTTAAGAAAATAAATTCAATGGTTACAGATGCACTTAATGGCCACTTTATTAGTAACAGCTTCTATATTATATGACCCCCCCTTTTTGCAAAACAAAAAAAGGAATTCCCTTTTTTCTTTCTTTGCATTTGATTTGACAAGGTTTTGCTCCCAAAGATGTTACCATTATGTGGTTGCTGCAGAATTATCTGCTTCACAGACTAAATGGAAATCTTCCATTTCACCACATCCCAAAGGGGCTCTGCTCAACCGTGATCTGATGTCTGTAGGGCCCATTGCACTACAGTGAACTCCATATTACACATTTGAGGTCTGACATTTCCTGCTTAAGATTGTTTACAGCCTGGAAGGAGACTTATTGAATTGGGAATTTAATCGATTTTATGTAGGTGAAGATTAAATTTTTGAAAAATCTGGATTTGTTCCACCAAATCAGTCATTAGTCATCTATGACTCAGAGTTACAGAAGTTCATCACTTTTTATTCTTAGATGTGTACTCATCACAGATGAACTAGATTACTGTGTTATACAAGGCTTAACCTTTTAGCCACCCTGCTAGGTCATTGTTTTCTTTTTTTTATAATCTTGAACCAAATTGTCCTCCTCTGACCTTAACCAGACGTTTTCTACGACAGAATTGCTGCTTACTGTTACTTTTCCATTTTCTGTAAACCAGACAAAATGGTGTCCCATGAAAATCCCAGTAGATCGACAGTCTCTGAAATAGTCAAATTGGCCAATCTAGCACCGACAGTCAGAATCTAAAAGTGGCTTCCCATTCTGAAGCTTAGTTTGCGCTTTAAAAAAATTACCTCCACCTCATCTAGATGTCCAATGTTGCAAATTTTTTACTTACCATTTTAAAAAGAAATTGAAAAGGTATACCTAATAAGATGGCCATTAAGTGTAAACTTAATGTTTGAGTTGGTGCTGTTTTTTTCTTTCTTACTTTGGTTCCAGCCAACATAGAAGGCCCCTCACCTTTTAGTTCCCTTTACTGTTTTCTTTACACTTACTGTGATTTTTTTATACGACCAAGCATGGGACACAACCTCACCTTAACTAAATCTTTTCTTTATATCGGCGCTACGATTAAAACGTGTTTTACGTATTACATCCCTGTTTCCATATTCTCTCTGCTTCTCCTGTCTTCGTCTTTTTCCTCTCTACTATTTTCTCTTCCTTTGTATTCCCAACTTCAGGTTCCTGGTCAGCTTTATGGTCGACGCCAGAGGCGGCTCGATGAGGGGAAGTCGGCACAACGGGATGCGCATCATCATCCCACCGAGAAAATGCACAGCCCCCACCAGGATCACTTGTCGTCTGGTAAAAAGGCACAAGCTGGCCTCCCCTCCTCCGATGGTGGAAGGAGAAGGCTTGGCGAGCAGACTGGTGGAGGTTGGACCGGCAGGGGCTCAGTTTTTAGGGTAAGGCTGCACTTTTCTTTATCTAAATCTAGTCAGTATCAGTTTCTTGGGAAACATCCCTCTCCTTTTGCTTGTTACATCACCATTTTCCGCCATGTAAAATGATATTTTAATGTGTGAATGAGTGCATTTGCATTTTGAGGAGCGATGTGTGCAGTTTTTTTTTTTTCCAGAATCTCAATCTTTGTGTTCCAAAAGGACACCTAAGCTCCCCATATACTTAGAGGTCCAGAACAGACGGTGATGATAAAATCCTTTTTATTAAATGTTTTTATAACATTTAATATCCTTATCATTTCAAAACATTCAGTTAAACACGGAAGAAAAAAAACTATTGCTTTAAAAATTAACCTGGCATAATATTTACAAATTATTAGGATTATCCAAATAATAAAAATTTCTTAACTGCATATTAACAGTTTCTTGATATTCAGTAACCCAGACATTAGTGCCGTCAGAATGAGGCAGGAAAGGCCAGAATGGTTCAGGTCAATCCACAACTGTTGACTCAAACAGAGGCATACTTGTAGATGTTTTAAGGTAACTCATCCGGCATACTATTTATTTTTGTTAAATCATGAAAAGAACATCTGAAGACATCAGATATCTGGAAGACATTTTGGACCAAAGCATAGCTCAGTCAAGATAATCTTTAATATTTTTCTTTACCTTAAAGTATGATGTTGATCTGTTTGAAAAATGATAGAGAAGTATGACAGTAGTAGAGCAATTGCATCTGTGCCCTTTGCTTCTATAAGTGGGCACCGACGCTCAAAAGCTTGCCTGATGTCCACCCCCATTCTGCGTTTTTTTTTTTTGTTTTTTTTTTTTTTGTTTAACTCTAACAAATGTAATGTAGAGAAGAAACTATTTGTATTATTGAGCTACTATGATCTTGCAGTGCCTCAGCTCTGAATCACATGACTTTAACCGACTCCTCCTATTGGTGCAGAATCTATTTTATGTCGATGTTGACATTTTTCTATTTATTTAATACGTTTTGTGGATTTACTTTTTTTTTTTAAACTTATTTGATTTGATGAAAAATTTGAAGCTTTGACCTTTGAGTCTAAATTTTAGAGTGTCCATCATAAAGCTCTGATTTGAGTCCCTTAAAGCTACAGTGTGTAATTTTCAGCGACATCTAGCGGTCAGACTACAGACCGCAGCAACATGAACATCTCCCCCCCACCGCTTCTCCCCCCCAACAGTACGGCGAGCGTTACGGGACAAAATTTCTTCTACGACGTCCACATCACCTACCCTCTCAAGTGAGGAGGTTTGTTTACATAGATAATTTTACAGATAGTATTTCATTAGTCTGTGTAGGGTATAGATTTCATGTAGACTTAAGATAATAAATATACCCGTTATTTTTTCTACATCGTTGTGACGTCTTGGTGAGCTGCTTTGCATGGTGATATAAACAGACGAAGTAATTGTAGTCATTAGTTTAACAGCGAGATTGTGTTCGCTGGAAGAATATATATCCCCCGTTTACAGAGTCCAAGTCATTTTGGTGGCACGGGGGTTACAACGCGAGGGAGAGGGAGAGGACGAGGGCGAAGGCAGGGAGGCCGTGCAGCTAGGGCCAGGCGAGAGAGGGGAGCCAGCGGGGTGAGAGCAGAGGAGGAAAGGCTTGAAGATCTCCAAAGGAGCCGGAGAGAAGTAACCGAGGTATATATCCAGAAAATTATTTTACAGAAAATTACTGAATCATTACCTGTGAAACGTCAGGGACGTTGCTGAATAAGTATACTGGAGAGTAACAGCATCATCACGCAGCATGTTATTGTTTTAGACAGGTCTGAGCATCCTGTACTCCAAAAACTGCAGTGATATTAGACAATTGTGTGTGTAGGATTAATTACCTGTCCAAGAGAAAACTGGCAACTTGAGCGTCACTTTGAAAACCTTTTTCCTCCATCAGTGACTTCCATCGTGTAAATGCCGTGCCAATGTTGATCCGTGTTTTTTGCCGTTTCTTGTCACGCTTGCGTTTATTCTCGTCGTGTTTCCGCTTCTTAGATGACGGGGGTTCGGTGTCCGCCGCTTTTCGTTGTGATACAGAGTAGGCATGATCCTCCATTCGTCTGATGTTTGGCCACACAGTGCCAAACAGTTTGCAAAGTCACTCACGCCTGCCGCCTTGTTCACCTTTCTTGTTACTGAGGCGCAGTATACCTGCTTCTTCTTCTTCTTTGGTTTCAGGCAGACTAAACGCTTCTCAGGCATAATACTGCCATCTACTGTTCAGTACCGTCTCAGTTAATCTCTCTCAACTTGCCGTAGTTATTTTTGAGCGTCATGGGAGATCTCGCAATCGCTAGTTTGTTGCCTCTGCGCTTGCCGTAGCGCAAAGATGTCAGCCTCCATGGCTGCGAGACCCGCTCCTATGTAATTATAAATAACGAATTCTAAGGCAACGCAAATATTATGGTTAAAAGGCTGAGCTCATAGGTGATGATAAATAACATAGTTATGTATAATATATTAAATTTCTGACTTTATATGCCTGTAATTATTACACACTGTAGCTTTAAGGCATTTATGGACATGATCTGCAGAGTTGACAAGTTACAGCTGTTCAAAGATTGCCTGGGTGCCATTCCAAACTTAGTCCCGCCCACAAAGTTTGAGGTCAGGAAGTTCGGTCTGGCTCTGCTCCATAGTAGCGCGAGTATTATCGCCCACTGTCAGGCGATCCAATCAAATTGTCAGGGCGGGCTTTATACAATGATGGACAGATGACCAACAGTAACGTAATCAACCACGTGACCAATGCGCACTTGGGTGACAACAATAATGGCTGCCGCTGGAGAGTTTAGGTGAGTAGATTCTGCTATTAGGTCTGTTCTAGAAGATATCGACAGCAAATTAATTTTTAAAGAGGAACAGAGAAACGCGATCAAGTCTCATCTTCTTATTCTAGGCGTGCAACTGCACGCTTTGATTTTTGTGGACAACAACTATGCCTCGTAACATACGTCACGCACTCCGTTGCTCTTATTGGTTGTAGGTCTAACCAATTGAGTGCAGAGGCATTTTTTTTCCTGGTTTGTTCGAAACACGCCCCATAATCACAGCTCTATGGAGCAGTATCAGACTCATATTCTGACTAGAATTGAGTCGGACTACGTCAGGCTAGTTCAATGAGGAGGAATCGGCCAAAATTACAGCAAACTATAGTGTGAATCTTGTTGGAGGGAGACACAACTAGAATTCAACCCAAGATTTAGCATTAAAGATGAGCAAATTCAAAAAGAGAAATTAACCACCCATAGTTGGCTATTGAAGGAAAAGCAGCTCGTTAAATCGAAATATGTTTTGGAAGTTCAGAGAAAGGATTTGGCCTTTTAATTAATCTTATCGACACATTTACAAATTTTATTCCAATTAAAATCCAAAGGTTCAGAATTAGATTCACATATGAAAGGAAAGGAAAATTGTCAAAGCACACAGAATTTTGTGAAACTATGACGGGCAATCACATTTCTACTTTTAATTAAATTTTTCTATTTTTTTGTAGTTATTAGTTAATGCTGCTATTTTTTGATATATATATATATATATATATATATATATATATATATATATATATATATATATATATATATATATATATATTTATATACTTATTATTTATTTATTTTTTTTAAGCATATCTATCCTTCAAACAACTTATCAAGACTCTTTATGTGTAAATCACTTATTCACTCTGCTGTGAGTAATGAAAAGAAGCCGGCTCTGGGTTAACTTGCCCCTTCGCCGATTTGTCTCATTATTTTATCCTTTCCTTATACCAGTAAATTACCATGGACTAAACAGCTGTGTGCCTGTTTCTTTCATATTCTTATTGGTCGTGTATCTTCATTAAATATGGAAGCAATTCACAGAAAAATATTCAAATCTTAAATTTGATGTCATTTTATTTCTAGATTTTCTACAGATCTTGTTTTAAACTGTAATTCTAATTAGCTGAATATTACAAACCGATTTCCGTAAAATAAACTGGGGGTAGATTTTAGAAATGTACTTAGAAGGATTCATGTCAAGGTGAATACCAGATAGGCATAAGCTGTTGGACAGCTGATGTTTGTTGCCATTTTGCACCCTCAAATGCTTGGGACGAAAGGAACAAAGCTGTAAAAAGGAGAAATGGCGAAGGGGCAATAATTTGCCCAGATGAGCCAGCTATTGTGAGGTTGTGTTTTATATAAATGTTTGTCTCATTATCTTGTGGACACAGTAAGCTCCATCTTCCCAGAAAGCTGCCAGCCCTTAATGAAGGCGAGAGCCTGGTTAGTCCAGTGCTCCAGCTGGGACCCAGAGGAACTAGATTTGTTGGGTAGGAACCAAGCATACTGTAGCTTCTTTCTCTACCCCCCCACCTACCCCCAGGACACAACATGTTGAGGCTGCTCCATCCTGAAGGATTTTGTTGCCCATCTCTGTTGACCTCAGTTTATCAGGTTGTAGCTTTTATATGGTTTTCATGTAGTTTTGGGAAGAAAATGTATTATGAGTCCAGCACTGCTACGTCTATTTCTAGCAGCAGCATTACAGAGAGAAGTTCCTTTCTTATAGTTTTCACCACTTTTGTTCTTCCTAAAACTACGCATCTTGGCTTCAATTTCATTGCACTTACTTTGCAGCCACTTCATTGTATGGCGCCTGCCCCACTTGCTGCCATTCCTTGGAAAGATGTGTAAAAGGCCTTTAAATATTGTCTATATGATCTGCATTAGTCAGCAAATGACCGCAAGAAAATTTCACCTTAAATTAAATCATGCATTTTTAAACCTTCCAAAAAAAACTGTAGGCATACATATCATGTAATATTTTACTTTTTCCACTATATTTTTGCATATTATTATATTTTTGTGGTAATATTTGTTTTCTCAAAATCTAAGAAAAACACTTGCATTCAGTGCAAAGTACGACATGTCAAAACACATTTTCACAACTTAGATATTATATGAGCAGTCACTGTCACTGTGCAGATTAGAGCTGAGTTGTCTCAGCTCTGTGGTTTTTCCAAGACAATGAGCTGAACAACTGCTACTCAAGGAGCAGAATTAATGAGAATACCTGCAATGCTTTAATCAAAGGAAATACCCCTTTGGGCATGACCAAATACCACATAACATTCAAAACATAGTTAGAAATTCAGAAAAAAAATGATTTTGCTTTTATATAAGCCCTTTAGAGGACTGAAGCTGAAAAAAAATGCTGGACTAGGCCCTAATGCTACGTTCACACCGGACGCAGCTGGCGCGACAGAAGCAGCGACTTTACATGCAAAGTCAATGGTTTGCGTGACGCGCCGCAAACGCGCTGCTGCTCGAGATGGAAAAATTGAATTTTTGCTGCTCGATGCGCCGCGTCAACCAATCAGAGAAGCTGATCTGGGAGCTGGCAGGGAGAGAGACAGCGCTGATGATCAGAGCGCTATGATCACTCCTCTTAAACAGTTTATTGACGCCTAAATTAACTTAAAATGCAGAAATCTGCCGGCAGAATATGTTGGCTTTTATTATCCTGCTGCCTGCAGTTTGGATTATTTAGATGAAAAACACCTACCAGCTGCCGCGGTGAACCGCGACGAGGCGACCCGGCCAGAGGCTGCTGATGAAAGGATTCCTACTGTCGGCGCACCGCTGGTATGTGGGGGTCTGAGCGGCTCCGACAGAAAAAATATGGGAAGGCAGACTACTTTATTCCCACTGATCACAGCAAATATAGCTGCAAGGCAGAGAAAGCATAGAGTAGCTCCGCCCAACGCGCGTCAGACACACTTTTGCACCGTGCAGAAAGAGCAGCAAAGCTGCTTAAGCCGCGCGTCAGAACTAGCTGGTACAAGCAGCAAAAATGAAGCAGCAGACGCGATTTTGCTGCTTTTGCTGCATCTGGTGTGAACGTAGCATTAGTTTCTCTTTTGACCAAAGGAAAGTTGAAAGGGAGGTAAAGTTTAGAATAATATTTTGGGATCACAAATTCTCTAAAATATAAGTTTCTGTTTATGTGCTAACCTGAGGGTTTATTCATAAAACTCATTTAGAAGAGCCAGACATAACTGGGCAAATTGTGTGAAGCCACAACTGCTGTGTTTTTCCAACACGGACCCCTTGTTTGCTTAATGTCACTGATGCAAGACAGATCGAGCAGCAGACCATGCAGTCGACCAGAGTTCATTGGCAAATCATGGCCTAACAGGAAAGTGCAGCACATTTTATTGATAAAAGGCTATCGATCTTTAATTGAATAAAAAGGGAAACTGTTGCCATCAATAAAGTCAGGGAAAGAGGATGGAAGCAGTGATAGATTCATTGCATAAATAAACTGTTTTGGAATATATATTTACTTAAGTTGAATAAATATTTTTCCAGCAATTGTGGATATGTCGAAAATACCCTTTTGGCCCTTTTTTGTTCTGAGTCAGCTGAGCCTCACTGTCTAATTACCAAAAGGAGGGTGTTCCAACCGTTAACCACTAAGGTGCTAACTGGATTATGAACAATTTTTTTGTTATTTTTTATGATCTCAGTTAACTTCACTCAATGTGTTTTAATTGGCTGTTCAGACTGGACTGCGCTTTGCTGGGCATGAGACATCTTTTACCCTGAAACACAGCACCGTCCTTCCTTCCTTCATTTCCATTACATCAGCATTAAAATAATTTTTTCTGTCATATCTTTATTTTCCTGTTTTTTTTCTGTATGTTTTATTAAAGTGTACTTTATAATGTCAGAATATTAGTCATGCCCACAGCAAACAGATCAGATGAATGATTGATGTAAATAAATAAGTTATATTTATTTATAATATAAATATATATTTATTAATATATAAATGGGGGAGTGGCGGCCTAGTGGTTAGGGCAGGGGTCACCAACGCGGTGCCCGCAGGCACCAAGGGGCCCTCAAGGACCAGATGGTGTGCCCTCTTTGTCTTCTGAAAACAGAAGAACTCACTCAGTGGGTTAAGTTTATTTGTTTTTTTTTATTCTGTTGCTCTTCTTTTTAATCATTTATGTATTCTTCCATCATGTTAACTATTTCATCATATTTTAGTGGTTTCAAATTTACAATATTAAAAAGAAAATTAGAAATGAATAAAACAATAAAATAAGAATAAAAATGAGTATGTGAAATAAAAAAAATAAAAAACATATTACTTTCATAATAATGTCAAATTTTATAGATTCTGTATTTCTTTTTTTTTTTTAAACTGTGCATTATCTGTCACGATTAAATAATAAACATCTTAATCATCCTAGCAATAGAGCCGGGAATTTAACGTGTTCATTTTGATTCATTAATTAGAAACATTTTAACATGTAAAAAAGTTAATGCAATTAATTGCATTTTCATATATACATACTAAAATAAGAAAGAACCTTTGCACTGACTGTTTCTTGTACTTAAATCTGATGCACAAGCGAAATCACAGGCATTGGTCCAGTGGGGGTAAAAAAAAATGTTTTTCATGGGGAGAAATTATAGAAAATTGTCATTTCATGGCATCAGTCCTAATCACAGTAATCTGGATGTTTATTTAACAATTATGTCAGAGGCCACAGGTCGAGAGTCTGTACAAACCATGGAAGTGGATTTTCTCCATTAGCCCCATTAGGCTAATTGGCTTTCCCCGATCGTGATAAAACCTTTTTTTTCAGTGAAATATGAGATCCAACAGGATACATTTTAGATTTCTTTGTTTTACTTTTGCACTGCAACCTTTCACTGTGAAATACCTATTTGGTTAATAGTACCTTTAACAAAAACTACTACTAAATAATTTTTCTTTGAAGATAAAAGACTAAAGAAGTCAACTCCTGCAAGTATGAAAAAATCATAGTATCAAAATTGTTGTCTTCCAAAAAAGTCTATGTGCATCCCCATTGTCTAAAAGTTCCATCCATCCATTATCCATCCATCCATCTATCCTCATTCTCAATCATTCATGTGAATTTAGAGTTTATGTTGTAGAGATTACCTGATAACTGTGAGTTTGAGCCTGAGAAGGTGGGGTTGGGGGGTGTGGACTTAAAGAGTGTTTGTCAGGAGTGTTTTAACTGCTATGAAGTTTAACTAATAAAATCTTATACTTGTTCTATTGAGACTTCACACTCCTTTCTTTTACCATCATGCCTTGTATCATTATGGGCTGTGCAGCTTTTTATCACCTTTCATGATATTCTATGCGTTACATTTGCCCTGATTGTCCCATTACCTCCCTATGTCTACCATTGGAGCTATTTTTATTTAGCACTGTCATCATCAGAAATTTGTTTATGTGATATGGAAACCAGCACATTCACCTTATGTTTGATTTGTGGTAGCTCTGCTCTGTTCTATATCTGTGTCCATTTTGATTCTTGCGGAGCTGCAGCTTGAACCCTGTCATTTTTCATATTTCAAATGATCATTTGACATCACTCTCTAAAACCAGTCTTGCTTTCTGATTTTTTTTTCAGTTTTACTTTAACTTTTCATTTCAGTGGAGGGAAAGGAGGTGATATTAATTAGGCCTTTTGTCTCTGACATGTCCCCTGCTAGGCCTGTGATAGTAGAGATCCCACATTTTGCCTCAATGCGGGGCCAGGAGAGAGAGCTGATCCTGCTGCGCAGTGAGAATGGAGAATCCTGGAAGGAACATCTGTATGACTGCAAGACCACTGACCTCAATCAGCTTCTGAATGGGATGGATGAAGGTGAGGCGCCCCGACTCATTTTTACATTTCATAGCTATTGTTTGCTCTGCACTGCATGCAGAGCCAGAGATATGTAACTAATTATGCAGAAATAAAAATCATACCAGATAACTGGTAGGTTTTTGTATTAATGGAGAAATCCCCTTCTTCAAACAAAGCAAAATGTTCTTTTAATTCTGGGGCAACAAGCCAGCAGTGCAAAAGATCTGTAAATTAATAAGGAAGCAAGAGAACATTTTTTGAAAGCTAAAAATACAAGAACCACACTGTTAATTTTTTTCACTATGAATTTAAGGTAAATTACTGGCTACTAATTGCATTACTTTTACAGTAATATCACATTAATTTACTGGGAATATGTATCCAATATTTCCCTGTAAATATATCACAATAAGTAATTGTGAGTATTTGTTACGTCCACAAGGGCACCACATATTTGAGGACACATACAAAACTAAGGGTACTAAATAATTTATTTTTATTTCTTCTTTTTTTTTTTACTCTCAAACACTTTTTTTCTCAAATCAGCTGTTTCAATGGTCTGTAGAGAGAGAAAAAACATGAATTAAATATTTTCAGCTTCTGTGTCAAAAAAAAAAGAGGAAAGAAGGAGAGAAAAAAGAAAAGACCAAAAAACCCAAAGTAGCCAAGAAAGTTGGACCTGGTTAGCCGATCAAAAACAACAAAACGGTACAGAAGGGGGGCCAACCCCATACAGGGCCGTCAAAGCTTCTACTAGTACTGGACTATAGCAAAAATAAACTACTAAAAGAAATAAAGAATCGAAAATAGGACTACCGGTCCCACATGGCTAAAATCATAACGAAAACAGCATCCAAACAAATGCTAACAAAAATACAGCATGGCACTTCAGCTGCAGGCTACAGCAACTAGAGATCGGTGCGCCTCCTCTGTGGTGGAGATGAACGATCAAGCAGAAGGGCGGAGAATGGAGGACCAACTCTGCCATATTTAAAAATAAATACAGAAATAAATAAATGCTCAATAAATAAATAAGCATACAATTAATTGCAACCAAAAATACAAGTTGACTATCTAAGACACACCCCCTCCTCATTTGCATAATGAGGCAGAAATGCATACAGAAATGTAAAAAGGGCAGGCAGAAATAAACAGCGGCGAAGAAATAACTAGGGTAAAAAAAATACAAAGGAAGAATAAAACAGACAAAATATTATAACATGCACATAAATAAATACTTAAAAAAATAAAGTTGAAGATAATAAAGGACAAAAAAATAAATAAGGTTAATATTACAAAGGCAAATAAATAAAGAAGCTAATTGAAAGAGTTATATATATTTATGTCTTACTGTATAATTTAATTTCTTCTTACATTTATTTGTTCATTGTATTTTTAGCGGCAATTAATTATATGCTATTTATTTATTGAGCATTTATTTATTTCTGTATTTATTTTTAAATATGGCAGAGTTAGTCCTCCATAGTGGAGGCCCTCCCAAATCAAAACCCAGCCTATTTATAGGTGGTCCAACAGCCACTAATTAACGAGGCCAAATTGATTACAAAAAAAGTATCCAAAGTCCAAAATATACTAAACAAGAACTTCTTCAACTAAAGTCAATATTAAACCATCTAGAAAGAAAAATGAACAAAATAAATATGTGCCCATAAAAGTATTTCACAGTAATTTCCACCAACATTACAGCTACATGTTGTAACTTCAGTTACAATCATGGATTTACATGCTTATTGTCAGACATTTACTGCAGTATATTTTTGGTCACAAAGAGCAATGGTCATTCTCAACATGATGTAAAACGGCAGATTTAGAACCATATCCAGTGATTTTTCTATGCTTACCGTCTGTGACTGTCAACACTCAAATAATACGCACTGCCCTTTAGACCTTCATAGAACAGTTTGGATTTATATTAAATTTCATTTAACTTTTAGGTAGCATCTGAGGGCAGTTGATTGCTCAGGACTTTATTTAGAAGTATTAGAATACAGTTTGTTACCAAACATGCCCTACTTTTTTTTTTTCCATCACATAAAACCTAATTATAAGCATAACAGTTCTGGTTTTAATGTTAACGCGGCGTGCAGGTGGCTGTTAGTGTGCACGACCCATGTACAGAGGCCTTAGTCTTCGACGCGGCCGACCCGGACTCGAATCTGACCTGTGGGCCTTTGCCGCATGTATCTCCCCCTCTCTCATACCCCCTTTCCTGTCAGCCTATTGTCGAAAAAACAAGCCACTAGTGATACAAAAAAACTTTGTTGAAACCACTTTTTGTGCTATACTATTTTGATTGTTTTTTATGTTGCTGATCTTCTACAACTTTAACCCTTTCCGTATAGAACTAGATAGTCCTGAGGAGCTGGAGAGGAAGAGGATCTGTCGCATCGTCACTAAGGACTTTCCACAGTACTTTGCTGTGGTGTCCCGGGTCAGACAGGAGACCCACCAGATGGGACCAGAGGGAGGAACTCTCTGCAGCCGGAGCGTCCCATTGGTCCAAGCTTCCTTCCCCGAGGGGGCGTTAACTAAGAAAATCAAAGTGGGATTACAGGTTGGTTTTAGGTTAAACATATCTGTTAGCGCTTGTCTTTGAAATGCCACGACCTGCCGAGAAAATGCAACAAAATGTAAATGTTTGGATCTCTGAAGTGAGCATCCCTTTTTAAGCGCCGTGTCTCTTCGGCCAGGCCCAGCCCATTCCTGAGGACACTGTGAAGAAAATCCTTGGGAACCGAGCAACCTTCAGTCCCATTGTTACCGTGGAGCCCAGAAGGAGAAAGTTCCACAAGCCCATCACCATGACGATCCCAATACCACCACTCTCAGGGGAGGGGCTTACTAATGGTTACAAAGGAGACAGTACACCTTGCCTCCGCCTCCTCTGTAGCATTACAGGTGAGAGCTGGTCCAAAAAAATTTAATAAAAAAAAATAAATAAAACAGGGCCACCTTTTGGCCTTATACAAAAAACTTACTGTATTCCACATTTCAGGTTAATACAAAAACATTCAAAGAAAATATAGCTTGAAGTGTCTTTTAGTGAGAATTTGTAGATTTTACTCATATTAGACTAAATGGTGTTGGGATATAAAATCCACAAAGCATAATTCAACCCAAGTTTAAGATTTTTAAACAAAGTTAGAATTTATTTAAATTTTTTTTATTAAATTCTGACCTGATATCAGTTAATAGAGCTATTTGATTATATATCAACTCATTTGATGTTTGGTTTATAGATAAATATAAAAATTTAACAGACCTTTATGTTGGTTAAAAGTAGTGATGTTATGGGATGGATGAGCTGAGGCTTCGAGGCATGTGTCGATTAGTGGAGAGGGCATTTCCGCGAAGCGCGTAACAAGGCTTCATTTAGGGGAGGAGCCAAAATTAATTATGCCCAAAGACTTGTGACCCGGCCATACAACATCACCGCTTCAGTAAGTGGTTCAGCTCACAGCAAACTTCTGCAAGCATCTAAACAGCCTCATTATTCAGTCAAGATGTGGGCATTTGTTGGAGAGTTGCAGTATTTGTCTAGAGTTTGGATATAATCTAAGAATAGATTGGCTATAAAAACAACCAATCTAGTTGATTTATGTTATATTGTTTAATTTAACCAGAATTGTTTTCATTTTGGTTACATTAAGCAACATAATGATCAGAATCTGAGCAAGCCACTGTTATCAGTTGTAACATTAGTATTTAGTAGTATCCCTTTCTGATGAACAGTTACTCTTGCTAGTGGTGTGAGCTTTAAGCCTTTCATTTGCAATCTAGAGGTTTTAGGTTCAAGACCTGCCTTTGACTTTAGAAAGTTGCTATAATATTAACCAGTATTTTATGCCAATGTGGTTGATTTTTATTGGTTTGCCCTTTCACCAATATATATATTGTGTAAAAACACTGCCAAATTAGATTGGTTGGTTTAACCAAAAGATTTGTTGGACACATAACTTCAAACCAGATTAAAACCCAAAATGGTGGGAAAAAAATATTTTTGAACAAAAATTACTAACACCTTTCATTTTGCTCATCATTGCCCAATTTGCACAAGCAATTGAGCTTACAAAAGATTTTTATTATACACACCAGTCATTGACAATATCAACGGAACTTAAATGGGGGAAAAAAACAAGAAAAATAATTGCCCTAGCTAATCACTGAAGATGAGAGATATTCCAGGTATGTATTGTGTATGTCAGCCCTGAAAATCATTAAAAATAACAGTTTTTAATAAAAAGGAATGATACAGCTCATTATACAATCATCAATCCATAAACAGGAGAAAAAAGCTGCATCCTTACTGATAATGATATACTTTCGTTATTTTAGGATAGTTTTACATTTTCAAATGTTTCAGGGAACTTATAGTGACTTTATTTATGTTTTGGTCTCTAAAGATTCTTTTGGTTAGGATCAGGTTTTTTTAAATGATGTTCTTAAACGTTGTGATAAAAACTTGACAAGGTAATACTTTGGTTAAAACATTTCTTTTGGAAAAGTAATCAAAGCTCTTTGATTTTTCCGTATTATTTAAACTCATCCTTCATCCTGTACTTTAGTTATGTTTAGTTAAGTTATGTAGCAAAATTGGGAAGTTGCATGCTCAATACAAATTATTTTGGTAAATCAAGAATCTTTTTCCTCTCAGATGTCTATTTTATCTGTTAGTTTGGGATTGTTTGCTATTTGAACCGGAACAGTTTAAAGCACAATGATGCAGAATTAAAAAAAAAAGCATTTTAAGGAGGTTTAATGTCATGCTTTATGAAACTTGTTAATTTTCGGATTTTAAATGAAGACCATTAAGTGAGAAATGTTATCCGTGTGCAGGTGGTACATCTCCAGCACAGTGGGAGGACATCACTGGAACAACTCCCCTCACATTCGTCAACGATTGCGTCTCTTTCACTACCAATGTCTCTGCGAGGTGAAGCATAACACACAGACACCACATGATTTGTATTTGTGTATCTATGATCATGCCAGCTGACAGCTTTGCTAGCGCCCGGGACAACACAGTCTTTTTCGGGCCCCCCCCTCTACACTTAAACGCCGTGTAGCCGGACTGTTCGCCGGACTTCCTAAAACCTGATATTCTTAGTTTGCAGCGAAACAAACTTTAAAAGTTGTAGCCCTGGTCAAACCATTTTTATGTTGGGTAAGGGGGAGTTCCAATGGCCGCTTATTTACAAAAAAACATGTATATATACTTAATGCAGATATATTTACATATTTAGTTACTCTAGTATTAAATATATTTTCACAAATATTTTCTGAAAAATGACTTGTGCCTGTATTTTTTAATGGGCCCCCCTCTGTCCCGGGCCTGGGACAGTTGACCCCTTTGTCCCGCCCTGTCGGCGAGCGTGTGTATGATTCTTCTACCTGTTTTTTCTGTTTTTGTCTCCTGATGCAGGTTCTGGTTAGCAGACTGCCACCAGATCCCAGAGACAGTCGGCTTGGCCACTCAGCTCTATAGAGAGCTGATCTGTGTGCCCTACATGGCCAAGTTTGTAGTTTTTGCCAAGATGAATGACCCCGTGGAGTCCAGCCTGAGGTGCTTCTGCATGACAGATGACAAAGTGGACAAAACCCTGGAGCAGCAGGAGAACTTTGAGGAGGTGGCAAGGAGTAAAGACATAGAGGTACATTTGGTTTATTTAAGATGGGGTCTGCTCTTCCGTTAAAAAAATGCATCCAAAATAAATGATATGTTAAGATACAGAGATTTATTACTTTGCCTTAACTCTGATCATCTAAAGCATATTACTTAAAATTTATTTGCATCTTATGATAAAATAACTCAAGCCCCTGTCACACCTTGACGATTTAACCTGCGTATGCCTGACGTATCAAAAATCTGGCAAAAACGCTGGTATACGTTGGATAAATTATGAGCACGCCAAAGAGCGCTGGAACAAGCTGGCACACGTCGACATACGGCAAATGCCAGCGTATGCTCATACTTAGGGCATAAGTTAAAGGTAAGTTATCTGATCGTTGGCATACGTTAAGTGTAAGTTACTCATAAGTCGTGCTTATCCAAAGCCTATCAGTTACGTGCACATAACTTGAGTGTAACTTATCAAAAACTTATCTCCATATCAACATATTTGACGTGTTCCAGACGACCGCTGAACGTGTTTCTAACTTACAGCTACTGTATAATGGCCTACTGGCAGCATTTCGGTATAAAAGGGGGTTCACAGGTCACAACCGTCAGTTGTCCTCTAGACAGCATCCCCATCATAGGGTAAGCGAGAAGATGAGCATGATGGATCTTCCCTGCGTTCACAGCCACGACCAACAAACTTCCTAGCAGACATGACGCTGAATATGCTGCGACTGCAAACCTTCTTTATTTTGTTTTTTCTTTTTATTTACTCTCTTTTTGGGGGGGGCGGGCGGTAAACAGCAGCTAGGTTTACCGTATTTTCGCGACTATAAGGCACATATAAACGTCTTTTTTTCCCTCAAAATGTGCGGCACACCCTATGTGTGTTGTTACTGCAGACGTTGTTGAGACCGCCATGAGAACGTTAAAGGGGGAAGTGTGGGTGTGGATTGGCTGCCACACAAATGGACAGAAACTGTCGCCTATAGTGATTTTTAAGAGAAAGACTGCCTAAAGAGACTTTTCCAGCTGGAGTCGTTATTAAGGCAAATGAGAAGGGCTGGATGGATGAGGAGATGATGAAAGAGTGGCTGAGGGAGGTGTATGTAAGGAAACCAGGTGGTTTTTTCCACACATCACCATCGCTGTTAATCTGTGACTCCATGCGTGCCCATCTCACAGCCGATGTGAAAAACATGGTGAAACAAATGAACGCTGTGCTTGCTGTTATTCTGGGAGGTCTGACAAAGGAGCTTCAACCGCTCAACATCGGTGTGAACCGGCCGTTCAAAGTAAGGCTGCGAGCGGCGTGGGAGCGATGGATGACCGACTGAGACCACAGTTTCACGAAAAGTGGAAGGCAGCGCCGGGCAAGTTACGCCACAGTTCGTGGATGGATTGTAGATGCTTGGGCTAACGTGTCTGCTGGCTCTGTTGTTCGAGCTTTCGCAAAAGCCGGCATCATTTCTGAGGAGCCGCCCGGCACGGAAAGTGACTCTGACAGCGAAGAAGGGGAAATTGACATGTCTGATTTAGCGCAGCTTTTTAATTCAGAAATAGAGGATGATGACTTTGATGGGTTTGATTAATACTTTGTAATAAATACATGAATAAAGCACAATCACTCTCAGTTTTGCTCCCGCTCTATTTTTAAATACGCAGTAGAGGTATTTAAACGTAGTAGAGGATATGTGCCTGTATATAAAATCCGCGCCCTATAATCCGGTGCGCCTTATGTGTGTGTTAAATACAGTAATGGCACACATAGCCGAGACTGCGCCTTTTAGTACGGTGCGCCTTATGGTCGTGAAAATACGGTAATAGCGCAATCAAATAAATCTTTTTATGCTGGCCAGCCTCAGGGTGCATCGCTGCTCCCCTCAGGACACTGGCTTCTGACATTTCATTGTTATTATGCATTTATTATGCATAAGTTAGGCTGTCGTTGGACATAAGTTCTAGACTTGTTATGAATATGCTATGTATATGCCCAAATTGAAAAAATACATAGAAAGTTCAGCGTATGCCAGCATTTAAAGAGATTCTTGGACGTCTGGCATACGCTGGCTAAAGTGGCAAAGTGTGACAGGGCCCTCAGCGGCTTTAAAATTAAGGTTACTGCTGTCTTTAAAATATTAATGTTTAGCCTTATACAACAAATCTACCATTTGTTCTACTCCCTTCAACATTTTTCAATAGAAATAACATCTTGATTTTTATTTATTTTAGGTTCTGGAGGGAAGGCCCATTTATGTGGATTGTTATGGAAACCTGGCTCCTTTGACCAAAACGGGGCAACAGTTGGTGCTCAACTTCTACGCCTTTAAGGAAAACCGTTTACCCTTCTGTGTTAAGGTATTCTCATATTAGTCATCATCTAATACCAGTGTGGAGGAGGAAGATTATACAGATACATTCATGCTCTGCATATTGATGCCACTTAAACTTTTTCACATTTTTCCACATTACAATTTCTACTTTTGTAATATCCTATAGAAAATGTTATTGGGCATTTCCAGTTTCCTTCCACCACCAGCTAATTCTGATACTTATTTCTGGTTGAATAAGGTCAGTCTTTATTTGCATTTGATAACAATGGCTCTAAAATGGGTCTAAAGTGGGTACATTCTCATTTAATTCTCATAAAAGACGAATAAAGTCCTCAAACTGGTACAATTTTAAACTGGGAGGATAATATGGTTAAATGACCTAGTGTTGGGCTTAATATTTTGCATACGTTGTTTTAGACAGGAACCTTCAAGCTTACAAACTCATGCAAACTTTCAATTATTTTACTTCTTAGTAAAGGTAAAAGAAAAAGGCGACTTATGATTAGTTGTTGATGAATAGTTTAATTGTTTAAAAAAGAATTCCATTTGATTTTTGGTAATATCATAAAAAGAAATGTTTTCAGTGTTGTAATCGTACTATTGTACACTAGCTGGTGCCACTATTCGTTCTTAAAACGAGCCAAAGTGGAATTTGTAAAAGAAGTAAGATGAAGCAGAGAGAGGCATGCAAAGCAGTAGGATGAATTGAGCCTAAGTCCAGTCCGAGATTATTTTTCACCATTTAATGATGGCAATGATGCAGAACTGACTTTCTGGTTCTGTTTGTATGTATAAGCGCTCCATAACGTTGTTAAATATATAAACCTAAATAGTGCCCCTTTAGCAGTGCTCCCTAAAGGAGCTGTGAAAATGTTGCAGTAGAAAAGTGGAGGACATTAAGCCAAAAAATAAAACATGATAAAAGAAGACAAGCTAGCAAAAATGTACTGTAGATTAGGAAGGCTTTTGTAAGTTAATGCACTTCATAGAGATAAATTTTAACATTTCTCTGAGAGTGATCAGAGCAACCTGTTTAAAAACAGCACACAGTGACTCCCACCAGATTGTTGTATTACACCAAAACAGAGAACTTTAAGACAGTTATCGCCCATTTTACTGAAACAAAGTAGCAAATACTTTGACAGTATGTCAGAGCAATATACTCTGTTTTTAATTACAGTCATACATCTCTGTATATTGGAAATCATAAGTGTTTCACGATATCCAGTTTTTTCGACTACCTCTAAAAACAGCACCTGCTTTGAGGGTCTATATTTGATTTTCCGGCTTGGACACATCTCATCAATAAACAGGCCGGAGATCTTGCTCATTTTGTGGGGACCGGTTTTGCTTTGCTTGAAGTTTTCTCTGTAACACCAAACCAAAGCGCTGCAATAAAATATTTATCAAAAGACTAACCAACTGATACAGACCAAAGTAACTGAACTAAAGGTGTGAAAACACCCTTAAACGAGTTTTTCGTTTGGTAACGCTACAGGACAATGACCCAAATAAAGTCCAAACTCAAATCTGACACCTTTTTTGTGTTTTGTACTTCTCCAGGTTATTTATTTAAACTAAACGAAATTATGAAACAGGTGTGAAAAACAAAAAAACAAAGGACATCTTCAGAAAAAGGGAATCCTATTGGTATAATCAGAATCAGAAATACTTTATTAATCCCAGAGGAAAATTACTTTTGTTAAACGCTCCAGTTACAGTTTTATATAATATATATGCACACATCCAACTATACAATATAATAAAGATAAAAAAAATAAGAATAAAAAGAGATAAAATATATACACATATAGCTCTTCTGTATATATATATATATATCTGTACGTATATCTATGCATATGTAAAAACTAAATCCAAATAAAGTGAAAATCCAAATAAAGTGAAAATCCAAGTAAAGTGATTAATCCAAGTAAAGTGATAAATCCAAGTAAAGTGATACGTGGCGTGCAAAAATAGTGCATAAATTGCGTAAATAACATAAATACTGTTATTTACAAAAACTGCAACTAAATAAACCTATAATAACATTTTGAGATGAATTTCTCTCTCCTCAGGTTAGAGATCCGAGCCAAGAGCCATGCGGTCGCCTTACTTTCCTTAAAGAGTGCAGGTCAACAAAAGGCCTTCCACAGACTGCCGTGTGCAACCTGAATATTACGCTTCCCGCAGTCAAAAAGGTAAGACAGCGTGAACTCTCCATTCTGTCTTCACATCCATAACCATACTCATGGTTAGGGTGTTTTTTGCCCCCCCCCCCACCACCCTCCGGTGCAGATAGATGAAAGACAGAGGTAGAATTTTGGCAAATCTGCTGCCACTGTGTCTTTTATCTGTTTAAAGCTTCTCTCTCTGTTTTAGTCACTGGTTATCTCTGCAGTGGATTCGTGTCATTTGCTGTTTTGTTTTGGTTCAACCTGCCTTATGATTTGAATGCTTTTAGCTGAGGGCTTGTGTGCTTAATATTTTTTTCATCATCTTTTATTTTCGGGCTGTTTTGGGCTTGATTCATTTGCCGTTATTGCTTCTGGGTGATGGCGCTTTATATATATATATATATTTCTTTTTTCTGTGTGCTGTTTTTTCTTCTTTTTTTTTGGTTTCACTGAAGTGGCTTCACTTCAGTGTTTAAGCTTCTGTCAATCACTCCTTTTTCACTCCCTGATGTTTCTTTTCCCCCCTGCTTTCCATTATGTTATTCCCCCCGTTTCTGCAATGCATCCTGGGAACCAGGATTCGGAGTCAGATGCCGAGGACGAGGTAAACCACACGTTCCCCACCATCTGCTGTCCTCTGCGCCAAATCTGTAGTGGCCTCGCTCTGCTCTTTAACCTCATTTTTTTCTTTTACCATATCTTGCAAGGGGCGTTACCAGCTTTCCTCGTTCACGTCCGCCTCTAGCTGAATAGTGTTGCATGAAATATAGTAGCTTTGTAAAAATCACAGCTTATTTCTAGTCGTTGTCCCTTGCACACTTAAGTATAAGATAAAAAGGATCTATTAACTTCCAAAATTAGACTTTTCACCTATCCTATTGTAATAGAACTCACTAGTTGTAATATTCACACCCGTTGTAGCCACGAGCATAATTATAGATTGGTTGTTAGATAAATATAAACTAAGTCAGACTGAAAGGTTTGGTTTAAATTATTCATTTCAAAAGTGCTCATTTTGTAGCACTTTGCAATTCAGGGTGACCTAAAACTAATAGGAGTTTTGTGTTGTTTGCTATTGTTGCAGACTGAAAAGCCAGATCGACGTCATACCTTTGCATCCCTAGCCTTACGTAAGCGCTACAGCTATCTGACCGAGCCTGCACAGAGTGAGTTTGACTTGTCACTAACAAACCCCTTTGAAGACTTTAAAAATATGCTAATTTTATTACATCAATAAGTGTGCAGAGGTTTAATTAACTTTTAAAGTGATTAATCTTGTGTAGAAATGACTTTGCTATTGTAACAAACACATACCTCTCATCCTGCATATGACACGTACTGTCCTTGTGCTTGTTCACGACATGGTACATATTTTTGCATGAGTGTTTTTTGAGTTTTGTGTGCTGTGCTTTCCCACATTGTGAAGTGTACACCCTTCTAGTTTCCTCTGATGAACTGGAAATTTTACTTTAACTTACCAACAAAGATTTATTCTTTTGGATGGAAGTCAAAGTAAAATTCAGTTTTTTGCATTTATGGTGGTTTGAATCTAAAAGCTCGTTTTGGCTTTGTGGCATTATTGCAGCTTGGTTTGGATCAGGATTGCATGCAGGAAGTTCTCGAGTTCCTTTTCTGTTTTACCAGTTATTGCTTGTCACAGGTGTGATGCTGCATGACAAAATGGGCTGAAAATGGAGTCCTGGGCAGCACATTTTGTCATATTTTGTTGCTTTTAGTTTTGAAAGGTGAAGGGAAACTGGAAGTTCTGCAGCTCTTTGTTTTATTTTGTCGTATTGTCCAATTTCCCAAAATTAAATTTGAAAAAGACTTTACATTTTGGGCAAAACAGATAAAAGGCACTGTGAAAATAGATTATTTGAAGTCCGAAGAGACATGTTGTTTTTTGTTTATCTTGGTGCATATTTTTTGCTATTATTTTGTCCCTCAGCTGTCAATCTAATTCATCGTCTTCGTAATTTACTTTGCTGCTTTGTGTGCTTTGTTGAGTTCATTCCCTCAGTTCTTGCTGCTGCTGTTTGAGTCAGGTTCTGGTCATTTTGCCCTATAGGCAGGCATAGCTTTGTATTTTTGATCATTCTGTTGGCAAGTATTTCATACTTTAAATTGAAGGGTTTAACTCTACAATGTTGTGACAACAATTTAAACCTTTTAAAAAAGACATTTCTATCTTTTTATTTTGAGGGGGGAAAAAATGTCCATACAATGAGCTGTAAGTAGAATATAAAAAAAATCTTTACAGGTATAGGTTTAGACACGAAATACAATATGAATAAATGAAGATGTTACGCACCTAGGTTCTGGGAAGGTCACATAAAAATGTGTCCGGAGAAAATAAGTGAATGTAAAATTATTTATGATAAAAGATGGTTTCACCGACCATAAACACAATGCAACTTAACCCAATTAAAACATAAGAAAAGGGGCAACAAATTCAAGAAGGGTTAAGTGCAAATTAAGTTACAAAATGTCCAAACAAGTCAGTATTAGTTAAACTCAAAACAACTCAAGGGAAAAGACAAAGGGAGCATCAAACCTCCCAAACACAAGCTTCCATTTTGTACAAAGTCCACCTAAAGCACATTCAAACAATATACAGAACAAGCGAGAGCAAAGAGTTCAAACTGCCCAAAACAGTTTTAAACACCAAAGGTGGGGGAACAGCTTAACTAAGGCCCCGTCCACACGAAGCCGAACCCTGGCCTAAACACACAAATTTTTCACCAAACCAGCCTCTCATCCATACGAAACCGGCGTTTCGGGGGTCTGTAAACGATCTTCTTTTTATTAAGCCTTCAGAGTGGGAAGATTTTGAAACGCCGTTTTCGCGTTTCCATCTTTAAGCTCTAACCGCATTTTTTTTCTTACACGCATGCGTCATAGCGTCGCCTCTAAACAGGCATGCGCGACACAGTATCACAACAACAATGGCGCCGTACTGTGTTGAATGGTTGCTGCTCATGCTACTCACCCTGCTGTCGGGCTTACAACAGAATCTTCTTCTGGAATATCTCCAGAAAGAACAGAGCAATATCAACGACATAGTTCAGCACCTGAATTTGACTGAACCACGAAAATGGACCCGCAGGGCAACCATGTATAAATATTAGTGCGCATGCCCAACATTTCGTCGCCTATTTTTGCTTTGGCACCACAGCGCCACTTACAGGCCTGGCATACATTTTGCAGCGTTTTCATGCATTCGTGTGGACGATCACATTTATTTTATGTCTCCGTCTTTACGACAAACATTCTGGAAAATATTAGCGTTTCATGTTCGTTTTGACTTCGTGTGGACGGGGCCTAAACCTCCTTCTACTAGCAGTCCCCCAATTGAGAGCTTTTAGGAGCCTTTTATATGGTGGGGGGGCCTCATCGACATCTGATTGCCTTGGCAATCCTCTGCTGGTCGAATGAGCTCACTGCTCCTCTGCAGCCTTCAGGCAGCCAGCAAGGAAGGTGTTTTATCAAAGCTGAACCTGCATAACAAAACAAGCCTGCACAGTCTTAAAAGGCCAGGGGCCGTAACAGAAGGTCATGTAGAGTTATGCTGAGGGATGCTCGGATATAAAGATTTCAGCTTGTGCATCCCTATAGTTTGGCATGGGTCATAATTCATGAGTCAACCAACCCAAACTATGATATGAACAAATAAAAATAATAGAGAAAAGTATGAAGATTGTTACCCCTTACAGATTTCTCCTTTTTCAGTTACTGTTCTTAAATGAATCATTTAAATCATCAAACAAACTTAACACCAAACATGAGTGACAGAAGATAATACAGAACGTAAAATATTATTTTATCTACATCCTGACCCAAGAAAATGTAATTACTGGCATCTTAGAAGACAATGTATTCTTGCCCCATCCAGTGGCTCGACTGCCTTCTGCACAAATTCATTGCATCAGGTCTGAAACAACCAATTGGAGAAGTGTAAGGGGTATGTGTAATCCTTCTTACACCCCTTCCCATCAGCACTCATACTGTTGTTGAAAGGGTTGGGTTATGCTTGATGCATGTACAATGCGTGTGGAAAATTAGCCAGCTGTCACATTGTTTGCAGCTTTTCTCCTATTCTGGCCTGCTCCGGGGGGGCATGTGCAGCGCAAACCCTAAGCTTATACGACCACATTACACAGGGAAGCGTTTGCAACTTTTTCTAAGCCCCTTCATTCCATCCAAGAGCGACGGTCATTGTTTTGCAAAAATGTTTTACAACCTTTTGTTTATGAGCTAAATCAAAAGATGTCTCTAGATGTTTGCGTATATTTGCAAAGCCTCACTGGTAAGAGCTGTTACTCGCTCATCATGTTTTTCACATAGATCTGTCTGCATCGTTGCAAAGTTTTCGAGGTGCACGGTGTGTAAATTCTGTCCACATGAGAGGGGCGTGAAAGCTAGAAATGATGTAAATTAGCCTCATAGATGCGTCAAGCATAAATCAAGCTTAAAAAGTGCTTGTTCAAATTTTTTGGCTAACTTCATGATTTTCTCAGAAATCCCTACTGCAGCTTTGAAGTCCGAATGGACAGGGATTTACTGCACATTTTAGACAATTTAGGTTAATCAGACACCAGTTAAATCTCTATCATCATGATGTAGGCTAAGCAATTCTCAATCAGTTCTCAGTTAAACTGCTTTAATATGTATTCAGGTTATTTTTGTATTATTATGCAACATATCAGATTCTAGGAAAGCAAAAGTAGATAAAATCTGTAAGGGAAACTATTTGACAACATCCTATGAATTTATCTGAGAAATTTAGGTCTATCATTAAACTTACTAACTCCTTTTAAAATTAGACTAATAGTCTATTATGTATGTTTATAGAATAAGAATAAAAGTCAAGTAAAACTAAACAAAATGTCAATAGCTTGGTCAAAAAATGGCAATGCAAGTTAGCAATGGGGCAAAATGACCTGGAGCTGGTTGAGTCATTACATACATACTTTTTTTTTACCACACAGAACACAATTTCATTTTTTGCCGCTCCATTTTTTTTTTTTTTGTTCTTACTCAAATGTCTTACTCAGCAGTTAAAATGTAGTGTTTCCCTCCTTAATGATGTGACTGCCTAACTGACCAACTCTTCCTCCTCTGGTGTTGTCTTTTTTCCTCTTTATTTTTTTCCCCAAACATATTTTTTTCCCCCTGTTATCTCTACTCTTTTGCATTCTGTTGTTATTTTCTACATCATCCGTTTGTCACCATTTTTCTCTAAATTCACCGAAGAAACAGCAGTCGAACGAAGTGCAGCAACAAGAACACTGCCTTCTGGTCACCCTCACAAACCTGTCTTTCCAACCAGACCTTACCCACCATGGTCGACTGCTCCTATTACCGTCCCTGGCCAAACAAGGCTCACAGGAGTGGGGGGTCTCCTCACCTCTGCCGATTCACCGGCAGGCTCACCAGCTTGTGCTCCATTAAAATCTGCCTGGCAACTTTCAGCACCTTCACCTGCATGTACTACAAAAGCAACCTTGGGAGCTTCACCACCACCACCTGCCTCTTCATCCCCAGTTAAATCAATCGGCGACTTACCATCCTCTCCCATCAGGTCTTACAGGACTGTGCCTTCACCCATTAAAACCGTTGTCCAGCAGGGTCCATACCCTGCTCATGGATCTGCCATCCTTGCGACATCTGGAAGTAAACCTGCCACTGATCCAGCTTCAATTAAAAATCTTGCCTCAGCATACACATCGAGGATCCCTCTCAATCATTCAATACCAAATGGTTCTTTATCTGAGAGTTCTTCAGCCATTACTGGTTCTGTCACATCCCCCAAATCTCTATATAACTTCTACAGTTCTAATCTGCCTTTTAAAACTGCCCTTGTGAACACTGCTGCTACAGAAGCCACCACCTTTTCTGCTGTAAAAAGCAACTCTAGTCTCTCATCTCTAAAAACTTCTGTTGAAGCCACACTCACCTCCAGAGGAGGAAGGACATCGATTTCCCCTCTTTCGTCAACTGGTCAAACAACCATTCCTTCCTCGGAGTTTTCTATGATGAATGGATCAGTGTCACCTGTTAAATACCCATCTTCCTCCTCCACCCCTTCTTCCCCTTCGTCACGTCTTCTCTCAGAGAGAAGCAGCAGTCTTCAGGAAAGGATCCAAGCCACGACCCATGCAGCAACTTCCAGTGTCAGTGCAGCCATCAATGAAGCTTTAGACTCTTACTCAGTCTCAGGTTATGGGACACTTAGGTCTCTGTCGTCTTCACGCAGATCTGCAACAGTAACCTCTGCTTATGGTTCTCTGAGATCAGGAACTGCTGTCTCAAGTCCAGCAGTCTCTTCTAATACAATGACTGTCCCTGTTTATTCACTTATCAATGTCATCCCTGACAGCCCTGTTAAACCAGGGCCAGGGTCTCTCAAAATGGCCCTGCCCGATTCTCCTCTTACCTCATCCTCATCCCCTTCATCATTCCCTTCATGCGTTACTGGAACAAAATTGAAATCTCAGTTAAAATCTCCTCCATTTATAACACCACCAGTAATCCATCCAACCGCAGCCTCAAATCAGGAGATACTGAAAGACGTAGCAGAAATGAAACAGGATCTTATCAGAATGACAGCTATTCTCCAGACAGATACACAAATGGCTGCTAAAACTGTACAGACATCAAACACTGGAACTCCTAAAGAGTCTAAGTTAGAAGACCAGGAGCCACATACATTAGTTGAGAAGGTAAAAAAAGATTTATTCAAAGTCAGTGAGATACTACAAAAAGATATCATGGCTGAAGGTAAGACCATTGCAGGTAAGGAGACAAGTTCAGAGGATGAGTGGGAAGAATTTACTAGAGATGAGATTGAAGAGGCTCAAAGAAATGCCCTTCAAGACTACTACCCTCAGTATGGTGAAAACAATCTTTTTAAGCAACAGTTGATGTCTAACAAAGAATTAGAGTTAACTAAAGTAGTAGATTATTTAACAAATGATATTGGTGCAACTTCTCTGTCAAAAATGGCAGAGCTGAAAAGTAAGTATGAGGATGAAGTGAAAAAGGAAGGTGAGGAAAAACAAAAACGAGTCCTCAAACCATCAATGACAATACAGGAGAACAAACTTAAAATGCCTCCGCCTGTTTCAGGCATGATCAGGTCTCCTTCAGAGAAAGACTTAAGCAAGCTTGCTGAGTCATACCAAGGGTCAGACACAATCTTGGAATCCCCTGAGGAGCTTTCTCACGAGCAGGATAAGAGTCCCCTGTCAGACAGTGGGTTTGAGACGAGAAGTGAAAAGACTCCTTCCGCTCCTCAAAGTGCAGAAAGTACAGGACCTAAACCTTTATTTACAGATTCCCCAATCCCCCCTTGTGTAACTGAGACCAGAACGGAGGTTGTCCACATTAGGAGCTTTGATCAGCCAGATGATCTTTCCGAGCCTGCATTTATAGAGGAGACTGCATGTGCTTTACCTCCTTTAGAGTCGGAAAGCCAATCAACAACAGCTTTACAAATGAAAATGCCAGAAGATGATGCCTTGATGAACAAAAGCATGTGTCTCAAAGAGGAAACTCACATCACGACCACAACTCGTATGGTATATCACAAGCCTCAGTTAACTGATGGCAAAGAGATGTTAGAAGAAGCCATGTCTGTCAGAGATATCATGAAAGCTTTTCAATCAGGTCGTGACCCATCAAAAGAACTGGCAGGCCTCTTTGAGCACCAATCTAATCAAGACATGGTTAAAGGTGATGAGCTGACTCCCAGGTTTCTAGATCGGGACATTAAATCCAAACCCAAAGTTGAAAGGATAATTGAGGTCCATATTGAAAAGGGCCACAGCACAGCAGATCCAACCGAGGTTATTTTCCGAGAAACAAAGAAACACCCTGAGCTATACGTTTACAAAAGTGATCGTGGGATCAGGGAGCTTACTGATTATGATGAGCCCCAGCAGGAAGAAGAAGATTTTACTGCTGAAGAATCTCTGCCCTCTTTCCTGGAAACTTCTCGTGTTAACACTCCAGTATCACAAGAAGAGGACAGTCGCCCTAGTTCTGCCCAACTTATAGGAGATGACTCTTATAAAGCTCTAAAACTCTTAAGCCAGCACTCCATAGAATATTGTGATGATGAACTGTCTGAGGTCCGAGGAGAGTCATATAAGTTTGCTGAGAAAATGCTTCTCTCAGAAAAGATTGAAACATCAATGCAGTCTTATTCAGATGTAGAAGATTCTTCAACAGTAGCTGATAAAAACCATCACATTGTTTCTGAGGAAAATGGTCGATCTGAGGGTACAAACCAAGGGCAAGGAAGCCCCAAAAGGGAGTTTGTTTCGTCTTCAAAAGATGGGTCCCCTAAATCAGGTAAATTCCTGCAAAAGGATGAACCATCTCAGTTTGACAAGGTGACAGTGCTCCATTACTCAACAGAACCGGGCAGTCCAAAACATGCTGTATGGATGAGATTTACTGAGGACAAGCATGATAGAAGCAGGGACAAACTACTGTATGAGGATCGTGTAGATCAGACAGTGAAGGAAGCTGAGGAAAAGCTCAGTGAGGTATCTCAATTTTTCCGTGATAAAACAGAGAAGCTTAATGATGAGCTTCAGTCTCCTGAGAAAAAGCCAGTGAGACGACTGAAGGAGCCTAGATCCTGGCCTACTTCAGCCTGCAGCAGTCCAGAAAAAACACAACAGAAACCTAAAGCAGGAGATGAGGTGTTCAGTAAAACGAAACTTAAGGAAGCTTCAGTTGGTAAATTTTTTGGTAGCTGCACAGAAGTTGAAAGTAAAAGCTCTAGCGTGCCAAACAGTCCGCAGAAAAGTGTATTCTTCAGTACAAGTGATGATAAAGTCAAACAAGAACCAAAGACCACTGTATCAGAACCACCTTCCCCTTCCCATGTAACCTCAACATCTAAGGTTAGTGCAGTGAGGATGAAGTTTGAATCTGCAGCTCAGAAGGCCAGTCAAAGTCAGTCTAGTCCTACTAAAGTTCCTCCACCAGTCCAACCAAAACCATCAGTAAAGAAACTACAGGAAAGCAAACTTCCCATTTATCAGGTTTGTAATGCAGGAAAAGCATCAAAAGCACCCGAGACCTCAGAAGAACATATACAAAAAAAGTCTAGGAACAAAGAAGATTGCAAGCCTGGCCTGATACACACATCTAAAATTCCTACAACAGACAAACTCCCAAACAAAAATGTAATTGAACCCTCCCACAACATTAGTGAAACTAAGACTGATAAAGCTCCACTTAGAGGTCAAGATAGTCAATTTAGGGAAACCCAGGACATTAAAGAAAGTAATAAGAGACATGCTGTTAGGACCCCCAATGTTTGTGACAATGACGGTAAAAAATATCAGCAATCCCAAAAAAATTTGTCATTTAACCAAGATGCAAAATCTGAACTGCCAAAGAAGGATGAAGAGGAACCACTAAACAAAAACCTTAGAAAAAAGACAGAATCTCAGATACCTGTAAGAACAACAGCCCCCTGTTTAGATAACAGTCTCACAAAGAAACAGATAACAACAAAGCCCTCACAGATTCCTACACTATCTAAACCTAAAAGTCCAGATGTAGGCCTAGCAAAAACAGAGCTTACATTTGAAATCCTTGATAATTTACCAAAAGATTCAAACTCCAATAACCTACCTAGCCCCGGAGAAATACTGGAAAATGTAATAACCCCTCCAGTTACTGTAACAACCAAAGAAAACTTTAAAGGCATTAAAACATTGCCTGTTTATGTCCAGGTTGGCAGACAGGCAGAGAGGGAGGCTAAGGGAGCACTGCACACAGTCAAACAGAAGTCAAACTCTGCAATTAGTCCCATAAGCCCAGAGGATGACACTTTAGAACAAGTTTCTTTCATAGACAGTTCAGGTAAAAGCCCTCTTACACCAGAAACCCCCAGTTCTGAAGAAGTCAGCTATGATCTCACGTGCAAAACACCTGATGGCTTTTTAGAATTCATTTCGGGCAAGCCAAGCCCCATCATGGAGGTGTCTGAGGACTCGGAGGAAGATGGTCAAGGAAATACAGTTTTCTCTTTAAAAGAGGCAACAATTGAAAGTAAAACCAATGTCCATGATGCACAAGCAGACCTTGTTAATGCTAATAAAGAAGAAAATAAAATTAATGACAATCAACAGGCGTTGCCTGATAATTTTAAGATAGAAGAAACAATCATCAACACTGTTGGTGAAACAAAAGGCAAGGAGCAAGAAGAAATGTCAAAAGACAAGGGCATTGCATATATTGAGTTTCCTCCCCCTCCCCCTCTGGATTCAGCTTCAGAAATTTCAGACACAGAGAGAAAGGACTCATGTGCTTCTTCAGAGACAGAAACCGAAATGATGGAAGTGAATTTACAGGAGGAACATGACAAGCATCTAACTGAACCTGTCATACGTATACAACCCCCTACGCCTGTGCCCCTTAGTACAGATGACAGTCAATCTAATGCTGAAGACGAAAATGATGAGTCAATCTTCCAACCAATTCCTTGTAAGAAATTGGCCTCAAATGTTCCTGAGGAGGAAAATAAAAAGGAGAAAGAAAAAGCACCTAAACCCAAAAGACATGACAAAAATGGCAACAAAGAACCTGGTGGGTCCGACGGCTCCACCAATGGTTCCAAAGTTTCCAATGGTAAAGTTGAGGAAAATGACTGTGAACAAAATGGAAATGATCAGTCAATAACAGACTGTTCTATAGCCACAACAGCTGAGTTTTCTCATGACACAGATGCCACAGAGATAGACTCTCTTGATGGCTATGAGCTTCAAGATGAAGATGATGGCCTGTGCGAGCAGGCTGACTTACGGCTTCTTGGACTTTCAGACACCCGGAGAGATGTCTGGACAACAGACACATTTAGGTCTTCTGATCGGTCTTTTCCCCCGACCAAACTTGAAGTTATTGAGGAGGAAAAGACACCAGAGGAATTACAGAAGGACACTTTGAAAAAAGAAACATCTACATGTAATGGAAAATTTGAAAGTGTAAATAAAGATGAAGCAAAGACCCAGGAACAAAGACCCTCAGAAAAAGAGGGATTTTCAGACTCTTATTTTAGTTACAAAATAGAAGAGGAGTTCAATTCTCCTTTTAAGACTGTTGCCACTAAAGGGCTTGACTTTGATCCATGGTCAAGTAAAGGTGGTGAAGGAGAAATCGTTGATATGGGTGGGTCACGTGACAACAATGGGGAGCCAAAGCCTTATGGACTAGCAGTTGAAGACCAGTCTCAGGCTACAACAGCAGAAACTACCCCTGCCCAAACTCCAACGGATGATAGCACCCCAACGAGTGAACCAAATCCTTTCCCCTTCCATGAAGGGAAGATGTTTGAGATGACGCGCAGTGGTGCAATTGACATGAGCAAGAGGGACATGGTGGAGGAAAGGCTCCAGTTTTTTCAGATTGGTGAGCATTACTACTCAGCGGGAAGGTACAGGGTCAGGGACTTAGAGAAGGATGCCTCCGCACAACAAATGAATGAGTTTAATTCTCATTATACCTTATCAGTCCCTCAAGTCTCCATTCAGACTACCACTGTAGAGATACCCAATGTGTCTGGTTACAGCACATGCAAAGAGCCAGCTTCCAACATGGAGCCTAAATTCTCCACTTTTAGAGCAGGTTTAACGCTAACATCCCCTAACAAGTCAAATAGCACTACTAATACAAGCACCTTTAATAACAGTAGTGATGAAGTCTCAGGGAATACTGTAGATAGGTTTTATAGTATTATACCAGACTATGCAGATTACTGTCATTTTGATACAATGAACATAGCAGATAACTCTTTGAAGGAACAGTCATATGCTATGGGATACTACTCTAAAAACAATACTTGTTCAGGTATGCCAAAACCAACCTCAGAGATTGAAAATACTTATCACCAAAGCCAATATTGTCCTTCAGCACCTTCACAACAGACAAATAATCTGCAAAAAATGAGCAATAATACTAGTAGCACTCCATCTAACGCCAGTTTAGGCATTGCTCAAGTTGGCGGTATTGTATGTAGCATGTTGTCTGCTTCAAGACCAACTCAGCGGGAGGTTAGTAGGACAGATGCTTCTTCAAGTCAGCTGGAGCAACACTATGCAAAAGGAAAGGTTGTTTCTAATATAGCAATATCAAAAATGGCCAAAGGAGTCAAAGGCGGTATAATCAGATCCAAGTTGCCCTTGAGGGTAGTTGGCCACAATCTATGCAGTCAAAGGAATCAAGTATCAATGGGTATTTTAAAAGAACATGTTTATGGATTCTCTTTTAGGACACATGAGATTAAACATGAAGTCAGGGAAAGACTGGACCCTTTTAAATCTTTATTTCCAAAATCCCGAATCCCTATATTGAAAGCCATTAAAAACCCTTCTTGTTTCCAAGAGCAGATGCTGGCCAAAAACAGTCCTACAGTTAGAGGAAATTATAGGGAAAATGTTAAAAAGGGAAGAACTCAACCCCAATACAAAAGTGATAATAGTTCAATAGTCTTAAGGAACTCTTCAACAAAGGCTGTTAAAAGCAAGGCAGCCAACCATTTAAAAAAAACTAAACTCAAGGAGGCTGAAACTAAGTTAGTGGGAAAAACTCTTCCCTCCAATGAGGAGGGCTGCTTCCACAGTACTGCCAGGAACAAATCCCTGTCAAAACCGTCTAGAGCTTCTAGGAGTTCCCGTCCTTCCTGCACTTCTACCTCCACCCCCACTTCCACCACCACATCACCACCACCCACTAGAGATCTCAGTCAGAGGCTGAGGACGAGCAAGCTGAAGATTAGGTGGACACATGGAGAGAAGAAGCGTGAGCAGATGGAGGAAGGGAGTCAGGTTGATCAACCAAACAGGACTCCTGTGATGGAGAACGAGACTAGTTTGTAAACTCTTTCTCAACATTTTAAGCACTTTATCTTTCTCTATAAGATGCATGTAGCTATTGTTGGTGGTCTGTAATGTGGCGTACTGTAAGTGTAGCTGTCTTCTTCCTGTCCTTCCTGTTATCTGTGTCCTGTGCTGTTTGATGTAGCTCTGAGCTGAGGTGGCAAGGTGTAGTCTTCAAGGGCTAGAGTCTTACATGTTTTAGGTCTTTCCCTGATTGAACACATTTAAATCATATTTTTGTTTACTGCCATGCCTTTGCAGAACTTGATCACAAGCTGAGGAGATAATTAAAGTATCGGTATCCCTAGCAGTGGAGTTAATCTAAAACATGCAGGACACTAGCCCATGAGGAATGGAGTTGGTAATCCTTGTTGTAGAGGCAAAGAGATAAACTTCCTTCCTTTGGGGTTAGGTCAGGTTTGGGTGTATCAAAAATAACGAAAAATATGATCAATTATTTTAGGACCAGTGGTTTGCAGGGACATTGAAGTGGCAGATTGAGATAAATTCCCCTTTATACTGTGTGTCTTCACTCTTGTCAGTTTGATTGCACTTCCAGTGACTTTAGCCTTACATTTCACAAGGAGACACAGTTTTCACCTTCACTGTCAACATAACTTAGGGAACAATTTATCTTTCTTTTTTTTGTGAGAGGGAGGTTGGTTCATTTGGTTTAAATAGATCATTTTGTGGTATTTCTGCATTATCAAATCACTTTAAGAACAATATATTGTCAAATAAATGTTAGCTGGTAACTATTCCACAAAATCAAAGTGAGTTGGTTCCCTTTAGCTGTTTTTATCAGTGAGAGAAAAATCTACCAGGAGATATACAGTTTATTTTTAGTGTTGAGATAGAAACCTCTTAAGTACAAAAACTGTTATTACTTATATAAGCGGATAGACATTTAAGATGAAAGTGTGATACACTTTTCTGGCCTCACAAATCCTCAAGCTTTAAATACTACTGATCCATAGATGTTTGGCGCTGCTTTTATTTTATTTTTTTAAACAGCTGTCAGATTTTTACCTGCAATATCAGTTTGTATTTCAATCAAATATGTAGTTTTGCATAATTATTGAGTATAATGATGGAAGTTTTTTTTTTTTTTTTTTTTTCTAAAATAATAAAATCTGGAATTTATCAGATCACTTTTGTAATAAACCCTCTTTACTTTGATACCCATGCAGCATAACCAACTACTTATATTTTTAGTTATCTGAACCTGAATCTAATTAAGAATCTGTGGCAAGGCCATTTAAAAGACGAACATAGTTTCTCTCTGTTAGATCTAAATTTAAGCTACTTATACAAAATATAATGTCTAATTGCTCAAGATCAATATAGCAACAATTCAAACAAAACTAATTCTGGAGCTAATAAAAATCCCATGGTTTTTTTAGGCACAAAGTTTTAACAAAAATCTTTTTTTTTTATTTTACCAAATGATTTTGCAGTATTTTATGGTTGTTTAATACACAAAAAAAATATATCAAATTGAAGTTTGGCTTACATGTAGCAAATTTGTAAAGAAGTTCAGGTGATAATATAATTTTTTGAGTAGAGATGGTTCATGTCTGCGTTAAAAAAACTTTTATTGTGAAGAATAAATTTTGTGTTTGTTTGTTAAGAAATCATACAAAGAAGGAAAGCTGGACTTTAGTTACAATGCAGTTTGCATTTCCTATTAATACTTTGTGCAGTTGGAAATCACTTACTTCACTGCTTTGCTGTTTCACAAAGTTGGAGTAAATCACCTTATATTGAACTGATTTTCTATTAAAATTTCCCAATATTTAAAAGCTGTAGTTACGCAATGCACTCTTAATGTTTCTAAATGGTTTCTGAGATAACAGGCCCACTACGTCTTAGATCCTGCTCACCACTAAGCTGCAGGTTTAAGATGCTTTTTCACACATTCTTCTGACAAAAGCACACAGTCCAAGTTAAAGTCTCATTAACATTTAGTAAATCAAACATGTTTACATGCTTTGGTGATGGTTAGACAGGAAAGTCTTCATCCAGGCCTTCCCCTCAAGAAAATGTTGCGTATTTTGTGTGCTTAAAGCTGAAACTTATGTCCTTGTTCAGCTTTGTTTGTCACAGTTACAGTCTCTTAAATATTTTCTAATAACTGCTTTAAATTTCTGGAATAGCAATTGTTTTGTAATGTCATAACATATTAAAATCCCCACAATAAGGTACCTTATTACAGTAGAAGATAAGAAAACAGGGCTGCTTTACAAGAAAGTCATGGATTACGGATTTACACTCACTGATCTACTTTTAAAAGTAAATTAGATATTTTTGAGCTTTACTTTGAATATTTTTCTATTTATTGCTGGCAGTTTTTTAATCAACTTGAAAGTTGGATATTTTTTTCCAACTAGGACATAAAGTTTGAGGAGGGTCTGGCCAGAAAAATTAAGATCTGGATCAATAAAGATAAAATATTTTATACCATCATGAAAAAAAAAGATCATGTTTATTATTGTTTATTTTAACTTTAGACATTAGCTTCCCAAATAACTGTCAGTGCCTTTGTAGTTGCATCATATTATTATGAGCCGACTCTAAGTTTACTGTCCCATTGGGTTTCTTTCTGTAGATGTTAGTGAGCTCTTTGAAAGACATTTTGTTTGTTTGTGAATCATATCTAACTCATTTGGATCTTACCATCTTTATGTGCTGCTAAGTGTTTGTTTTCTGCCTTTACTCACTCAGGCCCTCAAAGCCCATGTGAGAGAACAAACGTCCGTATGGCGATCGTAGCCGACCACCTCGGCCTCAGCTGGACCGGTGAGCTTCTAAATACCTTTCGGTTTTCTGCAGAATGCACCAAGGAAGTATGAAAATGAGACTGATGATTCAGCTGGCTTAAAATCAGGCTTCATTGTTTGAGTTTGATAGTGTTACACTGTTGCCATCCAGTGGAGAGTTAAAGCAATTTTATTGAGCAGCACCGCAGTGGAATTTATACTGGTTAGTCATAATATTATGATTCATATATTGAGTTTTTTTATTGTATCCTAATCACTGGAGTCAGAGTATTAACATAAAACACATAGCACTGCTTCAAACTGTGTATTATAGGAACTTACTGGTTCATTCAGCTTAGTCGATGGGTTTTAACTCAGACCTACTGCTGTTCTAATCCATTTTTTGCGGGATCACCCTCTGGCCTTCATAGGTGGGATATGCTGCATTAGAGTAGGCACTTTATTATTGTGAGGCTACGTGTGATTGATTTCCTGCAATCATTTTCAGGGTTTTAGTGCCTCAAGACATGCAAGTTAATGATTGTTGGCCCAATTACAGGCGCCTCCTATTAAATTAGAAAATCATCTAAAAGTTTATGTATTTCAGTGGTTGGGTTAGAAAGTAGAATTATCTGAGATTTATCTTAGAGTATACTATTTCAACTTTCTACTTTTGTTCATTTTGATTAGTTTATATCTTATAAAGCCAAAGGTTTGATGGAATGGGAAATAAACGTTCGTCTTCATAAAGGGCTTCAAACCGTCCTGCAGTCTTTTTCCCAACGGTTCTGGTTTTCTCTCTGGTTTAGGGGGATATTTTTGTGTATTTTTCCCCATCAGCAGTAATAGGGGTGTGGCCTCTGCATTTCAGTCGAAGCTTGGCATCCTGCACTGCAGTACAGATTCACGCTGGCCTGCATGTGCACAGATAGGTGTGACCCTGTCACTTTGTACAGATTTCAGTTGTAGAGCTTTTTCCATCTAGAGTAAAGAATCTATATTTAATGTGAGCTTCTGTTGTGCAGCTGTAGCTTACAGAGTTGTTCGGATTTTAAGCTTTCAGCATGCAGCATCTCCCCATTTCTCGTTAGCTTGAGTGGGTGTTCGGCATATTTCTACAGTTGCAGGTTATTTATTTAAAGTCCGATTGTTTAATTCTATTAAAAATGTATAGTGAATTGTGCCATAATCAGAAATCACGACATAGTTTCTGATATATGCAGCTTAGAGTTCAAATTAAAACCATTTTCTTGCTAAATAACATCCATCCACCCATGTGTGCAGCAGTACTTTATTTTTTTCAGACTATTTGGCATTAGGGCAACTATTAGCACTCATTTGATGATAATAATTATTATTATTACCTCTTGTCTATCCGTCTGCGTGTGTACAGGATAACTTGAAAAGTTATGAACAGATTTTGAAGACATTTTTACCAGAGGTGCGCCTCGTGTCAAGGAGCAATTCATTACAATGTCGTAATGATTCAGATCATGTGTGAGTTTTGGCTAAAGGTTGAAGTCACAATATGGGGGAAGATTTGCTGCTTGGCAGAGGTCTGCACTTCCAGAGTGCATTTTTAAATATATATTATTATTAATATTATAAGGATAAGCAGACATTTTATACATTATGTAGTCAAATAAATGTTGATTTTCTTTCTCTCTAATTACTGCAATAGATAATGTTTTGTGATGCTTTGTTCTTTTTGTTTTTACAGAGCTGGCCAGGGAGTTGAATTTCTCAGTGGAAGAAATCAACTTCATCAGAGTGGAAAACCCCAATTCTCTGACAGCACAGAGTTTTATGCTACTAAAGAAATGGGTACACAGGGATGGTAAAAATGCCACAAGTAAGCAGAAAGTGTGGGAAATTGAAAAGGCTTTGTACATCTGACTTAATTATTGCTCATTTATATGTTTGATGCGATATATGGCTGAACAATATGGACAAAATTAATATCACGGTATATTTCTTAATTTCAGTCGATAAGATTCCAATAGTGATATAAATAAAGTAAGCCTTGAAAAAAACGGTAAAAAAAAAGCTCAAAAAGCATACTACAGATTTCTTCTGAAAAATTATTTTCTATGAAACTCAAATTATGACATACTTGTAAAAATATATATATATAATTCGGAGAGCCAAGCCAAAAAAAAAGCGCAGTTAATTATGTAATTATTTCTCCCTCATCATATTAATCAGGCCATATTTCACAGCTTTAAACACCAAGATGAGCCCTTATTGATGCTATAGAGGTAATGCTCTAGTCGGACTAATGCTATTCTGTTTGTTAATATTATTAAATGGAAAATGGCTTGTACTTACATATAGGGGACAGGCGAAAAATCTGTTTGCCAATATATCATGATTTTCAGCTGCCCATTATTAAATCGATCTTTCAGTTCCTAATATCGATTTTTTTTTTTTAATCTAAAACAATGAAGGAAATGGGCTACCTCTGCACCCCACTCTGCTAGATAGCGCCATGTGTCATGTTAGGGTCTAGTCTTCTAACCCACATGCAGAAAACACTCAAGAGACTGTAAAAACAATTATGAGGTTTATTGACAATATTTTAAGATAAGGTGATGGTTGTCTTGGTTCGTCAGGCTGATCACGGGAGGGGGGGCAACTAGAAGAGGACAGAAACGGTTAGCTTGGATCCAGGTAACTTGCTGTTTGGTGACAGTTAAGGTTAAATACCTGCTCAGGGGTATTTGACCGGTCGGGGGGGGGAAACCTTGAGGGTCCAGAGGCTGGTCGGCAGGTTGAGGGCTGAGGTCTGAGGCGGAGGGCAGACAGGTAAGGCTCCAGGCAGCGAGAGTTTTGTCTTGAAGTTGGCTGATCTCCAGATATTTCAGGATCTGAGAGGCAGAAAAACACAGAGTCAGGTGGGTTCAAAATCAGGAAGCAGATCTGGGTTGAGCAGGCTCAAAGTTTGCCGGTACCATTACTGACAAAACTGGCAGAGAAGTGTCAGCCTCCTCCTCCTTAAAAAGCCTCCAAACGAGCAGATGGGGAGCAGGTGTGCAGAAGTCTGCTCATGCCCTCAGGAGGAAGATTTCAGGCTCCCTCTGGTGGAGAAAAGTTGAGAGACCTCTGGACCACAACACATGGAGCCCTTTTGCTGTGCAGTGCAGCACCATTTCTGTAGCAGTCACAGTGGAAGACGTGGGCTGACTCAAACAACATGGATACCAAAATAACTACACTGACGTCACCAGTCCCTCTGACCACCATCAGTAGGCAATGCAGGTGAAGTGCCTTGCCCAAGGACACAAGGACTCTGAAAGCCTAAATTGACCCAAATAAGTTTTTTTTTTTGCCTGTATGCGACCTGTATCTGATCTGAACCACATAGATCCGATTTTTTCCAGTGCCACTGAGGCCACTTGGCTCTGTGGACCTGAATCTAATACGAATCTGATCTTTTCAAATGCGGCCAGGTCGCATTCACCTGACCTGAACATCATTAATACTCATCAAAGGTCACTATTCAGCGTCCTGCTATGCAGATGTGGGAAGGAAAAAACGAACGATATGAAGAGACGAACTGTAATGCAGAGAGAAGTCTTTTTTTTTTTTTACCATCTTGAAAAGATTGAGTTTTTAAGGTCGGGAAAGATCGCTAGATGCGCTCCAGCACTACCATCCATGTTTGCTTCCATAAACACAGAGCACACTTGCTTGTGACGTCATTGCATCCTCTAATGCACATGCGGGACACTTGCGTTGTATGGATGCAGTTCACAAAGGAGATCACATACGAGTCGCTTAAATTCCAAAATGTGAATGGCAACGCAAAAAAAAAAAAACGGATTTGAGCATTAAGGCCTTAAGTCTGAACGTAGCCAAAGAATTAAAAACTGAACCCCGCCCTATTTTCTTTTACTTGGGTACAACAATTGCCGACAGCAAATACCTGGTTCTGCTGGAGGTTTCTTCCTGTTAAAAGGGAGTTTTTCCTCTCCACTCTCGCTAAAAGCATGCCTAGTGTGAGGAATTGCATTCGAGTCAATTAGTCGATGCAATCAACTGGTTTTTCTTAGATAAAAAACTTGAATCAATTTGACTGTATGATCTGGTGAACTGTAAATTTGTTGGGAATTGGCACTGTATAAATAAACTGAATTGACAACACGAATAAGCACTCAACCACAAATCAAACCTTTATTGAAGCCATAATCAGCTCAGTTAGAACTAAATAAAATCAAAATCTGTAGCGAAATCTCGAAGTGTTGGAGAGTTTAGCCTGCCGCTGAGCTCAGCTTACAGCTGCAGCCACTGACCTGCAGTTGTTGTACGCCATCACACATGTTGTCAGACTGTAGCGTCTCTTTCTGTGTGACTCTAATCCGCTGCGTCCTAAATGTCAGAAAGTGACAAACACCGTAACCCTGTCGTAACTATATCGAAGTACAGTAACTGTGTTTGAAAGTCAAATCACTATTAATGAATAAAACTATATCACAAGATATGTTTGCATTAAATGATTGTCCAGTCCTAGTTCCACTTGGGCCAGCTGGCTTTCCTACCATCTCCTGTCTCTGAGCTGTTTACAGATGTTTATGTGGCTGCATTAACTATTAGTGTCCAAAGAAGTCATTTCAACAGCTCCGTTATCTGTTTTTATTGTGTTAAAAGTCGAATCACGCATGTGTTGAGCGTTGCTGCTTTGTCAAGTTTTGTCTTTTAAGATTTTATTATATTTTCTCATTTTCTTCTCTCCTAAGTTGGGTAAGTAACAATTTCCTCAGTCACAAGAAGTTCTGTCCTGTGACTGAAATAGTCAAATCTATTTTGCTAATGAGGTCAAACCAAATAATTCACCAAAAAAAAACAACTGCTGTTTGTTGATCAAAACATGACTCAAAAATACTCTTATGTCCCTCTCCCTGTCTGTTTTTTCCTCTCTTCTCTCCAGCGGATACTTTAACTGCGGTGCTGACTAAGATCAATCGGTTGGATATTGTGACTTTACTGGAAGGGCCCATATTTGACTACGGTAACATAACAGGCACACGCTGCTTTGCCGATGATAACGCAGTATTCCCGGATCAGTCCGATGGTAAAGTGTAGCCCACCCTAGCTGAACTATCCTCTCAGTCTATCCCTTCATTTTTCACTTCCTCTTTCAGCCAGATAGTTAGAGCTGACTGTGCACACAAACACTGAAGCAGTCAGGTAGGACCGAACACTTAGAGAGCTACAAAAACCACCTAAAGGCTCTAGTTACTTGATTAAGCCTAATTCTATAGCTTCACTGGAGTTATCATGTAGGCTTTTAGAAAAGGGAAAACATAATAAGGGTTCTGAATGCTTCAAAATCTGCATCACTGATGGTGCACGATTCTTTTGTGTGTGTTTGTTTATGGAAAATGCACAAACGCATGATGAGAGAAGTGATCGCTGTCTGTCTCATCTGATTAATTTGATTATTTAGAAAAACAAATGGATGAGGTTTCTTTGTCAGATGAGGCAAGACAGCAGTTTGGACATTTTTGTAATAATAATAATATTGTTTGGGTCAGTATTTGATACTTTAATAGAAAATATCTTCCTTTAAGCCAAAGGGGAGCAACAGGTTCCTCAGAACAGCATGTTTGCGTTAATACAGTACGGAAAGTCTGTTTTTATCCTCTCTACCTCTTTCCTTTTCTCTTTCCTGCTAATGAATGAAACGTAGCAGTGATTTCTTGTTATGCTGGACCCACTGAGGATCATTATAATTATTTTTTTTTTACTTTCCGTTACTCTGAGTTGTATGCATGGAAACACATTTATTTGCTTTTAACTCACTTTAATTTTGCACCCTAATATATTTTAATCAAAACGATGCCAGTAATCTGATATCCAATCTGCCATATAGATGTTCCTAAACACATCTTAATTCAAAGATCCTTGTGATTTTGAAACAATGAGATCTTTGTATAGTTTTAAGGGTTAAGGCAGTTTCTCAGTGATTAAGGACAATTAACTGCATCCATGACTTGTGCTCAAGGCTGCCTGCTTTTCTTAATCACATAAGAATACTCTTTTAACAATTTCTAAACTGGTAAATACGGAAGAGGATTAGGGCCAGTGGAAAAAATAAAGTTAACTGATTTTTAAAGTTTATTTCAGTTTAGTATGGGAAAAAAGTCAGAATTCTGAGATTAAAGTCAGAATTCTGAGAAAAAAGTCAGAATTCTGACTTTCATCTCAGAATTCTGACTGAATTCTGACAATAAAAAAGTCAGAATTCTGAGATGAAAGTCAGAATTCTGAGAAAAAAGTCAGAATTCTGAGATTAAAGTCAGAATTCTGAGAAAAAAGCTGAATTCTGACTTTTTTCCAATACTAAATTGAAATAAAAATTTTAAATCAATAAACTTTTTTTTTCCAGTGGCCCTAATCCTTTTTTCGTAGGTAAAGGCTTTTCAACTCAGCTAGGAGTTTTGATCCCTCTAAGTTGAGATGACACTCACAGATGAGTTGAAATTACTGTTTTATTTGCTGTGTTTTTCTTCTACTGCTGCTAGCTGTACTGTATCTGCTACTCCTCTGTCCTCCAAGCCTCCTGTTCTTTACGCTCCACTGTAGCTTCCTCTGCTTTGAGACCAGCAGACTCCCATCCTCTTCCTCCTCTTCTTCCTCTTGCTTCTGAGCAACTAATGTCTACAGCAAATTATCCTGGCAGTAAACAGCAATACTAACCAGCTGAATCCCAGGAATGAGTACATCTAATAACCATGGCAGCTTCTGGATCAGATGCCTGCTTCTGCTGCTGTCCTCTCTGTCAACCATCTATTAAAACTCCATCATCATGCTCTATTGGTCCTATGCTGATTTGCTGACATGTTAGATCTCTTTGATGCCACTTTAAGGCAGTTTAGCCAATTGCAAATGAAGAGGAATTGTAAGGTTGATCAGATTATAATAAATTGTAGGCCTTAGCTTATGTTCTTAGATCCTCTTGCTCAGAATATCTTGGTAGTAAGGTATTGTCGAAAGCATTAGGCATAAGAAGCACCTTAAAAAGTTAATTAGTGATTAAAAAACTTCATATTATAATATCGGCTCCTTTGTGTTTTCTCTTTTTCTGATGTTTAGAGTAAAAGAGAAACACAAAAAGGGAAAAAGGTTGGAATATATTAGTCACCAAATTAAATTGTAATTATTTATACAAAGGTTCACTTTTTAAAGTAGAAATCGTGAAATAAATGAACTTTCCTTATATATATATTTTTTTTATATATTTATGATATACTTTATGATAATTTGTAACTTTGATTTAGATATTTAACCGCTCCAGCCTCTAAATTTCTGCGCTTTTTTTTAGAATAGTCTTTGTGGATTTCCTTCTTTGTAGCCCACTAGTACGGCTACTATTATGGCTACTGTTGTGGCTACAACAAGAAACAAATTGACTACCTTGAGTTTTAAACGTTTTCAAGGTTAGTTAATGAAGAAGTTCCCAGTTTCGGATCTTGTGGTTAATCAGCTAATCAGCAAACCTCTGACTGCAGAAATGCTGCATTTTGAAGACCATTGTCTCCTTCATCAGTTCCTTTTTTTTCCGTTTACTGTCAGCGCTTATCATGTCTGTTTTGCATGCTGTTTGTGTTTTTGTCTGATTACTGTCTAACTATCACCGTCCTGTTTCTTCTCATGTGTCTTGTGCATTTGCAATAACGCAGCTCCTAAAGTTAATAGTCCTTCTCTCCCTTTGTATCCTAAAACCTGTCAGCCTTTAAACTCCATCTATACGCCTTCTTGTCTGATTGAAACTAGACTTTTGTCCTCCTCAGTCTTCACCTTCCCTTCCCCCCCTCCCACACCCCCTGTTTACCTCCTGCCTGTTGCTCCTGTTCTCCCTCATTTATCTGCCTTGCCTTACTCCCCTTCTCCTCCACCGACTCCCCAAAGTCCTTTTAGATGTTCCACCTTCTTCTTTCCTCCCAGCTTCTCTCCTTCTGCTCTAAATCTACCCTCTTCCTACTCCCTCCCACCCCCCAAACCCACTCTGCCTCCTTTCACCTCTCAGTCCTCTCCTGCTTTGTTCTCTCCACCTCCACAGATGTGTAGCATCTTCCTCTCCTCTCCTCCTATCCTCCATCCACTTTCCCCCCCAACGTCTCCCCTTCCCCCTGTAATCCCCTCGTACTTCAGACGTGATCATTCAGTTCCTGAGATTTACATCTAAAGCCCTGTCCGTTATTCTGCTCCTCATTTTGCTTCAATTGAAAACACTAAACTTTTACTATAATGAGCTGAAGTTGGTTTTTTAAAGTTATAAATCTGTAAGCAAATGGCTTGATAATTAAATGCATTTACAAAACACCTGCCTGACTTTAAAGCTCCACCTTTAGTGAGAGGGATGCAGTGCCTTGCAAAACTGTTTTGCCCTTTCAGATTATTACATTATAATCACAAATTTAAACTGATCTTTCATCTACTTTTGTTTTACAAATAAAATCTGGACAGTGTGGTGAGGGTTTGCTAGCCTCGTGAGACCATCCTGATCACGCAAGCTTTCAAGATTTCACTCGCAGATCAGTCTGGAGACTCTCCGTTGAAGAAAATTTGGAGCCGTTCACCAAACGAACGTCCAATCAGCGTTGGCTTTGAGGCGGGTTGAGGTGTGACGCAACGAGAAGCGCGACAGTTCAGTCTAAAGAACATGGCGGCTTCAGCCGATGAAACTAGCGTTAGCGTGGCTATCGAGCAAGTTTTATCGGAATTACAGAGTATTTCTTCACTGAAAGAAGAGCAAAACACTGCTCTGGAGGCTTTTCTCAGAGGAAAAGATGTTTTTGCTCTTCTCCCGACTGGTTTCGGCAAGAGTTTGATCTATCAATTGGCTCCTCTTCGTCGTCGCTCTGTTATGTCATATGCTTTGTTGACCTGATTGGTTTATTTGGCCCGTCTATCACCAACATAGGCCAATCAGCTAACCAGTATTTTCACCCCTTCTCAAAATTACTTCAACGGAAGGTGTCCAGATGGATATGCGGAGCAAATCCATCTGGCAGAGTCAGGTTAAGGGTTTGCATTCAGTCCTCCTACATCAATGCTTGTAGAACTTATTTATTTTAGATCCGCATGTTTTTGTCCAGTATAGCCCCAGAGTTGACTTCAGTTTCCCCATTTCTTTAGAAGAAAAGTAACCCCATAGCATGATGCTGCTACCACCATGTTATAATGTAAAGGTAGTGTGTACATGGTGGTTTGCAGAGTAGTTTTCTGTCATACATAGCACCTAGTATAGAATATAAATACCCTTATAGTGGGAGTTCTATATGGCTGTTGCTTAACAAGTAGACAGAGGAAAGGTTATGGGTAGAGGTGCAGAGTAAAATGAGAAGGAACAACAGTTTAAAAATTAAACTAAAGGAGACATGGTGTTAATGACACAAGGCATACACATGTTCCTGCGATAGACTGGTGACCTGACATGTGGAGATAGGCACCAGCATCCCTCAGCGTTACGGAAAATGAATGGAAAGATGGATGGATGGCATACACAGGCTAAAATGAGAAATGTTTGGGTAAAAAAGAAAGTAAATACATTAAAACAGTATATACTATGTTAAATTTTGGCTTCCCTTCTCACATTAGCAGTTTCTCTGCGTGACTTTGGCACTTTGCACAGTGGACTTCATATTGTTTTTATTCAATAAGGCCTGAACTTACACTGGATTTTATTTCAGGGTATTTTGGTAAAAGCAGTCCAAATGCCCACTGCACTTAAATGAATTTTGTTTGTAAAAAATTATTTTAAAAACTTTGGTTCGATGTGTCACATAAAATCCTAAAGGCTGAATGTTGTGGCTGTCACATGAAAAAGTGATAAGGTCTAAAGGGGCATAATTATGTTTGCAAAGGCACTGTATTCATGCAGCTGAGTGGCTATGATTACAAGTTTCACATTCACATGTTTTTGTGTCTCTTTATATCTATGTCTCCATCCTTTTTTAGCGTGTTGTGACTTAAAGCTTGGTTCAGAAGTCCCAAATACAAATTACACTCAAGCTGTCGTTTAAAGTTTATCCTGCAGAAGAACATGTAAACTCAACAGGGGTGGTTTTATTTTTTTTAGATTTTACATTGTATATTCATTTACCTTTTGGACATTCTAATAGAAACATGACTGTTTGGTTGTTTTTTCCTTATCCTAAGTATGCTGTAAAACCTTTCCCGGTTTCCATCTTCATTACCAAAACAACCAATAATCAGCCAAGAGAATGGGAAAGCCATGAGAGGAATTCATTTCTTTTGTGTTATTTTGAAATATAGTTTTCATTTTATATATATATATACAGGTGCTGGTCATAAAATTAGAATATCATGAAAAAGTAGATTGATTTCAGTAATTCCATTTAAAAAGTGAAACTTGTATATTATATTCATACATTACATACAAACTCATATATTTCAGATGTTTATTTTGTTTAATTTTGATGATTACAAATGACAACAAATGAAAATCTCAAATTCATCATATCAGAAAATTAGAATATTGCTGAAGACCAATAAAAACAAAGGATTTATAGAAATGTTGGCCAACTGAAAAGTATGAACATGAAAAGTATGAGCATGTACAGCACTCAGTATTTAGTTGGGCCTCCTTTGGCCTGTATTACTGCAGCAATGCGGCGTGGCATGGAGTCGATCAGTCTGTGGCACTGCTCAGGTGTTATGATAGCCCAGGTTGCTCTAATAGTGGCTTTTAGCTCTTCTGAATTGTTGGGTCTGGTGTATTGCATCTTCTTCTTCACAATACCCCATAGATTTTCTATGGGGTTAAGGTCAGGAGAGTGTGCTGGCCAATTAAGAACAGGGATACCATGGTCCTTCAACCAGGTACTGGTAGCTTTGGCACTGTGTGCAGGTGCCAAGTCCTGTTGGAAAATGAAATCTGCATCTCCAAAAAGTTGGTCAGCTGCAGGAAGCATGAAGTGCTCTAAAACTTCCTGGTATGTGGCTGCGTTGACCCTGGACCTCAGAAAACACAATGGACCAACACCAGCAGATGACATGGCACCCCAAACCATCACTGACTGTGGAAACTTTACACTGGACTTCAAGCAACGTGGATGAAGTGCCTCTCTTCTTTTCCTCCAGACTCTGGGACCTTGATTTCCAAAGGAAATGCAAAATTTACTTTCATCAGAGAACATGACTTTGGACCACTCACCAGCAGTCCAATCCTGTTTCTCTTTAGCCCAGGCAAGACGCTTCTGACGCTGTCTGTGGTTCAAGAGTGGCTTGACACAAGGAATGCGACAGCAGAAACCCATGTCTTTCATACGTCTGTGTGTGGTGGTTCTTGAAGCACTCACTCCAGCTGCAGTCCACTCTTTGTGAATCTCCCCCACATTTTTGAAGGGGTTTTGTTTCACAATCCTCTCCAGGGTGCGGTTATCTCTCTTGCTTGTACACTTTTTTCGACCACATCTTTTCCTTCCCTTCGCCTCTCTATTAATGTGCTTGGACACTGAGCTCTGTGAACAGCCAGCCTCTTTAGCGATGACCTTTTGTGTCTTGCCCTCCTTGTGCAAGGTGTCGATGGTCGTCTTTTGGACAACTGTCAAGTCAGCAGTCTTCCCCATGATTGTGTAGCCTATAGAACTAGACTGAAAGACCATTTAAAGGCTTTTGCAGGTGGTTTGAGTTAATTAGCTGATTAGAGTGTGGCACCAGGGGCCATCAATTTTGAACCTTTTCACAATATTCTAATTTTCTGATATGATGAATTTGAGATTTTCATTTGTTGTCATTTGTAATCATCAAAATTAAACAAAATAAACATCTGAAATATATGAGTTTGTATGTAATGTATGAATATAATATACAAGTTTCACTTTTTAAATGGAATTACTGAAATCAATCTACTTTTTCATGATATTCTAATTTTATGACCAGCACCTGTATATTTTTTTAACTGGAAGTAGTGCTTTGATGAGGTCTCTTCACAGAAGACTAGAAGAAGAAATATATGATTGCAAATTAGTTTAATCAAGCCTTAAAGGGGCCTTTTATGCCATACTTCACTTTTTAAAAATATTTTTAAACTCACATTTGGGTCTTCACTTCTTCTAGAAACAATTCAAGCAAAAACAAAAAAGGTCTAATAGAGAAACAGGACTAAACACTGAAAAGCAGGCTAGGCTCTATTAGTTATAATCAGAGGAGTTGATGTCCGCAGCCCAGGTGATTTCTATCTCCAGGATGGAGTCACAGCCAAACAATTGAAGATATCTTAAGCCTTACTTCTTCTAAAATGTCACTTCTATACAAACTCCTTATTCAATGTATGCACAATATAGAAAACCTACTGAAAAAAACCCTTAAGAGTTTACATGTTCTGCTGCTTTCTTGTGTTTACTTTGTTCAAAATGGCTTTTGAACAGAAAGCTTCTAAATGTTACAGAAGTAAATGTTTTTCATTTATCACCTCCACAACTTCACCTCTCCCTCCCACTTCCTCTCCCTCTGTTTCCTCTCTCCCTCCTTCATCCATCCTCTAATCCTTTACTCCTGCCATCCATCCAGGCGACCACATTATAGATCTGGAACTGAAAACCCCAACAGAACTCAACTACGTCCCCTGTACCCCCCTACGCTCCGATGAGTTCTTTAGTGAGGGTGAAGCTAGCATAGCGTCCCCTAGTAGGACCACGTTCACCAGACCTAGTGACCTCTCGCTTGCTCAGACTACAAGCACCTCCAGCAGCGAACCCCCCACGGTGGTCCCAGCCCATGGCTCAGATCCTCCTATTGCGGGGCCAGAAGATACACTTCTGACTGCGGGAGACAGAGGGATCTCTGTAGAGATGCCAGATAATGACCGAAGGGCAGGGAACCAACAAAACGGAAGAGAGGAAGAAGAGGAAATTACCCAGGAGCGACTGCGGAGTCTGTTGGAAGATATACAGCTGGAGGGAGGCGTGGAGGAAGAGGAGATGACCGAGGAGAGAGTGAATGCGATCCTAGAGCAAGTACGGCAAGCAGAACAAAACATTTCTTCGGTTCCAGGCTGGAGTGCCGAGACGTCTGGAGCCACAGCTGGACACATCAGCAAAGACACAGAGAGCAGGTAGGCTTCATCTGCTAAACTATGCAAATAAGCGCACTTAGAAATCAACTTAGATCTGAAACCTTTTACCAAATTCAGTCCCGACAGTCCGGCTGATTCCCTGGAGCAGCTGCCGGCTCAAAATGGAGGCCACACAGACAGGGAAGCAAAAGAAAAAGGAGCCAAGGGGAACGGAGCAGATGAGGACAGTAGGACAGCGGGACCTGGCAGAGGACGGGAGGATGGGGGTGAAAAATCCCAGCACAAAGTCCAGGTGAGAGTCTTCCACCAAGGGAAATTTACTTTATCCGATGTCTGAGCTGCAGATTTTAGCTGTGCCTCAAACAAATTGTTTGTCTAAAGACCATAATATATCAAATAGAAGAAATGTGCCACTGGCTTTTGTTAAGAGGTAATTCATCTTAATTCAATTAAGGAAAGGAATTTAAAAAAAACACTCTAATTTAAAGTTTGAAATCAAGGCTCCAATCTCTATTTTGAGCATTTCTACCCTGCATTTAAAATGATTCATAGAAATTAAATGTGGCATACTTTAAATGTGTGCATACCAGGTTCTGCAACAGCTTCTTCTCCACTGCCCTCAGACTGTTGAACCTTTGATCCACCAACCGAACTCTGCACCTATTGCACATTATCGGGCATCAAATGCTGCTGAACATTTAACTTTTAGCTTTCTCAGTTCATCTCATTTCTATTCTCATATAACGCATTTTTTGCACAAATGACTATTTGCACTGAACCATTGCAATTTGCACACTGTTTTTATCCACTGCACTGTTTACACTTTGACCACTGCTGCACTTTTTGTATAACTCGTGTGTAACAATCCGGAAAGGTATTCCATCTCATTTGAAATATCAATGCAATGTTCATAAGCTGTATGCAACGCAATTTCGTTCTGTATGCACTCTGTGCATACAAAATGACAAATAAAGAAGTCTAAGTCTAAGTCTAGACACATATGGGTTTAATAACAATGCCTTGCTGCTGGGTTGCCTTCACCAGGAAACCATCAGAGCTGGTGAGTCCAGCTCTGATGACGAGACCACCGTCACTACCAGGGTGTACCGCAGACGGGTCATTCTCAAGGTGTGTGAGGCTTGCTGTGTGTGAAGCTCGGTGTGTGTGAAGCTCGGTGTGTGTGAAGCTCGGTGTGTGTAAGTGCTGAGCTCAGTCAGAAAAACAAAAATGTGTTAAAACTCAAGGCAAGTGCGACTATCGTCTGTTGCGTTTGTTTGCTCCTGTATTGCAGACACATGCAATGATGTTGATTGGTTTTCATTGAGACTTTGCTGGAAATACAGAACCGGGTAGAATTGTGTAATAGAAGAAATGTCACCGTATTCTTTCATTTAAAGCTGAGTTTTATATCCAGATTTGATATATTTGCAAAGCTTTTTGGTGTGAGCCACTACTCCTGCAGCATGATGTTTGGTTTGGCTTTCATTAGCTCTTTGGTTATGCAGAGCCAATCAGTTTATTTAGTTGCATTATTAGGTCTTATTTCCACTAGAGATGAATCGGGTGTTCTTCATTTCAGCCCTTCCCATTTTGGTAGGCATAAAATGCTGCCATTTCCAGCATGACATTCTGCCTGGGCTTTCGCAATCTGTACTTGTTATTAATTTTCTATAATCTTATGGCACTTTTATTTAGGGAAATGAGAATAAATAACTTGTGCCAGCAGGAGATCCCTTTTAGGAAGTTTGTTTTGATTATGCGTCTAACTACAGGCTCAGTGTGAGCGACCATCTGCTGAGGCCGACTGGGTTTTTTCTTTAGGTTAATAGACTATATTAATTGGAGGAAAAATATCCACCACCCCCTTCTTCTTTTACAACTAGACTACCTATTATCCCACTTATTTAAAACAGCATATATTTCTCAACACTTCATACCAGTCAATAAAACCAAAGAAGTTAGGATTTTTCATTCTCAGAACATCTATAGGAAAATATCCAGTCTAGTCTTGTTCTAATGAAGCCAATATCGTTCCATTCCTGAGCAAAGTTTATGGGTTTTGGGGATTATTAACATGGTCTAAGAAGCTAATAAACTTTTATGTTTTAAAAGTTAAATTTGTGTTGACTGTGATGCTCGTTATATTAAAGCATTCTGGTTTGTTGAGGTTTTACTGTTTTATTTGCTTGACTACAGATTTGAATGAATGCAACTTTTTGAAGTTTTTTTTATTTTGTTGTTTTTTCGTTCCTCTATGATCCAAACTTCTTTGAAGCTGTTTGACCTTCTAATAAGATAAGCTTGATGTGCTCATAACTTTCGAAGAGTCGATTTGCTTCTTTGTTTCCTAATTTTTCCCAGTTCCTTTTTGCCCTCCCTCTCCTTCCCAGCCATCCACCTTTTGTTTTCCCACTCATCCTTTCTTTCAACTTTTACCACAGGGAGAGGAGGCCAGAAACATCCCAGGACAAACTGTTACTGAGGAGCAATTCATAGACGAAGATGGAAATCTGGTGACCAGAAAAGTAACCGTCCTCCTCCTGCTGCTTCACTACAGCCTACCCAGAAAAATCTAATTTCTCATTCCGTCATATTTTCCTCCTTTATAAAAAAACCTCTATCCTCCTCTTCCTTACATGCTTCTGCCCCCTACAGGTTATCAGGAAGGTGGTGCGTCGGGGTTTCAACTCCGAGGAAAGAAGGGAATGTGAACAGCCTAATATAGCAGGGGAAGGAGCTTTGACTGTTGATGTAGGTGAAGCAGATGCTGCTGCATCAGCAGAAAATGTAGCAGCAGCAGGAAATAAGGGCGGTAAGGGCAAGAAAAGAGGGAAACGCTCCCGACACGGACACAAGGAGGAAGCCCAGAGAGAGAAAACCCAGGTTGGCGTTAAAACCAACCTCCTCACATTGACTGACTTACAGCACCCACTTTGCCTTTGACTTTAGTAAAAAATAAACACATAACATTAGCAACACTCTGAAATGTCCTAATCTGGTTTCAGCATGTTTGTTCTTTGCTGGGTGTGACTCTCTACTAACTAAATCCAACTGTCTAAACATAAAGGAAGGTATAATATCCAAAAACTGTACTAAAGTAAGAGCAGCTTTACTTCATCTGATTTTTACTCAACTAAAAGTAAAAAGTAGCCTTCTAATAAATCACCCAAGTAAAAGTGAAAAAGTAATGGGGAAAAGTAGCTCATTATAACATCTGATTTAATTTTTAAAATTTATAAATTAGCAAAATAAAAAGTTACCTAAAAATCTTGAAAATGACATAAAAAGCAAAATATAAAATATTCAGTAAATAAACAGTAATTTTATCCACAGTATATTATAGTTGGTGAGAATATAATATTTACTTCCTGTAACATGATGCATTAAACTTTCTGCTGCATTTCCACTTGACCTCCAAACGACACGGCAGGATCAGCAGATGGAACATAACATTAAGCAAAGAGGCTTGAGTAGAAAACAGAAATCTCACTTAGACATTAACTGTATATGTATGTCTCTTTGGGACATTTTTATTTAAAAAAAGTAAAGTAATGATACCTCATCATATTTTTACTTATGTAAAAGTACAAATATGATACAGAAAAACTACCTTAAAGTACATTTTTCTCAAAAGGCCACTCAAGTAAATGTAACTGAGTATCTGTAACTAGTATAGTAGTAATTACCGTAATTACCGTCTAAATATCTTATTATCTTGAAAAGTAAATTAACTTAAAGGTAAGTAGTGAAATAATACATTTAAACAAACTGTCAGTCTAGTAATAGGAATTAATAATATTGCAGTATACTGTTGAAAACTCCTTATTATTTTTACACATTTTCACACAAAATTAAGATGCCATAAAGAGAAACAAGAGTAGTTACCTGCAAAATCGAAGTCAAAATAAAAGCATCACATTTGGTCTTAATGTGGACTTCTCACTTTAATGATGCAGTAAACTTTCTGCTGCATTTCCACTGTGTCTCCAAAAGACACGGCAGATTAACTGTTTATGTTTGTCTCTTTGGGACATTTTTATTTAAAAAAGTAAAGTAATGATACCTCATCATATTTTTACTTATGTAAAAGTAAAAATATGATACAGAAAAACTACCTTAAAGTAGAATTTTCTCAAAAGACAACTTAAGTAAATGTAACTGAGTATCTGTAAGTAGTTACTGCTCATTTTTGTCTAAATATCTTATTATCTTGGAAAGTAAATTAACTTAAATGTAAGTAGTGAAAGAATAAATTTAAACAAACCATCAGAGTCTAGTAAGAGGAATTAATAATATTGCAGTATACTGTTAAAAACTCTTTATTATTTTTACACATTTTCACACACAATTAAGGTGCCATAAAGAGAAACAAGAGTAGTTACCTGCAAAATCGAAGCCAAAATAAAAGCATCACATTTGGTCTTAATGTGGACTTCTCATTTTAATGATGCAGTAAACTTTCTGCTGCATTTCCACTGTACCTCCAAAAGACACGGCAGGATCAGCAGATTAACTATATGTTTGTCTCTTTGGGACATTTTTATTTAAAAAAGTAAAGTAATGATACCTCATCATATTTTTACTTATGTAAAAGTAAAAATATGATACAGAAAAACTACCTTAAAGTACATTTTTCTTAAAAGGCCACTCAAGTAAATGTAACTGAGTATCTGTAACTAGTTACTGCTCATTTTTGTCTAAATATCTTATTATCTTGGAAAGTAAATTAACTTAAATGTAAGTAGTGAAATAATACGTTTAAACAAACAAACAAACAGTCTAGTAAGAGGAATTAATCATATTGCAGTATACTGTTGAAAACTCCTTATTATTTTTACACATTTTCACACACACTAAGGTGCCATAAGGAGAAAGAAGAGTAGTTACCTGCAAAATCAAAGCCAAAATAAAAGCATCACATTTGGTCATAATGTGGACTTCTCACTTTAAGGATGCAGAACTGGGGTTTTTTTTCTATGAATCATCAGGATTCAGCAAAGTAAGCTAAAATCTTAAAGAGCAAATATGCCCTGGGGGAAGGGGGGTGCTAGGGGATCTCTAAACCCTATTTCTTTTATGCATCTTTCATGCTGTTTATTGGAAGAAACTCCAACATTTGCAGCACAAATATTGAAATCTATCATTTAAAACCACTAGTTTAATAAAGATTATATACACTTTATTATATCATTGAGATTTATTTTTAATTGGCTTAAGCAATCAAAAACAACAATATTCCAGATTAATTGCATGTCTGATATTTTTTGAATAAGCCACTACTGCAGCGTGCTAAATTCAAGTCATTTCAATGCAGTATTTTCCTTTGTTTTAGTGGCCATGTTTGATATTTTTTAAATAGATAGAAAACTGATTTTAAACATTATGATGAGTAAAAAGTAAGTAAAGTAAGTAAACTTTATTTGTATAGCACTTTCCACAGACAAAGTCACAAAGTGCTTCACATGATAACATAAAAACAACACAAGTAAAAACAGATAAATGCAATAAAAGCTATAATAAATAAGGGAATAAAAATGACGTGTTAGCATTGATGCCTACGTGGAAGAAAGAGTTGTTTTGCAACAAAAGCATTGTGCATTGCTTTGCTGTGTTTTCAGGTTTGAAATAACAAATATTGGGTGTTTTATTGAATCTAGAAATTTTTTTTTATTTATTTTCGTATGCTTTTGTTTAATGTGTTTAAATTCTTTGTACATCAGTAGAAACCTTACTCTCTCACCCTAAACATTTTTTTTCCAGCATGCTCCCTGCTGTGGTGATCAACCGGATATATGTTTAAATAATACCTTGAGATCAGTTTTATCTTGAACAAATGAATAATTATTCATTCTGTTTTTTTTCTGTCTCCATGACGAACCTTCTGCTTCTGTCATCATTTCACCCCTAAGCCTGGAGACGGTTCCAACAAGAAGCACGGGGAAAAGAGTCAGTCATAACAACAAAGCTCTAACATAAACATGGTAAGAGAAACATTTAGACTTTTAGTCTAAAAGAGTTGTCAGTTTAACCAAAACGCTCCAAACTGTCAGATTTGTAGGGATATTGTAGCTGAAAGGAATCTGCAGTAGCTTCTCTTAATTAAAGCAAAGCTTAAATGAGAGAATCAAAATAGAGGTTTCAGTTTTATTTTTCTAATTGCTTGAAAATGTTTATTTTTCCTCTTTTTCTTCCAGGTTTTATAGTCGTTCACAGCAGCTACACACTCGAAGAACAAAAAAAAACACCTGAACTGGAGTCCATGAGGAAGAAGAAAGGCGTGGAGGCGTTTCAAGGCAGCCGACTCGTGTTAGAAGTATTTTCCTACACCGCATGGTTAACAGCAAGATGATGTTACTTTTCCTTGATTTCGCATGAGCATGTCACTGAACTCACTCGCTGTCAGAAGGACAGAAGAAAACACACACAGGGGCCACTCACGGCTGTGAACGGGAACTTTCTCTCATCGACGGCGAACGAACTGCATCCGCAGCCAAAGAAAAGACCTGCTGACAGAACAGACTCCACTATCTCAGACTCTCTACTCTACCGTGATTTTTGTTTGTTTTCCTCCTGGATCTGAAGCAGCTGCACCGGAGTGCACCATGTGCTTCTTTTATAAAAATAAAATCTAATAATAAATGGGTGATTTTCTTGTATATAAATGACACTGTATAAAAACAAAACAAAAAAACCAGTAGCTTCACAGATTGTTTATGCACTGATTTGAGCTGGTAAGGCTTTGCAGAGTCTGTGCACTTAGCTGTGTGACCTGATTTGCTCTTCCCTAAATTATGAAAAAAAAAAGGAGCAAAACAGCTCTATGTGAGCGAGGAACGAATGCAAGAAAACGAAGAGTGATTTTCCATGTCGGATGTCTGTAATGAACAGCTCCTCTGCTGTGGAATGTTCTTCAGAGAAATTATATTTTGCTGCATGTTATGGCACTGTATTTTTAATGTTTGCTTTTTTTTTTTTTTTCTAATTTTAAAGCACTGTAATACAATTAGAGAGGGTTTGACAGAACTTTTTTCTGTTCAGACTCATTATAACACAAGTGTCTATCATCTGTGGCTCTCTTTGATTTAATAAACACGCTCCACATTCAAGTTGTGGGACAATAACGTTTCCCTTTGGATCCAGTGAAGGACAGACGGTTTTGTCTGATTTAACCTACAGACTGGAGTATTAGCGCTTAACTGCTAGCAGCCCTGAGTATGGAGGTGTGTGTGTGTGTGTGTGTGTGTGTGTGAGGGCGTGTGTGTGTAACACCATAAACTTTATTCCCATCATGCAAACTATAGCTTCTATGTCTACTGGTGTTTTTAACAAAGGGGACTATTTTTATGTTGGATTTTTACAACTTTCATCTTGTTAATCTGTTATTTACATGATTAGATTTTTATTCTCAATCACCAAACTGTAACTGTATCAACAGCTGGAATCACACAAATCACACTACTTATTTGCTTTTATTGTAAATCTACTTCTGTGTTTGTTTTTCTTCTTTTCTTATGTTGTTTTTTTTTTTTTTTCTCGCCACACACATCTCTACCCGATGCATTCACTGATATTAAATCTGGTACCAACATGTATAACAAACCAACATAGCCAACCCTGGATGATTCAAAATTATTTAAACAAAAAAAAATAAATTGTGTTTTAACCAAATGACTGTGGGCCGTTGTTGTTTTTCTGTGTGGAAGATAACCTATGAAAGGTATGAATCAAGTTGCATCATAAATGATGGGTAGAATGATGTCACGACCTGGTTGAATGCAAAGATTTGTTTGTTGGTGTTTTCAGTAAACAGGCTGTCTACGATTATTACAACAAGCCAAGGTTGGGGAACCCTCCTGTTCATTCGGGACATTTTTTCTTCAGATAAACAATAAATTCCTGAGAGAAATGGAAGATAATGTCTGACAATAATGTAATTTGAGGACGTAGAAGAGGTGTACTGCTGTTTGGAATATGCAGACATCTGGTGTATCATGGAATTGGGAAAACATTAGCAGCTGTACATTGTGAGGCTGTCCACCGTGTGAGGGGATCTGCAGAGCTATAAACAAGTCGATTATGAATCACATATTAAGACTTAAACATCATTTCAAAGGGACTCTTTTTTTTTGTAAACTTTATTCTTGATTTATTTTTTGATCATGCAGAACACCTAGGTGACATCTGGGACATCCCAGAATGCAAAAATCAGTCCTGGTATTTTTATGAAAAGGTTTGACAGAGGGGGCTGCACAGTGGCCTTGCAGCAAGCAGGTTCTGGGTTTGATTCCCAGCCCGGGTCTTTCTGCATGGAGTTTGCATGTTCTAACATGACTGTTAGGTTAATTGACTTCTCTAAATTCTCCTTAGGTGTTAGTGTGTGTGTGATAGGTTGTTTGTCTGGTTTGTCCCTGTGTTGCCCTGTGATATACACTATATTGCCAAAAGTATTTGCTCACCTGCCTTGACTCACATATGAGCTTAAGTGACATCCCGTTCCTAATCCATAGGGTTCAATATGACGTCGGTCCACCCTTTGCAGCTAGAACAGCTTCAACTCTTCTGGGAAGGCTGTCCACAAGGTTTAGGAGTGTGTTTATGGGAATTTTTGACCATTCTTCCAGAAGCGCATTTGTGAGGTCGCACACTGATGTTGGACGAGAAGGCCTGGCTCTCAGTCTCCGCTCTAATTCATCCCAAAGGTGTTCTATCGGGTTGAGGTCAGGACTCTGTGCAGGCCAGTCAAGTTCATCCACACCAGACTCTGTCATCCATGTCTTTATGGACCTTGCTTTGTGCACTGGTGCACAGTCATGTTGGAAGAGGAAGGGGCCAGCTCCAAACTGTTCCCACAAAGTTGGGAGCATGGAATTGTCCAAAATGTCTTGGTATGCTGAAGCATTCAGAGTTCCTTTCACTGGAACTAAGGGGCCAAGCCCAGCTCCTGAAAAACAACCCCACACCATAATCCCCCCTCCACCAAACTTTACACTTGGCACAATGCAGTCAGACAAGTACCGTTCTCCTGGCAACCGCCAAACCCAGACCCGTCCATCAGATTGCCAGATGGAGAAGCGCGATTCGTCACTCCAGAGAACGCGTCTCCACTGCTCTAGAGTCCAGTGGCGGCGTGCTTTACACCACCGCATCCGACGCTTTGCATTGCACTTGGTGATGTATGGCTTGGATGCAGCTGCTCGACCATGGAAACCCATTCCATGAAGCTCTCTGCGCACTGTTCTTGAGCTAATCTGAAGGCCACATGAAGTTTGGAGGTCTGTAGTGATTGACTCTGCAGAAAGTTGGCGACCTCTTCGCACTATGCGCGTCAGCATCCGCTGACCCCGCTCCGTCAGTTTACGTGGCCTACCACTTCGTGGCTGAGTTGCTGTCGTTCCCAAACACTTCCATTTTCTTATATTACAGCTGACAGTTGACTGTGGAATATTTAGGAGCGAGGAAATTTCACGACTGGATTTGTTGCACAGGTGGCATCCTATCACAGTTCCACGCTGGAATTCACTGAGCTCCTGAGAGCGACCCATTCTTTCACAAATGTTTGTAAAAACAGTCTGCATGCCTAGGTGCTTGAATTTATACACCTGTGGCCATGGAAGTGATTGGAACACCTGATTCCAATAATTTGGATGGGTGAGCAAATACTTTTGGCAATATAGTGTATCTATATCTATAAATAAATAAATCTGTATATAGATATATCTATATACAGATATAGATATACAGATATAGATATTGATATCTGTATATAGATATCTATGTAGATATATATATATAGATATATCTATATATATCTATATACAGATATAGATATTGATATCTGTATATATATATATCTATATGTATATAGATATATATATATATATATATATATATATATATATATATATATATATATATATATATATATATATATATATATAGATATATATATATAGATATATATATATATATATTTATCTCCACTGACACAGTAAGAAAAAGAAATGTAACAAATTTTCTGTGATGAGGACTTTTTTAAAGAATAGTTTTAAAAAATTATTTGTATTATTTAAGAAACAGTCCTTATTTAACTTTTATACTGAAGTACAATGTAGAACCTGCACTTTTACTTTTTTACTTATTTAAACGGAACTCTTTACTTTAACTATTACAAAAGTACCTGTGCATTTACTTAAGTAAAGAGGTATTTGTTTAAAGGTTTTACTGAAAAATATCTTTAAAATAACCATTTTATTTCATCCTTTATGATTAAAACACCATTTGTTGAGCAGACTGACACCTTCTGCTTGATGGTTAATTTTTAAAGATTATTTTTTAAAATTTTTCTTTGAATTGCTGAAAATTATTATTATTATTTCCAAAACGTTTAAATATTTGATTGAAGTTAATATTTTGAAGTAATATAAAGCAATCTTAAATTGGAATTTTAACTCAAGTGAATAAGTAACAAGGACTTTTTTCTTCTTCTATAGAAATAGCAGCTTTTGGTTGTTTTTACCATTATTCCTCCAGCAGGGGGACACCTAGTGACACTTCAGGATTAAACATAAGCACCATAATGAAACAAAAAGCTCAGGAACACTAACAGCTTAAATGCAACAGAATAAGACAACAAGAGACAGTTTGAAGCAAATTTAATGACGAGTGTTTATCTCTTTATAGTCAATTTATAGTCAAATAAAAAGAAAACAAATACAGCTAAATAATAACCATCCAAAGTTTCAAAAACTCTCAGAAAATCACAAAAGGCTAAGTTAATGAAAAAAGGAACAAGTGGTTAAAGAACGATAATCAAAGGAAGCAACAATAGCAATTTCTGCTCTCTGTAAATCTAGATTTTTTTGAAATTTTGTAGAATTGTTTTCTCATTAAGCCAGATAGTTCTAAACATGTTTCTGTGTTAAATAATGAGTAAAATAATCAGTCAAAACTAGGGATTATAGGGCTAATTGGAGTTAAACAGGCTAAATTCATATGCACACCATACTTGTTGGGATTTAAATGTTTTGTAGTTGTAAAAATATTGTTAGAGTTCCCCAATTTTCTGTTTTTGACAAATCTGTGTAGGTTTTATTCCATGAAACTCAAATAAAATGTGCTTAGGTTTGTTTCATGCAAACATGTAGGAGTCAAGCTTTTATTTTGTTAAGGTAACATAAACTTGCATTGCTGTTTTGTCTAAGTGCAGCTAAATTCATGTTTACCTAAAATCCCCAAAAGGTCTACAAATGTTTTTTTGTAAAACTGCACATTTAAGGTCCAAAATTGTGTCACAAGTCGTTTGACACAAAAGCTTGTCTCAATACGAAGTTCACAAACAAAAATATTGAATTTTCAGCTTGCACCACATCCTGCATGTGTGCAAACCAGCTGTCAGACAGAAGCATGACGTGTGGATCTGTTTCATCACTGCAAGTCAGGCTGAGGGCCATGCCTCTGTCGGTGAGCCATCGATCAACTCTCTCCCTGAATGGTTTCAATCTTCAGACATTAAAGGTGCTCACTGAGTTTTGAAGTGCTTCTGTTTCTATTATCATAACCATTCCTTAACTACATTAAAAATGGTCAGTAAATAAAGAAGATAACTGGGGGCTTCATTTTGATTAAGGCAATTGGATTCCTGTTCAAATGTTTTACTTTGTTAAAACTATGATTTCTCACACTTTATCCAGGACTGGCTCACAGGTTAACGTTTTTTTCAGAGAGTCACAGACTTCCCTTTTCCCAGACCTAATCAGTGGCGACGGATCATATCTATGTACAGACTTGCCTTTATTTGAAAAGGTAAATATACACCCTGTATGTGAAAACAACAATAGTCCCACCTTTTGTGACTGTTTTCTAATTTCTTATGAGTTTTTTGTGTTTATAAGATAATCATCCACTTTGTAAAATACTGAGCCCTCTTTTTCAAACTCTCTATTGTAAATAATTTAGATATTTTTGCAAATATTTTAGACGTTAAACTCCTTTCTTTAACTTCTTGAGAGAGCAGAAGACTTATTTTTTTATTTGAACCTGCCGTCATGGGAGATTATATTTGGGAATTATTTGTCAAATTAGACTAAGTAGATTAAGGTTGTGGCAGTAGATTGTAAAATTTATGTTTATTTTATTTATACATTTTTTTTGCTTGTTTTTTAATTAAGTAGCCCATCAGGACTATTTAAGGGACTTTAAATATCAAAGGAATTTTTGGATGGAAACTGAGTATTATTCACAGTAAAAAACAGAAATAAATTTGGTGATCATTTAAGAGGAAATTCAAATGCTCTTATAAAGTCATAAAATTAGTGCACTGCCATAAAAATCATATAGATTCAGTGATAATGTATCAGTTAAAGGTTGGTGTGATTTTTTTTTTAATAGAAAACTGCTTCAGTGGGAATAATGTGTATTTTTTGCCTGGTATCTTGATACACTCTTTGCTAAATGGCGTCAATATTATCCATAAATTCCAAATCAGAAGAACCTGAACTCTTTAGATTAAGGTATTGGGTAATTTATGCCAAGTCAGATTATCTTTCAGTATATGCTGCCCTAACCTTAGTGGGATTAAGGATAAATATATATGAGGGTTAATTACATGAAACTAATTCATTTCTAAATAATGATTTATTTTCATTTATTTCCAGAATCCCTTTTTTTTT